TTAGGAAACCTAACTATTAAAGTTCGAAAGCTTGAACGTTCTGAAAAGTTAAGGAAGCTTAAAAAGCCCAGAAAGCCTAAAAGTTTAAAAAAATCTAAAAAAAATCTAAAAAGCCTAGGATGTCTAAAAATAAAGCCTGAGAAGCCGGAAGAGGGACACAATGACTTTCTAGATATAATTCTTCATTTCATATATTTCTACTGAAGACTTTGACCAGTAAAACTACAGTTTTTTTTCAGAAAAACCGTATTTTGTATGTGATTAAAAATAGTTTTATTTCTTGATAACATAAACTCAAAGCTCTAAAATTTTGTCTAACTTTTTCGCAGAACCAGAATCAAACGACTCACACTAGAAAATTCATATTCATGATGTTCAAATCCAGAATTTCAACTTTATTTTCGTGAACATATCAAAAAAGTTAAAAAGTATATTCATCTTCCTCGTCCTCATTTTATACTCCCCCGTCGTCTCTTTTTTCTTGCTCTTTATCCATTTGAGTTCCTTGTTAAAAATTCCATAAAATTGCATTTCATTTCATCTCATTTTATTCCATATAAAATTTTGCACATTAGTTTCGAAAAAGTTGACTCATCAACCACTTTTTGCATCATTTGGAAAGAATCCCATGAAAAATTCAACAGTTTAGAATATTTTTCCATTTTCAACTAAACTCAATTTTTTTTCTTTTTTCTGGTCCACCCGTTGTTTCAATGTTTTAGTAGTGGTTGTCAGGAATTTAGGAAGAAAAAGAAACAAATGGAAAATATATGGCCTTTCTTCCTTGAAGGAGCCAAATAAAATCTCATATATTTTCATTTTCCTCCGACGACTTCTATCTATATGTAAATTTGTTATGCCCTAAAAACATACTTTTACATGTTTCTTTGATTTTCCCGAAAAAATAGAGCAAAACGTCTTCCTAGTATAATTCAATTATTTATCGTCACTCAATGTTTCTCCGTTTTTTTTCAACATTCCTTCCTAGAATTTTTTGACTGACCTTACACAATTTTCTCCTCTCGACCTTCACAAATTTTCATACATTTTTCCAAAAAACAAAAATTACTAATTAGAATCCACTATACTATTTTTTTATGATGGCGGGAATATATTAGGTTTTTTTTCAAAAAAAATTTCTGCTGATGAAAAAATAATGTAATGCTCGAAATGTTTTTGAGGAGCAAAAAATGCGCGCAAAAAAGCGCGAAAAAAGAGTTTCCTGACTTTTCCTTTTTACTTCTTCTCCTTTAAAAGTAGAATGAATGAAATATAAAAAAAGAATATTTGTTTGTTTTGTATACAACTTTTTTATGGATGATGATGATTTTAGTTTTTCCATTCAATTTCCATACACTTTTTTTGTTTGCTGGGGTCATTAAAAATGAAAGTGTGAATTATGATTTTTATATGTGAAACAGTGTAGTTTAGCTTTTCTTGTCTTGTGAATAAATATATAATATACAATTATGAATAGATCTAGATTCATAGATTTAAATTTTTGTGCTTATCGAAAATTTTTATGAGATTTCTATTTTTGACTTTTCCTATTTATAAATTTTTCTCGGATATTTTTGGAAACAATATTCCATAGATAAAAATGGTTAGGATTACAGTATCCTATAGCGAAAGGCTTGTTCTACATCATTTTTTTCTAGAAATTCCAAATGAACATTTTTTGAGAAAGATAAAAATGACGAGTTTGCCTGGGGCCTTCTTGAAAATAACATTATAAATAAATGTAGGTTTGATTTTTGAGGTTCATTCTTATCGTAGAAATTTATTTTAGGTTTAACATAAAATCAAAAATAGAAATGTTTATTTCTTGATATTATATTAGATAAAATACATTTAAATAGAACAACTTATCTCAAAAATTCAAATTGAAAGCCTAACATCTTTGAGTTTTTTTTTTCGTAATTCTAATGAAATCCAAGTACAAAATTCAACAGTTTCCGTTTGACCAGCTAAAAAACGTGCTCTCTTTGTGATAAGGAAATTTTATGTGTAATTTCGAGTCAAAAATATCTAACTTTTGACACCAAAATAACATGGTTCGTAAAATTTTTCACATAAAAAATGTACCTTGATAATACTTTTGTGATTTCTCATCTACATACGTCAAAGCACAATGTTTTTAAATAAAAACTGAATCTAGGAACGTAAGAGAACAATTATCGAACTAATCATGAAGATGTATTTTTGAAATTGAATGTTGAAGTTTTTCTTTTCTGGCTCTTTGGAATATTGTCAACTTCTTTAAAAAAAGAGTGTTTAGATATACTCAGGCAAATCGTCCCACCGGTGGGCCCACCGGTGGGAAACCGGTGGGAAAAATAAACAAAAAACACCGGTGGAACACCTCTTTTTGGTGTTCAGACGGTGTTCAGACGGTGTTAAGCGAGTGTTAAGGTGGTGGTACACCGGTGCTATTATCAAATTTGTGACCACCGGTTTTCCACCGGTGGGCCCACCGGTGGGATTATTGAAGAGAAGGTGTTGAGTGAGTGGAGATTTGGTGTTACACCGGTGGGACGATTTGCCTGAGTAACTCTAGGAAATTAAATAAGTTGAGTTATTATGCACAGTTCTAGGCTTCAAGGCTAGAAGTTTGTTTTCATGTTTTTAACAATTTTATGAAATATTTGGTTTCATTGATACATTGTTCTGAGAATTTCAGACATTCGATCCAAATTATTTTGAAATTTTTCAGCTTAACGAATGAGTAATTCTAATGTTTTAATATAATTTTTAATTAATTAATATGAAGACGAAATCAACATCCATTCTAGCCTCCAATTTTTATTTAGAAAACCGGGGAACATTTTCAAGTTTTTGAAATTTAGACAGAAACATTTTTGGGAATGTGAAAATCACGTTTTTGTGCACAACTTTTTGATTTTTGTACAACCTAAAAACATGGTTTGTGATAAAAAATTTTATGGGATTGCTCGAGGTGAGAACATGAAAGCTCCATTATAGGCATCAAAAAACCAAAAAAAAAATTCCTATAAAATCGAAATTCCAAAAACATTTTCTTGATAATAGAATTTTTTCTAGTTCTCCACAAAAACCTTATAAAAAATTCAACTTTGTTGCTTCTTTGCGTTAGAAAACAACAGAATAGAATAGTTAACTTTTTCTCATTTTCTTCAAGATTTTTCTTCTTCTTTTTTCGCTGTTATGTTATGCTTTGTTTTGTTGTTTTCTGCAATTTTTTCTTCTTTTCAAACATTTTTATTTCAAAAATGAAAAAATTGCCGACTGTACGAATCGTACTATTATTTGTTTTTTTCCTCGAATTTTTTTCGCGAACGAATGGAAAAGGTGCTACTTAAAAAGGCATCGATGGGTCAATTATAAATGGGAAACCTGAAAAATTTCGAATTTCAAGTTCATTTGATGATTTCAAGGTTTTCAATTATAAAGTGTTGATTTTTATAGTATGAAAATATGGGGTGAATTGTAGAATATGCCTCATCAAGTCTCCGGAAATTGGAACCCAAAATGATAATGTGTGGAGGTATTTTCGGATGGTCATCAAAATTTATCCAAAAAATATACGGGGTATATCTTCCACACCGAATTTTAGTTTCAATTTCAATTCCAATCCTAATTTATTATTCTGATTTTTCCTTGGAAACCTGGAAAAGGAAAGAGAAACCAAGATTAATTTTTGAAAACCAAAATTTGTTAACCTTTTTCCCAGGGCCAATTTGTAATGTAGAAAATGTATGTTAATCCTTCACCGATGTTTCTACATTTTATTTATATTATATTATTATATTATTTAGTGTTGTTTTCTTCTTCTTCTTCCACTTCCTCCAATTTTCTTCAATTTTTTCGTGTTTCTCGTTGGGTTTTCACACCTGTCGTTTGTCTCCTCTCTTCCTTCCTCTCTTCTTCTTCAATTTTTTTTCTGACACAGACAGTAATCATCAAGACTTCTTCTCACTTTCATTTTTTTTTCTTGGTGTGAAAAACGAGGGCTTTCATTTTTTTGTGTTTGTGTGTTGAAGCTGTTGAAGTGTTTTTGATTATTTATTATATGATATTATTGGATTTGTTGTTCTGTGGAGGTGGACTGGATACGGTGGTTGAGAGAAGCTGGGATTTTTGAATCTGAACTCAAATTCGGAGTTTCGCCCGACAGATCTTAAGAGTCATCACTGATATTGAAAATTTTTAGATAAAAAATAGGTTTGCGCGTGAACTATGGACTTTTTTCAAAAGACCCTATGATCAGAAAAATGGAGGAATCAGATTTTTACATAGCTTCCTCGAAGTGTTTTCCGATATTTGACCTCTGAAAATTCCTCATGAAAAATGAGTGATTGAAAAATTTTCTAGAGATTCAAAAATTTTTCTCAAAAAAAAAAAATTAAAAACTCTTTTCAAAATTTATGTGCAACCATCGATCTTTGGAGCATCTTCTCAATTTTTTTCTCCTCAAAAACTAAAAATAAAAATGCGTGGCAAATTAGGTCAATTTCCAGCCAAACATTTTTTCACGCGTGTCGAAGATCTGTCTGTTTTTTCTTCAAACTATGTTGTAACAAATAATTGTGTTTCAAGACTCTCTCAACAATTTTTTTTTCAAAAAAAAAAGAAAGTTGCTCAACAACTTATCTCAACTTTTTTGTTGAAACAAACAATATCCCACCTCTTTTTCGATGCCAATCCAACTCGAGATCAAACCTCCCAAGTATTTTTTTGTCATGCAACATACAACATCTCTATTTTTACCTCTTTGCTCTCATTAATTATCCTCGCAAAATGGGCATAAATTATGTTCTTGTAATGCACTCCTTTTCTCTTTTTTTTTCTCTTTGGTCTTGTTATGATCGCAACGAAGTTTTGTTTCATATTATATTTTATTATGAAAATAACTCTTCCGCTCCAGATGTTTTTTTTTATCTCATCATCATTTATTCAGATTCCTAAACTCATTTTGTTACAGGGGGTACCAGGCAACCATTATACCATATTACAAAGAAAACATGGCTGATGCCGATTTAGACGACTCATCTTTGGATGAGGTTAGTTAAAATATTATCATTTCTAAATCCAATTTCAAATTATTTCAGCACCGATGGCACGAAGAAAAAGAAGATATGCTTATGATGGTGATGGTTGTATTGCTCATGTTATTATCAGTTGTTATTTGGGTTGCGTTTTGTATAGCGGTCAGAAAAACGGCTAGAAAATTTATTGAATTGAAACGGCAACGACGACGACAGGTTGATTTTTGGGAATTTGAGAAAAAAGGGAAAGAGATAACACGCTCTGGTAGTCAAATTGTTCCGGTGGGATTTGAATTTTTGTGGTGGAGGATTAGTGGAATTTTGTTTATTGGATATAGATAGAAATGAAAATGAAAAATAAAACATGAAACATGCAACTTTTGAAAATATGTAAATTTAGTTCAGAAACGAGGGATTCATTTGTGATTCGATTCCTCTTCAGGTTCTGCTACGTAAATTCTCAAAATCATCACCTTACCATCCAAACTTATTCTCCTCTATTCCCAGCAATTATTTTTTCACAGTACCCAAACACCTGCTCAACACAATTAATTGTATTAATATTTTTCCAGGCACTGATCACTGCGGCAATCAACCGTGCAGCTTCGTCAAATGAAGCGGACCGTCATAATGTTCTTCCAATGTATATTGCAACATTGGCTCACGAATTAAATGTAAGGGATCACATTTCTTTAGGCTTCCTATAATTTAATTTAATTATTTTTTTCAGGTCTTCAACGCCCGTGAAGAAGAGTTACCATCATATGAAGAAGCGTTATCGCTGAGTTGCACACCGAGTCCTAATCCTGTCGCCAATCAAACACCTAGGGAACGGTAAGATTTCCCTTTTTAGAATTGTTTCCCACACTTCACTTGATTTGCTTGCACCAAAACCTCCCAAAAACACCACAATATCACACCTTCCATCTGACTAATAATTAGCTTTCAATTTTGCAGCGTGCCCCCATACAAACCTCGATCTCAGAAGAATGACAGAGTTCTTAGGTAAGCAATAACAATAATTTTGTGGCCGAAGACTTGTAGATGTTTCAAACGCATTTTGTTGAATAATCAATGTGTTTTTAGAATTGCACCGGATCGACCTGGATCGTTGCCAACAATAGTTTTACCACCAAGTTATGAAAGTTCAGTCCGACATGTTGCGATGGCTTCACCATCTGCATCTACGCCAAGCACATCAACATCTACACCTTCAACAAGTTCATCGCCGCCAATCTATACTATTACTGGAAATATGCGTGATAATGTGGTTCATATTTCAGAATGTTAATTAGCTTCCACTTCCAACCCACCCATCTAATTTTTCGCCCAATCATGTCAAAAACTTCTACGGTTCTAAAATACTTACGCAGCAATCAAACAATATGATGTTAGATTTAGAATTATGTTCTTCTTTCTCTGTCTCCGGTTTTTTCTCTTTTCACACCTTATCAAACTCTTGTCACCAATTTGTGTATATTTTTGAACAAAAAGTCTATATATTTACGGTTTTCTCCTCGTTTTTTCTCTGTCCTGCCATTGTTTTGGTAGTATTTTGAATTGAAAATAAAAATTTTGATTTATTAAAGCATTACGTACAAGGGTTATTTTTACAAGTTACAGTGAATTTTTAAAACTTCATGCATTAGATCGTCGTCGAGTTCGAGAAGTTGAGCGGGTTCTCTGAAAAATGCTATTTTGCTTTTGAGAAACGCGACTTTCAGATTATTTGTTCATACATCTCATGTTCATGAAAAATTTTTTGAATTGAAGTAATATTTTGATTGAGTTTCAGTTCTCGAACAAACTATGAACTGATTTATTTTTTTTTGGTCAAATGTAAATGATATTTCAAATTCAACAAAATTTTTGTTGAATCATTTCATATGAATAATATTGAAATTGAATTTACTGCATGAATTTCAACAAGAAAAAAAACTTACCAAAGTATGCGTTTGTGCAATAATTCTATTAGCCGCTTGATCAACTTTCGCCATTCTTTGCCAAACTCTACTTCGATATTGATCAGAATTCCGGATATTTCGCAATGTTATCTCTCTCATATCTCTCTCATAAAATGCTCGAATTGTCGTTGAATCAGCAAATAAATCCCTGCTCACACTTTCCGCACTTCGTTGACCGGTAGCAACAGCTCGTGCAGCTATCTAAAACGACAAATTTGCTCAGTAGAATTAGAATGTTGCAAAAATCTTACTCTTTTCCGATGTTCAATTTCGGCTCGGCGTTCAGCTGCAGCTTTTATGATCCTTTGTCGAGCTTCTAGCCGTTCAATGAACTCTGGACGATTTCTTTCAAGATGCAATCTTGGAGGACATGCTCTTCCCCAAGCATCGTCTTTCATTGGTGAAATATTGAGATGTTCGATTGCTGGCTCGCTGTGTGATCGATGAAGCGCTAAAAAATTGTTTTTAAATTACATAAAATCATTGAATAAATTTAAAACGCACCTTCATGATGTTGTTCAACTTCAAAAAGTCGCCTTCTTGGTTGTGATCTTCTGATTGTTGATGTTGTCGTTCTGATTTGCGGCTGTGATTGTGGAAGAATCGGTGTGGAAGGCAGGTTTGGTGTGACTGGCGGGAAGATTCGTTGACGCTGAGTTGGCTGAAAATCAATTTTTCTTTTTGAGAGAATAAAATATGTTGTTTATGGAAAAGTGAGAAAAATATTTATTATTGCGAAATAGTTAGTTGTGGGGTTTTATAACTTGGCTGAAACGTTTTTAGAGGAAATTTGAAAAATAAAATTATATGGTTGAGGTTGATTTTAAAGTGCCTGACCGTTTTTTAATATTGTTTTGAGAAAACATATCAAAACTTAAGGAAAACACACCGATCTGAAATCTTGAATTAGACAAGATTCGGGATTGCAAGATTTTTATAAACCTCTAAGGTTCAGGAAATATTATCTGAAAAGAGAAACATTCAACATTTGTGAATCTATGGTTTCAGTGTAATTAGAGAAAAAAGTTATGAATGAACTGGAAACACGAGAACAGTGACTTCTAGGATAGTTTTACATTTATCATATTCGAATGTTGTTGTTAGAATTGAAAGCCAGTGATGTACTTCCACCTTCGGGATGATTGTGGTTCAAGTTTTTGATTGCCCTTTCCAAAAATACATACCGTGTTCCTTGTTTCAATAGTCGCAACAGCGATTGGTGTCGTTCTCCTTGATGCTCTTTGCATACTCAACCGAGCTCTCGGAGTTGTTGAACTTGCTGCAGGCGTCGATACACAACTACTACTGCTACTTGTCTCTCTTTTTGTGGGCGTGACTCGTTGAACTTTGGCGGATTTTGACAAACTCAACGATGTACTTTTCTCATGCGATTCAGAAGATTCCATCTCACTTGTTCTACAAAATATTTTTGGAAATTTATGAATTTGCAAGATTACAAAAAAGCTTACGAGTTCATCGATTTCACAAGAGCTGTGAGTTCTTTGATAGTCGCTGCTTGTTTATTCACAATATCCTTCAAATTCAAATTTTCCGTCTTCAGACTTTCACATTTTTTCATAAATCGGATCAATAAGTTGTTAGTATCTTCTATTGTATCTGAAAATAAAAATAGTTTTCTTCTTCTTTTTTTCTTGAAAGAAGAAATATGTATATTTCCAACCAACTCACCAATATTTTCATCGTTTTCCAGACCAATATTTGTGACATTTGGTGTTTCCGGCGGCCTATAATTAGCATATGTACATATATGTTTCTTTTTTTGTTGTTTATATAAAAATAAAATGAAAAATTACCTACCTCATTGTATTTTTGCTGGGCGTTTTTGGTGTTGAAGCAACTGGTGTGGAGCCCATTCGGCGTTGAGTGGATTGATAGAGAGTCCTGCAAAAATTGAGAATATGAGATATTTTTGTCTTGGAAACCCAATAAATTTTTCATAGGAAGTTTTTTTTTCAAGAAAAAATCCGAACTTGACATTAACTTAAAGGGTTTTCTGAACCATTGAAAAAAATTCTGAATAAAGGTTCAGTGAATTTTAACGATAAAAAAATTTAAAATTATTTTTTTAAAGAACAAAAATAAAAAAATCCCAAAAGTAACTCACCAAAGCTCTCCTGATTCATTCATACGCGAAAATGACCTGGGCGAATTGGACGAAATGACCATTTTGTGTGCACCAAAATATGATGACAGGTGCAAATGTCCTTGGCGTTCTTTTCACCCAAAGCTTCGCCACTCCTATAATTAAAAATTATTTCCATGGTTACTACTTCGGAAAAACAAGTAAACAAATTAATAAATGGGTTCTTGTATGGGTTGCGGGTATATTTAATTAATTTGAAAGAAGCGCCATTTTTTGCCGAGGTTTTAAATGATTATGTTTTTGAAAAAAACAATCTGACAAACGAAACTCTATGGAAATTTTTTAAAAATCATATAGAAAAAATAAATAATTAATTTTCTAAAAATTAGCGAATACATAAACAACTTTTTTGAGAAATAAAAAGGGAAAAATCAATCGATTCTAAAAAATTGCAAATGCCGCATTTGTTGTGTGTGTCAACACAACGACGCAATGTTACACACAGACAGGTGTTGCAATATATTTTCAAGAAGGGGAAGAAAGGAGACAGTATAAGGGCATAGGGTCAGTTTTCCCATCGGCAACAACATTATATGAAACCTGTATAAGTTTTGGTCACTTTCTGATAATAATTTGTTTCTGAAAACCAATGAGGAGTTTGAATATTCTGCTTTTTTATATCGCTTGAAACTGCTTTTTTGCTATGTAGTTTTCTTTATCTCTCCATTATTCTCCTAACTTTTTTTGAATAAAAAAAAGGTGGTATTTTTATTACTCATCCATAAATGATTGAAAATTGTATATGTGAGGAAATTGATACTATCTTTTTTTTTTCTGCAACACTAAATGATTATATAAACATTACGATTCAGAAAAAAAATCTGGAATAAACATTGAAAAGTATAGATTCATTTATTTATTCATTTATTAGTTGAACTATGATACCAAATTTGTTCAAATTCATATTTTTTAATTTTATTTTTTGTCTTATAAAATGTCAGGATGAAGAAACGGAAACACCATTCAATTTAACACGGTAAAGAAATTTTGAAATTTTTTAAAAATTAAATTCAATGTCAATGAGACAGTATTTTCAGATCGCATATTTTGGTGGCTGATGGGAGCATGTTTTTTCAAGCGGGATTTGATAAAAATATCACATTCCAAACACGTGGAACTGGCAAAATTCTTATAAACAATGCTAATGTTGCAGGGTTACCTTCAAAGGTATCATAAGTTTTCAGAAAATTTATAAATATAAGTTTGATTTCAGGAGGATTATGATAAGTATTTTGCAAAACTGAAGATGTTGGAAGAAAATTATGAATTCCTCAAGCCACAATATGAAACCATTAAGTCAGATCTTCTTGAAATATCTAAATCACAGATTGAATTAAAGGAAACTGTGAGTATTTTTATTAGAAATGATGTATAAAAAATTGGAAACATTTTCAGCAAAAGAAACTCTCTGGGAGTCTGACGGATTTTGAAAAATCAAAAGAGAACATCTCAAAAACTTTGGAATCTGATGAAGAATCATTGAATCATGCAATTAATAAAATAGTGTAAGAACTGACTCAAAAACGTGAAGATCCTCTGATTTTTCAGCGATTTGACAGAACATTTGAATATTGATGCGTGTGAAAATTATCCTTGTTTGAACGGTGGAACTTGTATTCCAAAAATTGGTGACAAATTCATGTGTTTGTGCCCAAAATATTTTGAGGTAAGTTTTATTGAGACTGTGTCAAATAAAAGCAATCAAAATCGAAACACAATTTAATTCCAGGGCAACAAATGTGAGAACGATGTGAACGAATGTTTATTTATTAATGGAACAGATCTTGCTTGCAAAAACGGTGGAAGCTGTGAGAACACAAAATATGGATATAAATGTAATTGTCAAGGGAAATTTCACGGTCCACTTTGTCAATACGAACAAGCAGTTTGTTCACAATCAACCAAATTATGTGGACCACATGGACATTGCATTTCATCTTCAAATAGTTATAGTTGTAAATGTGATACTGGTTTCAAAATGATTGATGAAAAAACTAATCCTACTTGTGCTGATATTGATGAATGTGAAAACAATCCTTGTCATCCAGGAGTTCAGTGTTTGAATCTTGATGGGTCTTTTCAATGTAATGGATGTCCAAAAGGATATAAAAGTAAGTCAGAAAAATTACTTCAGAAATCTGTACATTGAAAAATAGAACGTGTGGGTTTTGTTTCACTACGAACAAAGAGTTTATATATAATTTTTAGTGGTTGGTGGTCAATGTTATGATATAAACGAATGCGAAGAGCATCCAAATATTTGTGCAAAACATTCAAAATGTATCAATCATCAAGGTTCTTATGAATGTGGCAAATGTGAAGCTGGATATTCTGGTGACAGCAGAAAACAGTGCATCAAAGATGATCCGTGTTCACAAAACAATTGTCCAGAATCTTCAACTTGTATTCCAACTAATCATTTATTAAATTCTTTGTATTATTGTAAATGTCCTGAAAATCGAGCACTGAACTACAATAGGTGTACGCCAATGGATTATGTTGGCTGTCGTTCATCTTGTCAAAACAACGGAGTGGTTGAATATGATCATTATAAACACAGATGCAAATGTAACTGCCCTGTAAATTATGTTGGAGAAAGATGTGAAAAAGTGTGTTTTTAGGATTCGAATTTTTATGGAAAAAAAAATAATTGCAGGCTTCTCCATGTTTCCCAAATCCTTGTAAAAATGGGAAATGTCAAATTCGAGAAGATCATTCGGCAGTTTGCATATGTGATCCTTTGTATTTTGGTAAAAATTGTGAAACTATGGAGGGTTCTAATGACAATCATCTCACGGCGGACTATGGTAGTTTCAACTTCACATCTGATTCAACAAATCAAATCCATTTTCATCGAACGTTTTTTGTAAGAAATAATGAGAACTACATCTTGCGAATCAATTTTACTAAATTCGAAAATATGGAAAAGACATTACCAGGTCCAACTGATTGTGAAACAACGCTCGGAAAATTGACTGTAATTATTACCTAAAATTAAAAAAAAAATTTCAGAATTTTTTTCAGTTGTACAATGGTCCAAATCAGTATCACCCAGTTTTTGCAACATTTTGTGGAGAAAGTGGAGGAAGACTGGCTCCGAGGTTGAATCAAAATATTACCATTCCGGTGTCAAATGCTCTCCTAGAATTTAAAGGACATTCTACTGACTTTGCTTTAAACTATGAATTCATCAAACGAGGTCATTTTTTTTAGTTAAAATTTAAAAGTGGAAACTAACTTTTTCAGAATGCGGCTACACAACAGAAATAGTTAAACCTATTGTGGTCCCTGAAAACACTCAAAATATTTCTTGTCTATGGATAATTAAAGCTCCAAAACACGAAGTAGTCAGAATCAATATTCCAAAAATCATTATGCTTTCTGGAAACAAGTTTGATTGTAATCAGAATAGTTTAGAGATTCATGATGGTTTCTATAAAGACCAATTGATAGCTCAAATTTGTTCAAATGTTGATGATACTATAACATCATATGTTTCGAAAGGTTCATATATGACAATTTCATTCAACAGTCGGTTAATAGCAGCATCTAACGAAAACGAAAAAATAAAAGGATTTTCACTGAAATTCAATTTTGATCAAAATCTTGTCGACTGTGACAAAACGTTTGAAAACGAGCTAACAACGATGTCATTCAGTGGAGTTATCAAATCTCCGTCTTTTGGAATTGAAAAATACCCACCAAATTCAAAATGTTTATTGGAAATTATTGGAGCAAGGAAAAACGAAACAAATGATCATTTGACTATCAAATTAAATTTTGTAACTTTTGATGTTAAAAGTAGAGATGACAAATGCAAAGAAGATTATATTCAAATACAAACTGATATATTTGGAGAAACATCAAGATATTGTAACGATAAAAATCCCCCTAGGCCATTAGTGATTCAAAGTTCAAATGCTTTGATTGAGTTTGTTTCTGATAAACTCGAAGAAGGTGAAGGATTTGAAGTACGTTTTGAAGTGGAATGTTTAAGAAAGTTCACAGCGAAGGATGGATCAATTCAAACATGGAATTTTCCGAATGGAGGAAAAAGTGGAAAATGTATTTATATAATTGAGGCACCTAAACATAAATATATCAGTCTAAAGTGAGTTTTTGAAATTTCAAAAAGCCGAGAAATTTTCAAACCCAAATTTATTAATTAATAAGTAAATTGTTGTTTTTTTTTTCAAATTATTTCACAGCATGTTTTTTTACAGATTCAACAATGTACATCTCAACATAGTTCAAAACGAGGAAGATTGTTTCAATTATAATGTCACTGGCGAAGAACAAAACTATGTCGAATTCCAAGGAGGTTTAGAGCACAATGGCAAATCAAATCATAAATATTATTGCAAGAAAAATAATTTCAATGAAGGTGAAACAATGCAATTTTATTCAACTGAACCGTTGCTCGTAACTGTGAGTAGTGATGGAAGTGAGGATTTCAAAGGTATCTCTTTCGAGTACAATATCATAGATTTTAGTAAGTTTTTGTCAACACATAGCAAAGAACAATTGTTTGATTAAGGTTGTGGCGGATATTTTTCGAATGAAACATCACATTCTTTTGAATCACCTCATTATCCATCATTATATCCAAATGATGTTAATTGTGATTATCATATTAATGCTGAAAATTGGGCAACAATAAGATTGAGCTTTGAAGATTTTGATCTGGGTGTACCTGAATATCGGATGGTTGGATCATGTGTATATGATCGTGTCGAAATTTATGAATATAATTTAGATTTTGAAAAAGATGGAAAACTATTGATCACATATTGTCACAGTGGTGATAAACAACCTGTTCAAACAAACTATAAAAACATGTTGGTTCGTCTAATTTCAACTTCAAAACCCCCACGTGCTCGATGGAATGAACATAATCTACCTCGGGGATTTAAAGCAAAGTTAGTTTTTTATTGAAATCTTTTTTACAAACCTGTTTCTGCGTGAGACTATTTCTAGAAAACATTATAGAAACTTCAACGGTTTTCTTATACTTTGAAATTATCTAAAAGTAAATAGTTCAAAAAATATGAAACATTTTACAGGTTTGAATATTTACCACATGTAGATTGTGAAACACATCTCACTACCTCTGACGGAGAAATTGTGTTCACAAATTATGACGTGAAATGTGTTTATCATATAAATATTAATCATGGAAGCAGAGTTATTTTCAATAAATTGTCTGGATCTTGTAATATGATAATCTACGATGGAGCCACTAAAGATTCTGCCATACTTGGCACATCATATTTTGATGAACCATATAGTTTAAAGTTAAACCAGTTGGTGACATCAACAAATCATGCACTGGTAGAAGTTCTTGGAAAAAATGAGAATTGCACTTTGAGCTATTTTTCGGAAACAGGATGTGGAAAAACAATGACTGGAACTATAGGCGGAGTTATTTCGTCGCCAGGATGGCCAACTAAAGGTTTGCTATCTGGGCGATGTGAATGGACGATCAAAGTGGCCGATGGAAATCGAATTCAGTTTGAACTTGATCAAATGGATCAAATTTCTAGCTATGATGAATCGCATCCATATTACGGATTTTGTTTGGATCGATCTTCTCAATTAAGGGTGAAAAAAATTTCTTATTTTCTTTTTGAATATGTTTTCATTTTCAGATATATGAATCACCTCGTTTTAAATCAGAACTTATTGCACTATTTTGTGTCAAAACTGCAAATTCAACTCCAATAGTTTCTAAACATAATGAAATAAATATCAAATATATTCAATTCGACAGTCGAATTTTGTCTGGATTTTCAGCAAAGTGGAAAGTAAAATGCGATGGAATTTTGTTGACTGATATGTTTGGAGCAATCCAATCAGTATTATACCCAGATGGAGATTCTGAATACCACTGCAATTGGACGATTCGGGCTCCTATTGGAAATCGGATAACTATTCTAGTTCATGATATTGATATTCCTTGTGAAATAAGCTATCTAGAAGTAAGACACAAATTAAATATTAAAATGATTGTTTTTGTTTAGGTGAGCAATTTGAAAGACGTTGGATCAAAAAAACTATGCAATTCTCATGATTCACATGAAATAACTTCAGAACATAATATTTTGAATATCAATTATTATTCAGGAATATCCGGACAATTTTCATTGAGTTATTTTACGGTTGGGTGTGTTGGAGATATAAAAACTCCTCAAAACATTATTATTTATAAAAAAGATATTGATGAAATGTATCAGAAATTTGAGTGTCATTATAAAATATCAGCCCCAATTGGACAAAAAATCAAAATCACTTTCAATCATTATGGTTATCTAACTCCAAAAGAAAAATGTGTTTATTCAAACAACACTGACTTCGAAGGAATTGCAGTTTTCTCAGGAAATTCCAATCAGTCTGGAATACCAAGTCAAACAATATGTGAAAATAAACCAAATCCAATAATTTCTCAATTCCACGAAGTGTTTATTATCATGTCATTTGATGTAAATAGTTTCAAATATAGCGATGAATTATATTTGAATGCTACAATTGAATTTATTGATGCACCGGAAGGATGCAGCCACAAATATGAATGTGAGTGAGAATTAACATACTTTTAAATATTTTTGATTTCAGTGACTGATGATCCAATAACAATATCTTCTCCAAATTATCCTAGAATTTATCCAGAAAGAACGAAATGCGAGTGGCAATTCAATGTCCAACCTGGCTATCATATAAAATTGATTTTGGAAGATTTTTCAATTGCACATAGTGATGCAAAGCATTTGGCCAGACAAGATTTATCTATTGGTTACAGTTGTAAAGTTCAAAACCGCGTAGAAGACGCACACGGCGTGCTTACCATTATTGAGGGGTAAATTTCAATTTTTGTTGACTTTGTTAGAAAAAATTACAACAAGAAGTAGGGATAACCAATAATTGACTCGAACAACATCAAATTATGAAACCTTGTTATCGAGTTTCAGAGGCATATTCCACAATTACTTTTTCTTACAGAACCAAAATTATGGATAGAATTTGCAATAATACCAAAAATAAAGAATATGAAATATTTTCAAATCGCAGTGGAATTGTATTTGATGGTGTAAGACGTTTACGTTTTGTCGATAAGAACCACACTGAAAATAAGGTTGGATTCTTGATTTTTGATTCACAGCAAAATATTTAATTCAGATTGGTTTTCAATTAACTGCGAGACGAGTTTGTGGTGGAGTTGTTGATGCTAGTTTTGAAGAACAAACAATGTATATTGAAATGCGCGATATAAAAACTTGTAATGTAACAATCAGAAACAGAATTGGTGGTAAGATTAATAAAAAGCCAGTGGGAAATTCCATTTTTTCTGTATATCATCAAATTTCCCACAGCTTCAGTTTATGAAATTTAAAAATAAAATATTTTTCTTACAGACGATACAAAAATATTTGCAAGAATTGCATCGACTGATATATTAAGCGGACAGGAGAGAACAATTTGGTCGCAACAATTTTCCGACAACTATGAGATATTTGATGGAGATTCTCTCGTGTCCACTTATCCTCTTTATATAACTCATCCTAAACCTGCTGTATCTTCTGAAACTATGGTAGTGAAAATAAATACTATAGAGACTCATATCCATGCAGCTATCAAATATCGATTGAATGATTTCTGTGAGTTCTTTTCAATCCATTTCTGTCTCCAGTTTTGACTGAAAAAATGAACTACTAAAAAATAAAGAAAAACGCAAAACATTCAAACCTTCCGCCTGTCTGCTAGAGCGCGTTTGCCTTCTTCTTGATAGTACGAAAATTATAGTTTCTGTACTGTTTTCTACTTCGATGCTAGTTTTTCTTGATTATACATAATATCTCTTGAAATTCTGCCACAATTTTCCTGACTCGATCAATAATTACTTTTTACAAAATAAATTGGTTTGATTATACGTCTCCTTCCTCTCACTAATTCTCTCTTCATTTTTCACACTCTCTCCACTACTCTACTTCTCTAACATTACGTCCCTCTATTCTGTTTATGTTTGCATTAATTTTATTCTATAATCACTTTAAAATTTCCTAATTAGGGGACTTTTATTTCGATCATAGGGTATTTCGGAAAAAAAGGTCCCCACCACTATCATTTTGAGCCCCCACGTGTCAACTCAAGTTTAGGTCCCCACCAACAAGATTTCTGACCATAATAAGGTGGGGACCTATAATATGTCTGACGAGTGGGGGCTTAAAATGATAGTGGTGGGGACCTGTTCTACGATTCACCCTATGCAACACCTCTTCGCCGTCTTATGTTGAGATCAAACCGGCTCTATTGCGTCCTTCAATTTAATTCATTTTTCTTTCTGTTTCTTATTCATGATAATGAAAATTCATATTACAGCTTGCTCCTCAAAAACAATCACCGAAAAAACAGAAAAAGTTTGGATTAATTTGGGAAATGAAAAAATAGATTGTGAATGGACAATTTCAACAAATGCTGGAAGTTATGTCAGTTTTTATGTTGAGTGAGTTTCTTTCCATTGAAAATATTGTGAAAACATATTGTTTAAGGGATTTACAATGGTCACAAACGGAAACCTGTGATTCTAATTTCATAGAGATTCGTAAAAATAATAAATCAGGAGAATTAATACAACGTACGTGTGAACTTCAACTCGTTCATTGGCCACCTTTCAAGGAACAATCATTGTATGTTCGTTTGAAGTATGAACCACAGGAAATGCAGAATACAGGTCTATTCGTAGCTGAATTCAACAAACGTGCTGGTGCTTCAGGAAATGAAGACACTTTACCTTCTGTTTTAACAAAACCTGAATTTCCCACAAATTATCCCATTTATTATAATATTGAATCAAAAGATACGGAGGTTGGTTTTATTGCTGTTTTTTTTCAAATAATATCCAACTGTTTCAGAAATATCTTCAATTTGAAATAAGTAATCTATTTTTATCGGAATCTTCATATATTGAAGTATACGAAACGGTTGATACAAACGACAATTATGAATCAGAAACAGTTCATAAAAATGTCCAATCCAACGATCAATTCATTGTTCCATTTTCAAAAGCAACACTAAAAATAAAGTATGGAAGAAACGATGATTACCAAATTAAGTGGAAACCAGTTGAGAGTGATTTTATGTTATCGGATTCAACTGAGGAATTTAGCGACTGTGGTGAGAGAACGCTACAGGCAACATGGGAATGGCAGTATATTGAAAGTCCTGTTTCACACGATTATGATTATAATGAATATGAAGATGGAGGTGACGAAACAGTGTCTGGATATGCTAATAACTTACATTGTTTATGGAATTTGAATCATCCAATGTTTACTGGAGTTATGCTCAAGTTTGAAAAAATTGATTTGAAAAACGAAAATGATTGTGTTGAAGATTTTGTTACTTTCGAAAGTGACATCATCAAGTGAGAATTAAAAACAAATTTCATAAAGAAAACTTTATTATTTTTCAGATTTGGTAAAGAAAAATATTGTCGATCCAGCGAATCATTCAAGAAAATTGAAAAGAAAAGCGCAAACAATTTCAAGATTCATTTTATCAGTGATGGGGAAGGAACAGCTACAGGATTCAAGTTAGGATATAAATTGAGTGAGTTTATTTTTTGACGCAAAGTTACAAAAATCTGAAACTAATTAATGCATTATAAGAGGCAGTTTCTCAGTGTACATCAGAGAAGATAGTGAATTCTTTTTTTTGAGAGAAGTTGAGAGAAGTTAAAAGAATTTTGTTTCGCTTTTTGCACTGATCCCAATTTTTTGTTGCCAATATTATTCTCATACACAACACATAAATCTTTGAAATATATATTTTCAGTGTGTTCTTCTTCACAAATGATTCCTATTGGTGCTGATTACGAATATCAACTTGAAAGTCCTCCATTCATAGGAAATGAAACTTCTGAATCGGATTGTAAATGGTATATTAGATCAGAAAGCTCTCGCAATATTATTGTTGAAGTTCAAGAATCAAACATTGGAAATGGAAACTGTACAAACGATTTTGTTTTTTCAATTGTGAGGGTTAAAATGATAATGTTTAATAAGAACACATTCCTTTTCAGAGAACATCATATTTTGACAAACCTCAAAATTTCTGTGATCTCAATGACGCGGAAAACAGAACAGTAACTTCAAAAACAAATATTTTACATATTGGATATGAATTGTCACCAATGAAAAACAAAACATTTAAATTAAAATTGTATGAGAAGACAACTGAATGTCCATCTGAACCTTTCCGGATCAATTCAAAACATCCTTCAAGAACTATTTATTCTCCAGAATATCCTGGGAAAATTCCACATTCGACAGAATGTGAATATATGATTCAAGCGCCAATTGGACAAACTATTACTTTGAACTTTGTTGAATTAGATTTGGAAAGAGAAGATCCTAATGACAAGTAACAATTTAGCTCTTTAAAACCACCAATATTTTTTTAACCCCTTCAAAACGTTTTCAGAGATCACGATTATTTGGAAGTTCGAGATGGACCATCAAAATTATCTCCTCTAGTCGGAAAATATCAAGGTTTTCATGCACCACCATATATTATATCAACTGGAAATTGGTTCTATTTACGACTTCATACAAACAATAAAAGAATGAGTCAACGATTTGAAATTCGTGCTGAACTTGCAAAATGTGGAGGAACAATACATGTCAATGAGAGACAGAACAGTACAATTTTGAAATTTCCTAAAGATGACAAAATGTTTGAAACTCCGATCAATTGCACTTGGCTGATTCAAAGTCAGAATACACATTTGATTGATTACAAGTTGGTTGATATTTTCAAATTTTCAATGAACCTTAATGTTTTAAAGTTATTTTTAGGTTTCTATCGTTATCCTTTCTATCATTTTTTGACAGCGAAGCACATTTATTTATAAGTGATCGAAACAATACAAAACTCATTATTAGAGGTGGCACACACGAATATGAAAGAAGCAGTTCAAATAAATTGAAAATAACTTTTACAGTTCAGAAAACAGTACGTTTAAATAGCATTGCCTTAAAGGGGTTGTCCTTATACGTGAGAAAGCAAGTCCGCAATTGTGCGTCACTATTTTCAACTAACGGAACACCCCAAATGACTTAATAAATGTTTGGGTGTGAACTCCGAGAGAAGTACACACAAATAAATAATGTGTGCGATAGAGCGCACTTTCTTTCCTAGTTTCAAGGTTTTAGCGGCTTGTGTTTTTCACCAAAAATTCCGTATTCGCGCACCAAGAAAATTTTCTGAACACGGAACGTTCAAGAAGCACCTTAGCCCAAACAATTTAGCATATCTTACGTTGTGGAAAGACAGTGTGACAAATAAGTGTGACAATAATTTCAAATATATCCGCTTTGTTCATTGATTTGTTTTATCAATAATTTCAGAATACATTCCAACTTTGTTTAAGAGGAGCATGTGGATTCAGTATGGAATTTCGATTGAGTAAAGAGAGTAAGTTACTAAAAACAGCGAAAAAAAAATCTCACTATTATTTAAAGAATGCGGAGGTATCATTGATAATGATTCTGGAACGATTACACTACCTGGTTATCCTGGAATCATCCTTCCAAATTTGGACTGTCAATATGTTTTGAGTGCTGGTGTTGGTTTCGTGTATCGATTGAAGTTCAAATACACAGACGAAGAAAACGATAAACCCAAGTGTAATAAGTTTTTGAGGGTACGGTATTTCTTATAATCCAAACATTATTGAATTCATTCCAGCTTTACAACAGTTTTGAAATGGGTGTGTTTTATGGCGGTGAAATGTTCTGCGAAAATTCTGCTGTTTTGACAACGAGAACTGATAATGGACTCCTTCAGTATTCTGATAATGGTTTTCATTTACGGCGAACCATATCTGAACCGTTTGTGATTGAATATCAGAAAGTGAGTTCCAAGTTAAAAAACAAATTCATAAATGCAAACGTTGAAATCATAGATCCCTATGAGAAAAGAAGAGAATCACTGTACATACTTGGTTGAAAAGAATGAAACTCATTCATGGAGTAATAATGATGGAAATACGACCAAAACCGGATACGACGGTTTGAAATACTTTTCCGTCAACATAAAACAATTTTCAAAATTTTAGATTTTTGCCATTTCAAAGTGAAAAAGCCTAATGGAACAATGACACTGAAAATAAATTTCTCACAAATCAACCAAACTTATGCATGGCTTCAAAATGATTATGTACGATTGAAATGTGAGTTTTATTGAATCAAAAATTTTGATTGTCTTTTTATCACGGTTGATTTTTGTCACACGGTTTATTTTTATTTTACAGCAACAAGCGGTCCAATGTTATACAATAAATATATCAGTGGAAAAACACAACTGACCAATGAAACAGAATTTGTCACAATTAACAATGAAATGGATTTGTATATAGGACAAAAATCAAGTTCATATCTGAATTACACTGTGAAAGTTGATGTTGAATTCCAGGATTGCGGAGGATATTTGAAAGACTTTGATTCAGGAATCATAACAAGTCCAAACTATGGACCGAATAAAGTCTATCTAGCCAACTCGAGATGTCAATGGGTGTTAGAAGCACCGATTGGTCAAAGAGTTGCTATTAAAATAGAAGAGATGGCTATTCATCATACCGAAGATTGTAAAGAAGATCGCTTGACAGTTGGAGAAGGAAAAGAGAGTTACATTAATGTGCTTCATTATTATTGTCAAAGAGACAGAAATAATGCAGATGAAACTAATCGAAAATCTAATGATTTTGATGAGTCATATAGAACAATTGTTTCAAAGAGTAGATATTTAACTATCCAGTGGGTTACAAATGGAAAGACTGAACGATCTGGTTGGAAATTGAGTTATAGATTTTTCAATGAAGATGATTGTAAGTTATATTTCTATTCAAAATCTTCTACTTTGTACGCAAACGTTTTTCAGCTTGTATATATCATGAACCTCCCCGCGATCGTGGAATTATCAATTTTGTTCGACAGACTGGTGATTATTTGCCAAACCAACAATGCTACTGGGATATTCAAGCTCCAACTGGACATCACATTCTCCTACATTTTCAATTTTTCCATCTCGAAGACTCAGAGAATTGCAAAAACGATCAACTTTTAATTGCGCAAAAATCTCATGTTGGCACACATTTTTATTATTTTGAAATGAAAAGCACTGAAACCAACCAAAAAGTCGAAAAACCACTATGTGGTGAAATAACACCTAAAGATATTGTAACAGAAACTTCAAGACTCGTTTTAAGTTTTAAATCGAATCAAAACATAGAAAAAAGTGGATTTATTATTGAATGGAAAGCTGTTTGTGGAGCAACATACAACTCTTCACAAGGTACTATAATATCTCCACATTTTCCAAATGGTTATCAGAATGAAGATCGAGAATGTGAATATATTATTAATGCTGAGGAAACGGATATAGTTACTGTTGCATTTGCTGAAATTGATATGATGCCAAAAGATAATGACGAAAGAAATATTGAATGTGGATCAGACTATGTTGAGCTTTTTGGAAATGATAATATTGGTGTTAAATTCTGTCATCCATATGGTAAAACAAGAAAATATGATGGTCCGGTCAGAATAATTTTCAAAACTGGAAAACACAGAAGGCTAGGAGACATGAAAAAACATAAGGGATTCAAAATATTGTTCACTAAATACAGTAAGATTTTTTAGTTTTTAGAAGTATTTGAGATTTGTATGATTTTTCAGAATGCGGTGGAAACATTTATTTGGAAAAAGATGAAACAAGAATTATAGATAGTGGATATAAAATTTTCCGTGAACCTTTAATGTGCACATGGAACATAAATACAACTTCAGGAAATGCACTTATTGCAAAAATAGAAATGTTGACAACAAGCGTTAATGTTGTTAAGTTTTTCGATTCGTTCGAAAAAACGAAAATGATAGGAATACTTTCTGAAGAAAGTAATGTGTAAGTTTTGATAAAAACTCGATCTATTATGTAGCCTTCTGTATTGAATTTTTTTTTGACAGGCGTAGAAGAGTTCGAACAATCACACCACAGCTTGCAGTCGAATTGAATTCATCATATGAACATACTGGCATAGTTATGAGTGTAACATCAAAAAAACTGTGTTATCAGCTGTTGAATGCCACTGAAGAAATTAAAACAATTATCCGGCCAAGAGACGATAATGGAGATTTCCTTCAATTTGCGGACTGTGTTTGGTTTATCAATGCACCAGAATATAGTGTTATTCGGATCAATATTACAAGCACTTCTGAAGGTCAAGTTTCTTCGAATATGAATTCAAAATGCACTTCTGAAGGTTTGGCTATTTATGATGGAGAATTTGAAACTTCCCCACTCTTAACTCGAATATGTCACAATCAAGGATATCCAAATCATGAACTAGTGAGCTCTGACCAAGTTGTCCGAGTTTCTTTCATCTCTCATGATAATATAACTAGTGATGATTTTACCATATCGTATGCTCTTGAACCAAGTACGTTTTTTTCCGGAAGATATTTTTTTTCAAATAATTTTTGAATTGAAGAAGGCTGCAATATTGAACTCACTGCTGAAGAACATATACAAAATTTCACTTCAACATTCTCAAACGATGAAAACGATTTGAGATTAACAAAAAGATGCGCAATCAATTTACGAGCAAATAAATTAGAAGCATTAACAATCAATTTCCAAACCATGACGTTTTCTGATAATGCTGACAATAATTATTTGATGGTTGAAGATTTAGGAGAAACTACAACATACAGGGGAGCATCACGAATATATACACAGAAAGACAAAATACTACAGTATCATTCAATGACGAATTATGTTAAACTCACTATTGTCACGGAAAAAAAGCAACAATCAATGATTGATTTCACTTATGAATTGTTTGATAGTATGATTAAAGTTAGAATATCTTTCAAAAATGTGATTGTTTCCAGAATGCCAACATTTCTTAGAATCAAATAAAATGGATTTCGCAACTATTAGGAACGAGGAGGAACCGAAAAACAAAACATGCGTAACAAAAATAGGAAACTTTGAAAATCCTGTGGAATCGAGTAAAATATTCATTTATGGTCATTTTGTTGGGCAAAAGACAGGAAATGATTCATTTTTCAAATTAGTTGATAATTCTAAAGTTGTCGAAGAACTTCCAAATGATGAAATAATGTCATATGTTTCTGAAGGGAATGGTTTTGTTGAGGTAAGAAAATCAAAATAATATTCGCAAAAAGTCAGTTTACAGTTAATTCGACATGGGAACAATGCTGCTAAGTTTGAAGGAGGATTCCAGATAGTTGAATCAGAAACCAACGATACATTAATTTTGAAAGAAACCAGATCGATGTGGGGATATTTTACATATAAAAATAGTTCGAAATACACAACACAGATGTCAGTATTTTATACTTTTATTGTTTTTCTTCTATTGACTTTTTTTTCAGTTCTACAATACGCGTACCAAATGGTTATTTGACTCATATTCGTATTATGGTTTTAGACATTGGTTTTCCACCAGGAGATGATTGTCATACTCAAGGTTAGTGTTTCATGAAACATTTGTCACTAAACGTCAGTATTTTTTGCAGATGAGTATTTAAAAATAGAAATAACAGATAAACCAACAGAAGTTTTGCGAAATTGCCCAAACGTGAGTTTTTAAAAATTTCTATATTCATATAGTTACTGTTTTAGGACGACATACGTCCAATTAATATTGAAAGAGGTGAAGATATGGTGATTAAGATAACTCTTAAAATTGATAGAAATATTACAAATGTGGAGAGAAAAGTTTCAGTCCTATGGATATTTTCCGAACACGATTATTAATATTGTGAATAATTTGAATGAATATTTTTGAATTTTAAAACTCGTTTTGTTTCGAACATGACGAATGTTGTGTTAACATGGAGAAAACTAGGTCTAACATTTTGAAAATTAGTTTGAAGAACATTATTCATCGGATTTGCCCAAATCTTATGTTCCCCTAAATAGATAAAGAATTCATTTAAAAATTCTTATAAATTTGATTTAAAAAAATCTCAATTCACATAAGCTATAATTATAAGTTGTAATTTTTCTCTTTGTCGCCCCCACATACACACACACAAACAACATATCTTCTTCTATTTTTTTCGCACAAAAAATGAGATGGACCATTGAATTGTATTGCATGAAAACACCTGTGACAAACTCTTTTCTTCTTTTCATTTTATTTTTTTTGGTGAATGTTGACTTGAATATCTTTTGTTTCGGCTTTTCTTCGTGGATTATTGATTTGATTTTATTGGTTTTTTTGCAACGAGTTAGAGAACGAAGTTTTCATAAGAAAAATAGATTAGGTTTTTTAGGTGGACTACTCAAAATCAAGTGAATAATAATTTGTAAATTTTTTATAATTTTTGAAGATTGTTTCATAGTTATAAGGAGTGTTAGTTATTATTCTAACAAAATAAATACATTTATAAACATTATGCGTTTTATTCATAATTTAAAGAACATAGCTAAACAATTTTGAACAGATAACTTCAGTAGTTCTCAAAAATAGAAATATTCTTTATTTTTCAAAAATTCTGGATGGCATGGGATTACAGTTTTACCATGAGTGATTCTTCTGACCTTTTTAAAAAAGAAATTGACTCCTCACTCTTCCCAAAATAACTTCATGAGTCATAGTTTTTGAATTCTTCATCTTCCTCACGTTTTCTTCTTTATGTGACTCGGATTATCTTTGTTGTTTGATCTATTCAGGTTTTTTTTTCATTTCAGAAACAAAATGAGTAATCGATCAAGTGCATTTGAAAAAGCTCAACAATTAGTGGATAACGAAAAGGTCGATGAGGCTTTGGCTGAAATTTCAGAATTCACATCAGAAGACGGTGTTGAATATTCAATATCCGAAATGAGAATCATTAATACAATTATCAGCGAGAAATTGACGAGGTTCATAGTTTTTATTTTTATTTTTTTTTCAACTTCAAAGACATCCAAAAATAGTAAAATATTCCTCACTTTTTTTTTGGTTATGTTTTGCTCTCTAGTATGATAAAAAATGATGTTACAATCATTACAATCATAAAGTTCAAAGTCCAACTCATTTTTTCCAGTGCTTCCTTCGAAGAGAAGAAAGACGCTTGTTTCGCTTGTTTAGATCTGATAGAGGGAGTCAAAATCACGTGAGCTTTTTTTCTTCAATACAAAATTTACATATGTTATTCAAATTTCGAATTTCAGAAAAAATGCGGAATGGCTGGAATTATACAACGACTCGATTTATGAGATTTTTAGCAAATTGAACAGATGTGCACGGGATGAAGAGAGAAATGAAGTTTGGAATCGATTAAAGGTTTGTACTTATTTTCGGTGGTGACATTTTCTATAATAAAAACAAGCATACTTTTGAAGGAATTGTTCTACGAAGTGACACTCGCTGCTAAAAAAGTTTGGAAAGAGAAAAATGCCCCAGGAGGTTTGGAAATCTATGTTTATTACGCAAAATTAGTCAAAAGTTATCTCGATGTCGCCGATGAAGATTCTTTCAAAATTTGCGAGACTTTCGCAAAAGAAGCCAAATTTGTTGGAAAAGGAACTTTGGATGATGATGACTATAAAGATGCGAAAAAATCAATAGAATTAATCAACAAAACTGTTGGTGATGCGAAACATGAACGTGATCTTTTGGATGATGAGTAAATGATCAGGAAGGAAATATTTTGTCAGTGTATTTTTTGCGAGTGTACAAAATTCCATTATGCAATTTTGTTCCAGATTGGAACATTCAATAAACATTTATAAGTGCAGTCTCATAAAAGTTTCGGAACAAGAATTCAACCTTCAAAGGTTTATTGTACACACAGTAAACAAAAACACCTTTCAAAAAATCACTACAAGAAACCCGTTATAAGTTGAATATACATGAAAAAATCTCCTAACAATTGACTAGATTATTTAAACCCGTGTTTTCTCACACTCCAAACTGAAATCATTTTGAGTTTTGGCAATTCGTTGACCCTGTTCGTAGTTTCGTCGTTTGTATTTTGGCCAAAAGAAGATGACAAATAAGACAATCAAGATGCAAAGACAGATGAGCCAGATCAAAAATGGCCCTGAATAAAAATGTTGGTTAGGGCAGAAAAGTTCGGAAGAAAAACATACATTTCCAGGTGAGTACAGTGTTGATATTTTGATTAGCATCGACGCAGGTTTGAATAGCCAAATCGTGTGGTGTTGGTTTTCCGACGGCTAGATTGGTCATAATGACGAAAAACACTCCTTGAACTTGTCTGAAAAATTGGGATGAAAATGAACATTATCAAGATTTGATCTATGGAATTCGATTAAACGTTTCTCTGAATTTGAATTTAAATTTGAGGGAAAAAAATTAAAATAATTTTTCTGAAAATCTGAACAAATATCTCACGAATGAAAATATTTTTTGCGCATTTTTTGTTTTGAATTGAAATTTATTGGAACGTAAAATTCCAGATTTGATTTCTTTTCAAAAAATTATTCCAGACAATGCTTTTTTATTTTGTTTTTCTGTAACAAAGAAAAAACTGCTCACCCGATCATAATGATCAATCCAGTTGAAGTGGCTTCAGCGACAGGAAACGTTGCCTCAACTCCCATTTCGAGTCCAATTGGGAAGACTGAGAATCCACCAGCTCCGAAAACGAAAATCGACGCAATCACCCACCATTGCACATTTTCATAATTAATACAAATAGCTAAACTTGCACCAGCTACACCAGCAATACAAAATGCAATTTTCATAACTCTTTCAAATTGTCCCCATTTATCAACAATAATTCCACTAACTGCAGCTCCAACTAAACCACTTCCAATTAATAAAGATCCCATTCCACCATTAAATGTTGGGTCATATCCTTTTACACATAATGCTGGTTGGAGATTATTATAAAGTGCGTTGAAAAGACCAACACCTCCACCAAGACAGATTCCAAGAATTATGAAAGTTCTAGAGCGGAAACATCTTTTTACACCTTCGAAAAATGGTGGTGCTTGAACATCTGAATCCCTTTGAAGGTGTTGCTGGAGTTGGTGGTTTGGACGAATTGATGAAAATTGATAAAAACACGGGGATTATTGCAACAATTGTCACGGCAATATTCTGGAACAATAATATTTATTTTATTTTTAACTCCAATTCCAATTCCTGTTGATAACATTTTCCTTCCGCTGATCAGCAAATGTTGTTATCTATCAAAAGATGTTTCCTTTTGTAATCAAAAAAGCAAAGTTTTTTGAATGTACATCATTTTTGTTTGCAAAATAAAATGAAATCAATCTCACCATATTGAAAAAATTGTCAGGAGTAGTTCTGTTAACAAATACAGGTGCGATAGAATACATTACAGCAATACCGATTGGATTTGACATTGATGCGAGAGTGTTTGCCAAGGCTCTTTCATTATCTGCGAACCAGTAAGCTGCCAGTTTTGTGGGTAGGAACATGACAAATGGTTGAGCAAATGCAGCGACAGCTTGGCCAGTGAAAGCAATAGGGAATCTGGAAAATAAAAATTTCGATTTTGGAAAGGGTTTCTAGGATTTTGTTTCTGAAATGCTTGAAGGCACACCTTTAAATAGAAACTTAAAAATTTTGAATATTTTAAAGTTTAAAAAATAATTAATTATTGTTTCTCTATTTTTCTCAATTTTAATTTTTTTTTCAAAGTTTATAAAAAAAAGTCAATTCTCATTGTTTGAATCGCTTCGGTTCCGGAAAAATGCGTTCATTGTGAACAATGTTTTGAATGCGTTATTGTCAAAAATAATCTTTTCACATTTTTGAAATAAAACTCAAGTGTCAAATGTTCAAACACAGATCAAAAATTCAATGTTTCATATCATTTTTTCTATTAACCCAAAGAACACGAGAAAACGCATACATAATCCATGTAATTTTGTAGTTTTATCAAATAGAACTTTCTTTGTACGAAAAAAGCATGTTTCTTTGAAACCAAGTTGCTTTTTTTCTGATAAAATCGTAATAAAAACTATTATCAATTTGCTGAAACAACAAGAAAGTGAATTTACGAACCTCAAATTGGGCTCGATAAACGAACCAGAAGCCACGAGCCGTATAACATTTCCGATAAAATTTGACCAAACACCAATGTGATACTGAAAAAGTTTAAGATGATAAGAGAAAGGTTTAGGGATCAATTTTCCGTTCCAATGTTCTTTTTTGTTGAAATTATGTTTCAGAAATATTGTTTTTATTGAATAAAAGTTTCATGAGGGGTGTATTGTAGAGATTGATTAGTTGAATAGGTTGAGCTGGAGGACTTTTAAAAAATTCAAGTAATTGGAAATGGGTAGTCTGACTCCACAAATTTTTGATAAAGCGCTGGGTAAATATATTTTCTCTAAGAAATATAACACAAGTTTTGTGTCTCTTGATTAAATTTCAAATATATTCCAAAAATAATACTTGAACCTATTTTTAGAATTCATGAACCTTGGTTCAAAAAAATAATGAGTGATCCAGGTTTTCAAATGTGTTATCTGAATACCTTCGCATGATTTTTGCAGAATTTCTTTCGAAATCGCAACTCATTTCAAAAAACTCACAGCACTTCTCAATCCAAACTTGTCAATCCACCAACACGCCAAAAATCCAACAGGTATTGACAAAACCATAAAAATAACATTGAACAAAAGAGCCGCATTATTATTTGCATAATAATCGTTGGTATAAAATGTAATAGCCGCATAAGTGATCCACGTCTAAAAAAAGTACAAATAAAATCTCATAAACATTATCCCTTTTCTTGCTGACTAACATTTCCATTTGAAAATTGTATCATACAAGATGCCAATAAATAAATCCATCTTTTCGAGTAAACCCGATATTCTTCATTGCTCATTTTTTGCTTTTTTCTATTCTAAAAAAATCGATATACGGAAGAAGCTAGACATACAAACATGCAACAACGAACAAAAAATGACTAGAAAACCTTTTTTCTTTTTTTTTTGCTTCAACGTTTCAAAAAAAAAATAAATTCATGACGATGGGAAAATAAAATTGACAATTTCATACACGAATAATCTTATCATAAAAAAGAAGAGAAAATTAGTATGTATCAATTTCATGCACGCCAAAAAAGGGGCGGAATGCGGAATTTTTTGAGCAAAGACAAATGGTCAAAAATGTTGCCAAAATCAAATTGATAAATGAGTTGGGATAGAATTGCTATGATTTATGTTTCTCTTTCTTTTCTTAGAGAACAAATTTTTTTCTGAAAAAAATGTGACGTTCGCAACATTTCATGATGAACGGGTTTGTTCATATAGTTAGGAAAAAGATTAATATCGGAAAAATTTATAGGATGATTGATGATTTGATAAAGTTGTCCAACAATTTTTTGAAACATTTTTTTTGAACTTATTGTTAAAGGGACATGAGAGACTACAGAGTTAAACAAACAATGGCTAGACAGAAATCAAAAATAGTGGGAGCAAAAATGACGGGGAAAGAAAAGGTAAGAGACAAAAAATGACCTATGTGGCTTTTAGTAAAAAAAGTATGTAGTTTGGTTTTGTTGATCCTCAATCAAACAAATATGCATATGTATTGTATATATAAAACACAACTGCACCTTATTGTTCAAACACAAGAAAAACACTACTGTTTTTTGCGGAGTGTTTTATTAAGATCACGAATGAACCGAACAAGAGTTCACTGCGAACTTTTTTGTTGTGTTTTCAAAAACATGTCGGGTTCAATTTTTAAACTCAACAAGGTTTGAAATTTGTCTGAATTTTTTTTTAATGCAAAAAAATTCTATATTTTTGAACCCATAATTACATTCATACCAAACTTTTTTCCAAAAGAAATACAGAAAAACGTGATTCTTATCATCGAAATATTGTGCGCCGGAAAATATGGAGAGATGGCCGAGCGGTCTAAGGCGCTGGTTTAAGGCACCAGTCCCTTCGGGGGCGTGGGTTCGAATCCCACTCTCTTCAGCTTTTTTCAATTTTTTCGAAAATTCTAGAAAGTTTTATTATACATAGATTAGGTAGTTTAACTATTTTTTGAAAATTTTTGTCTGAAATTCAATTTCTCTTTACATTTAAAGGAGAGAAGGTTTTAAAGTAGGAAAATCTGAGTTTCTACCTATATCAAAAAAAATTCTGAAAATTAGTGTTCATTACGAAAAAGTAACGTTCTCACAATTATTTTTTACGAACGATGATAATGAGAAGTAATCAAATTAATGTGAAGAATGTAGGACATTCATTGTTAACGTTCAAAAAGATTGAAAATGAGAATATTCTGAAGGGGAAAAAAGTAAACATGTTTTTTTTTGAAAAAAAATGTTCAAGGTAATTGACTTTTTGATATGAATAGGGAATGTTTTTGGTATGCCGGTGGTATGAAAAACGGAAAAACAGTTTGAATTCTAATTTGGAAATTAAGTGGAATAGTGGAATTTACTTTTCACCATTCAACACTAAAAAAACTGAAAACATGTGAATTTCAATTAGACACGGTTCAATGATACTATAATTGTATTTATCTCAATCAAACTGAAAAACATTGCGGTTTTTTTTGAGAAAATCGGAGAATGTCACATGGAACGTTTATGAGTCATCGAATAATTTTTATTTGTTTGTATTTCTTGTAACACATTTTTGGCGCATCTTCTATTAAAAAAATAGAAATGTTTTCCTTAAAGTAGAATTCAGTTAAATTATTATTTTAAAAAACAAATCTTAACAAACTATTTTCAAAAAAAAATAATTTTTGCAAACAACTGGAAATTGAACGTAAAAAACAGCTGACGAGAAAAATCACAACATCATAGTATTTTCCGTTTTTATTGAAAATATGGAGTTTGCGGCACTTCATTTTTCAGAACTAAAACAAATGGCGTATTTATGAAATTCAAACTTTCAATATATCTGGAAAAAACAATGATTCCATGTTTTATAAAATGTTTGATATGTTCAAAATTTTATTGCGTTTGAAATGGGATCAATCATAATTTGCTCATGTATAACGATTAATAGGATCCACATTATCAAACAAAAACAATTTTTTTGGAATATCTAACTTCAACAATGCATGAACCATATACTTGACTCAAAATTTGGCAAACAAAACATTTTGAATAAGAAAAAAAAAGAAGATGTTACTTATTATTAACGCAAAAAAAATCGAAAATAAGAATGGCTTCATCAGATATAGCTTACTTTTCATCTAACAACGTGTGCGGTCACCTCATTAATTGTTCCTGAAGAGCTGTTGAACAATATGTACATCTGGCAAAACTGTGAATTAACTCAATTAGTATATTGTGTAATCTGGCAAATACCGTGACCCAAGTGTCTATTATATAATTAATGGAGACAACGTGTGATTTTTAGTGCATTCAAATAATGTTCTATTCAGAAGAGTTGAAGAAAAAACCAAAGTTCTTGATAAAATATAAAATAAAATGTTTTTCGTATTTTTTCCAGACAAGATGTGTGTTGAACAAGGTTGAGTTTTGGAAAGTATTATTTGCTTCCAAATCTTAACTTGATAGACAAATTGTAAAAATCGAAAAATTATCTGAAAATCTTCTCGAAATAAATTTCCCCCACACTCTTGAAATACTTTTGTTTGGTTAAGCCTTACAAAACTTTTTTCTGAATCATCTAATGTGAAAGCCAGCCAGATTACTTTTTAAATTAAAACCGCCAATATAATTGAAAAATTTCAATTTAGATTTTCAGAAAATAAAAAGTTTTTTCTCATTTCATTATTCCAAACAAAAGAAATGCAAATATGTGGTTGGTGAATTTTCTAAATGCTTTCAAATCAGTGGTTTTGTGCCTTGGAATCTTTGCCAACGGATTGTGCATTTATGCATTTCATAGACTTAATACTATCAACCTTGGATCATTGAGAGTATGGAAACCAATATTTATCCGGAACTGTTTGATCAATCTTGTATTCTGTTTGTTCTGCTTTTTTGTCTGGCCCGAGAAACATGTTGATAAATATGTATTGCGAGTTAATTCAAATTATCATAAACTACTTCATTTCGACTTTGTTCGATATTTGTTGAAATGTTTCTTTTTTGTTGAAAGTCTGGTAAGTTTTGGGTACTGTACCTCAATTTTTTTGTTTGAAAAATTAGTTTCCTGATTCAACAAACTGTCAATTTAATTAGACACGGTTCAATGAGAGAGCAGAAAACATTTGATATGTAAACAAACATGCTTCGAAAAAATCACATGTTTTTTAGACAAACAAAACGCATTTGAGAAAAAAGTTGTAAACTTTTTTGCAATTTCACAACTCGGGATCAAATCTTTTAGAAAATGGTGAAATGCGGGGAGAAAAATAACAAAGTTCAACCTAACCGATTTTTTTAAAATTCTGACTGGAATTCCAGAGATTTAACTACAGTTATTTAAAAAAAATTCTGTTATTTTTTTCAGCCCGCTACAACCTTGATTTGCTACCTCTTTCTTTTGGCATGCATTTTTCGAAACGTTGAAAGATTTCTTCAAAACGTCACCATTTTCTCGAACCTCACAATCTACCTTGGATTTTTGTTGAACACATTTCTATGTTGGTGTTCCTTATGGAACACTCGGGATGGTACCATCGTTGTTGAATTTCAGGTAAAAAGAATTACAAAAAAAACTTCCACATAAAATTAAATTGATTTCACAGATATTGGATCCCTCGACTCCAATCAGTTTTGTCAATTTGCTCCACGCGGTTTTGGTCGTCTGTTTCATGGTATTTTTGTTTTCGGAACCTATACCTAATGAAAAAATTCCATTTCAGCCATTCTTAATTTTCTTTGGTTACATGCAAGTTCGAATGAATATGAGTATCCGTGGTGGAGTTCCAGACAAGCAGCGAATTATTTTGAGAACTTATGTGATTCAGGAAAGCTATTGTACAATTTTTATCATAGAAATAAATCAAAAGAATTTTCAGGTTTTTCTTTTCCATTTTTTCTCAAACATCACCACATTCTACGTCATTTTTGTTCAATTTTTGCGACTTCCAAAACACCCAGCTTTTCTGGCGTGTTTAGATCTCACTGAATATTTTCCTCATTTGATGTTTCCACTCGTCATTTTGTATGAAATTCAAGAAGCCAGGTAAAAACTATGAAAAGAATGAAAAAAATAGTTTTGTCGATTTCAGAGCAATCATAATGAAGCTCGTAAATGTGTGGAAACCAACTCAAACTCAACAACAACCAATATCCCTTCCAGAGCCAACAGTGGTATTCAAAAAACGCCGTGGAACAAAACGATTTGCATCAGTTAATTCAGTTTCTCAATCTGTTGAAGTACAAGAGACAACTGCTTGAATTGACATAAGATTCAAATAAACCTGTTAACAAAAAAACTCGTATTTATTTTTTGTAGAACAGAAAAAAGTGAACATGATGAAAACAAGGAAAAATGAATAAACAACAAAAAATCATAGTTCGTAAATGTGAATCTCAATTGGCGCAGGTTCAGGTGGACAGCAAAAATAGCGCACGTCTGGTGGATTTTCGGGCAAAGCTTCGCTGAAAATAAAAATGAAACAATCAAAATTTCGGTTTCAGATATAAACTTGAAGATGAATATAGAAAATGGCCTTCAAAATTACTTTTCTCAATTTCAGGTTTACGGTTTCCACCACAATAATAAAAGAGAAACTTTTGTGGTCCTTACATACAATCATTTAATAGCACCCAACATATTTTGAATATAAAAACAGTTTGATTTTTTAAAACTCACTGCCAATATGGAATCCACCAATTGTGAATCGGAACAATCACGACAAAAAAGCATTGCATAGTGTAAAGCAATTTTTCAGCCATTGGATTATTCAAACCAAAAAATTTGAAGACACCAATCGGGCTGAGGCAAAGGAATGTGATGAAAGCCTGTAAAAATCCACAATTAAGAATGAGACCACATAAAGTGACCTCGTGTTAAATGGGACTTCTTCGTTCAGAAATCGTAATGATGAAGCCAAGCCTTTCATGTGAAATGACAAAAGTTTTTTTTTTCATCAAGACAATATTTGAACAGGGTCCTTTTCGTCACAAGGTCTCACTTGATGATATAAAATTGAACAAACTCACCTGAATACGCATATAACGCATAGTTCGGATTTGTTTCGCAATTGATTGCAAATCTCCAGCACCAGTATCAGGAACAAGAAGAAAACTCATGAGAAAATAAAACAAAAACACTAATACGATAGAGATAAACATTGACCATTGGTAATATGCCAGAAATATAGTTGCAATCCAACTTGATATCGTAATATTTACCTGTAAAATAATAATAAAATAAGTTCTTTTCAATGACTTTTTAAAGCAACATACATCATATCTCAAATAATTATATGTAAAATTGGATGTGCCATATTCTGAAGTATTGAAAGACGCATCCCAATGAGTTAAACCAAAAGTTCCAACGCAAATAACTGTCATTGATAATACTCCAAGTGTAGCTCTTGATAGATATTTTCCAGCTCTTTCTATTCGTTTGCGCGGGAATATAACAATACGAATTAATGCGGTAGCCAAACGACAACCAAAGAATAGGGGATAAACTTGCATTATCTGAAATTAGAAAAGTAGTTAGTGAGGTAGCTTAGTTGTGGCTGCTTAGAATTTAAACATCACTGGTTCGATTTTTAATGCTGGTTCTAGAAGTCTACAATTTTATTCTTCAGTGAGTTTACAGTTTCGTTAGAAAAATTTAAAAATAGGAAAAATTTTAAAAAAAAATATGGCAAAAACACCACATTTTCTACTGGATTATATTTTACATCATTAAATTCACAGTAAGATTCTTTTCATCTTTTCAAAAAACTCACAAAATCCGCAATCCATAAATGAAAAAGGAGCAATGATTTCCCAATCTTTCCGCTAAAACGCATATGGTTAGTCACGTAAACAATCGCTTCCTTGTGATCCGACATATATCCGGGAAATGTCATCACCAACGAAAAACAATAAACAACGGTGGCAATATTGATCAAACCAATAAAACATGAATAAATCTGTTTGTGAAGAGTTTGTGTGTGCAGTACGACAACAAGACTGAATGCATTTAATAGAATTCCAGTGAATGCGAAAAGTCCTTGAATTATTGAACATATGGTTTGCAACTCCATCTGAAACACAATTTGTTTGTGAAAAAATAATACCATTGAAATTCTATTGTTAAAATAAGTCAAAGAAACTCTTTTTTTTATATCCGATCACAACGAATAAACATCGCAAGCGGCAAAAATAATAATGAAATATATATAAAAGCACAATTATTGTAACTTTTTTTCAAACCAAAATTAAAAATAATATTCTCTGGTGAAATTATTCATCAAAAATAAAATACATAGACGCCAATTATAAAAATAAAAGCGAAATACAAGAAGACGATACATTCTCTCGAAATCAGAAACGAGTCTCAGTTGTAGGGTTCCGAGTATGATTTTGGAGGTGGAGTTGAGCAACAGCATTTCTGGTGTTGTGAATTCGAAGAGCTTCGCTGAAAAATGATAAGTTTTGTTCGAATTTTCAGACGTAAAAACAGAAACCTACCGCCATTGTTTGATTTTACAGTTCAAGAATGGAACAATAACCACGTGGATTGGTCGAAGTGAATAGAAAAGGAGTCCCAATGTATGTGAATATAAATGTGGCGCCATAGAGATGACTATTTCGTAAGTATAAAAAGGTAGCAAACAGGCAAATGTGATTGTCACCTAGAAATTATTGTTCCTTTTCAAAATATGTATTCAAAACGTACTTGATAAAAAATATATTTGACTGTGTTTCTATGAGAATTTTGAGCATGAGCACTTCCAATATAAATTCCAATTTCATGGTTGATTGAAACGAGCAAAGAAAAACTGAGCATATACTGTAAAATAAAATGATATATATATTTTTAAACAAAAATATTGTTCCAAACTCACAAACAAAACAAGTGTTAATCTACTGAAAAACATTGTAAGTGCATAAATTAGATCGATGTTGTAATACGAAGTCTGAATTAACAAATAATTATATTTTTGAAAATATACTCGGTTTCTACTTGAACTTACATCATATCGTATATACTGTGAATCATCTAATGAGAAAGAATATTGAGTAGAATTAAATGGAAGATTGTCGTTGTAAATGATATACGGTCCGTAATAAAAACACACAAGAAATGCAAAGCCGGATACAGCTAGTAATATTGAAGCCAAATTGATAATGGGATCTGATCTTGCATTTACTTGGAACGAACAATACCGAACAATGAAGAAACACGGGTAGAGAATGAATTTCTGAAAAAATACAATTGGATGAGTGAGATATCATTCAATATTTGAGATCGAATAAAACTCACAATTTCGGAGAAGAGCAGATGGATAATCAACATTCTTTTGGAAAACAATCCAACACTGAAATACGAATAAATGATTGATTCCTTATTTGTATCGAAGAAAAATAGTGGAAATGATATGAGAATTGTGATACAGTGAATGATCATCATCACTTGGAATAAACAAATGAATGTTGTGTAGAGTTGAGCTCTCATAGTCACTGATTTGGTGGCAATATATAAGAAATATGCATTGAGAATAAGTCCAGCAGAAGCAATCAATCCTTGAAATATCGCACAACTCCCACCAAAATCCATTTGGTTCATCTGGAATTAACAATAATTATGAAAAAAAATACCGGACACAAGGAAAAATGAAATATATATATATATGAAAAGTACAACATTTGTGACTGTAAAAAATAAAAAAAATAGTGAAATACTATTTTCTGGTGAAATAATTCATTTAAAATGAGATACAAGAAGCCAATCATAAAAATAAGACGAAATACAAGAAGAAGATAATTGCGATCATAATCAGAAACGAGACTCTGACACTGCTTCAGTGTTTGGAGATTGATATGGAGCAACAGCTACGCTGGTTTTGTGAATGCGTTCAGCGTCGCTGAAAAAAAAACAATTAACTTCACCTAAATTTTCAAAATAAAATCCATCAAAACTTACAGCCATTCTTTGATTCCACAGTTAAAAAACGGAACAATTAACACATAGGCTGGTTGAAGTGTGTAGAAAAAGAGTCCCGTTGAGTATGAATAGATCTCTGGCCATATTGTTATAACAACTTCGTAAATGTAAAAAGGTAGCAAAAAACCGAAGGTAACTGTCACCTAAAAAAACGTATTTCAATTTTTCAAATAAATGATGAGAACTTACTTGAATAAATAAATTACACATTGTGTTTTTATGAATTTTTTTAGAATAAGTGCTCCCGACATAATCTTCTATTTCACGGCGGATTGAGATGTGGAAAGCAACTATTAAAACATACTGTAAAATAAATAAAAATATATTATGAAATGTGAATTATGAATTGTAACTTACGAATAAAATGAGGATAGCTTTGCTTAGAAACATTGGATATGCAAATAAAGACTGGATGTTGTGATACGTAATCTGAAATAACAACGAATGAAATCAAATTCATTTCAGTTCTGTAGTTTTTTTGTGAAACTTACATCATAGCGCAAATAAGCAGTATCAGCTAACGACAAATGAGTTTGGGTTGAATTGAATGGAAGATCCCAATTGTGAACAAGAAATGGTAAATAATAAAACAAAACTGCCAATATAAAGCCACTAAAAGCTAGAAATAATGCAATCCAATTGACACAATCATTAGTTCTTGGAATCAGTTGAAATGATTGATGTCGAACGGCGAAGAACCAAAGGAAATAGACAAATTGCTGCAAATATTTAGAAAAATGAAAAACCCATTTTGTTTTATCTGAATCAAACTCACCACTTCCGAAATGAGAAGAAATACAACCAGCATTAACTTGGAATAACGAAAAGTGAAATATGAATAAATGATTGATTCCTTATTTGTATCGAAGAAAAATTGTGGAAATGATGCAAGAATTGTGATGCAGTGAAGGATCATAAGCGCTGAATAACAACACATGAACAATGTGTAGAGTTGCTTCATCTTTGTTTTTGATTTGGCACCAATATACATGAAATATATGTTGATTATTATCCCAACAGAAGCGATTAAACCTTGCACTATTGCATATATTGTGCTAACAGTTGCTGGATCCATCTGAAATTATCGTTTTTGGTGAAAAAATCTCTCCTTTATAAAAAATTAAAAAAAACCAAAAATAATATATCACAACAAGAGTGATCGCAACAAAATAAAACAATGACGACCGTTCGAATATGGTGTCCTTCTCTGTTTGTATCATTAGAGCACGTTTGCGCTACTTATACTTTCTTCAATGTTTTTCTCTCTTCTTTTTTGTGTAGTGTATTGAAAATACAAAAACTTAGAAATTGAAGAGAAATAATAATTCATTTTTACAGAAAAGTTGTGTTGTTGGCATAAGTGATGATTGTTTCAAGAAATATATAGGTGAGGTTTAAATTTAAATTGTTTTTCTCGCAAACAAATGCAACTACTTTGTCAATTATTTTATATTTCCATATTGAAAAAAATTTTCTGATTTTTTGAAAAGTTGAAGACTTGGTTGCTGCTTTTTTGGGTGAATCGTAGCAAAAAAGGTATTCTTCTGGTTTTTTTTTCATAAGTCGATTCGTTTTTTAAGTAGTATTCTGATTTTAATCAAATAACTTTTTACAATTTGTTTTTTGTTCCATGATCCAGTCTTCAAGTGCAATAAGGCCAAAAAAGAAATAAACAACTCGAAATGTATATGATTTTTTTTGTTGTTTGATGTTTTGTACAAAGATAACCTATAAAAATAAGACGCCATTTGAAATTGGTTTTTTACCTCACATTCAGATATCATGGATGTTTGTTCCTGACTTTTTTGAGTTATTAGTATTTTTGGAATATAAATTACATGTTGACGAATGTGTTCCCCAATGCAAAATCTATTTATTTTTTCAAAAATTCTCTAGTTTTTGCTCTTGAAAGTCTTCTAATTTCCAAAAAAAAAACTTCCGGAAAAAGAACAAAGACACATTTTATGGAGTCACGTTTCTTCTTAAATTACACATACTTTATTCTTTATTTTAAATAGCACAGTTTAGGATGAATTCTGAATTTGAAATTAATATGTTTCGGCCAGCTCTCACAGTTTGAAGAGCTTCTGAAATTGTTGCTCCGTCGTTTGAGTAGTATTGTGTGATTTTTCTGAAAGTTTTCTAATTTCTTATTTCATGTATAGTTTTTGGGGTAGAACTCACAAATCGTCGTCTTTACTTCCGCCGATAGTAATTCTTATGACCATCGAAGGATTTTTGATTTGAGAATTTAAAAATGAAGCAAAAGTTTTGATTCGAATTTGATGACAAGTTACTAAAAGTGATCCATCAATATCCAACCATAAAGATGTTGGAGCACATCCAATATCGAAAGTATTCTAAAACATTATTCATATTTTATGTTTTCTTTTTGTTCTCAGTAAAAGTACCTTCTTTTCTATGTTGTCTGATGCATATGTTATTATACTATTTTGCGAATATGAGGCGACATATAAGATTCTGCAAAAAAATATATGTTTATTTGTTTCGTATTCGTAATAGTGTCCTATGTCATTTTTGAGTGAGAACGTACTCGAATTAATCATCTTCTAAGAACTTCAGCACATCTTTGTGTTTTTTTTTCTGATTCTTAGAACAAAATTAAATCTGATTAATTTTCAACATAACACTTTTTTTCTAGACAAATAACTTCCGTTTTTTAGACCGTGTGAAATTTATTAGTTCTCACTTTTTGAAATCGTCGTAGACCACATCGGTTGGATAAGCAATTTCATCAATCAAAGTTGTTATTTTGTTTTCTTGTAGTAGAATTTGTCCAGTTTTCGGGAACGGGAAGAACCTTTAAAAAAATTTTCAAGTCAGAATATCAGGTGAATCTTAGAGTAGGTTTCGAGGTAGGAAAAATGATTACCATAATTATCATTCAGAGTCCCTACAAGACAACCAAACCTTAAGCCTCCATCAACAGTATTTTTGACCATATTAATGTTTTTTACGATTTACCCAAAATATCTGTTGATTCAACTCACCTGCTGAAAATTCGAATAATCTCAAAATCATAATAATTATGTTTGATGAAATAAAAACTAGATTTGTTTTTTGATGCCAAGCCTATCAGTCTGTGAGAAAATTAAGAATGTTCTTTATTGCATAGAATTTTCAATGATCACTTTCACTTACCCTTTGAATTCTCTATTCTTGAATGTTTTTCTCAATTTCAGTGTGTTGTTAGAAGTTTTGTCGGATATTGTATAAACCAAAACATTTGTTGATAGTTCATCGTAAGCAAATAAATAATTCTGAAATTTTTTTTGAATAACAAAAAAGATTTGTGCGCGATTTTTTCTCATTGAAATATGATCTACACACAAATTGAAGAAAAAACAATGAATCTCATGAATTATTAGTTACCTCAAATAAACTAAGAGCCGACAGATTTCTGTTCCTTTGATCCAAGTCTATCTCTTTTGCTGTTTTATGATCTGCATCAAATGTGAATAAATGTGTATGTTCGGATGAATATTCGTGCATTGGATTCTGAATAAATATATGAAAAAAAAATCATATATTCACGTTTTTTTATGAAAGGTTAGGTTAAGTTGAGTTATTTTTAAAGTTCTCACCACAATCATGAATAATTTACCAATTGTTGTTGTAGTGGCAAAATCTTTGACGCCTGACAAATTTGGAATTATCCCACATTCTCCCGGAACATGGTTATATGGCCGCTTGTTGATGTCGAAATGCAGTCTAAAAATTGAATCATATATTTTTTGCGCAAAAATTTTTCAAATGCATTTCTGGTTCACACTACTTTAGATGAAGAGTTAGAGTAATTAAAAATTTTGAAAAATTCAATTCAGTATTTCTCTTTTTTGACTCAACATTTTTGGTTGATGAATGTATGAATTTTATGTTATATTTTTTTGTTTGAATCACTACTCTTCCAGATTTTAATCTAATTTTGTGAGTTTTCATGATTTGTTTTTAGTCTTGACTTGACTTTTGGTTGAAAAATGTAAGAATTCTTTCTCTGAACAAGAAATTTTTGAGTTTGGATTTCTCAAAACCTCAACAATAAATTTTCACAAATTCACTATTTTCTGAAAAAAATGAACAAACTTTCTTGTATTTTTTCATTCAAATATCACTGGCAAAAATGTGCCAAATAAAATTTAATCAAACATTGGCATTGCTCATATTAGATTTTTTGAAATTTTTAGCATTACTACCGCAATTACCTCAAAATTTCCAGCAGTTCGTAAACCTTTTCAAGTTTGAAATTCGCGAATTGATTCAAATTTTTTCAAGTTTTTTTCTATTTCAAAAATCTTTTAAAAAAACTCGGTTGATGTCATGTTTGAATTTCTTTTCTTTTCAAAAAAAAATTGAGCCTGTCTCATTAGATATTAAAATTGTTTTCTGAGAATTTTTCTGGTGAAAATATGAACTCTGCTCTCATGGATGATGTTTGCTAAATTTAATTAGTATTTTTGAAAATACGGATTTTCAAATACTCAAAGTTCAGTTTCAAAAAAATCCCATTACTTTTTCTAATTTGGCGAACCCATTATTTTTTAAAACTAATTTGTTACCAAACAAAAACTCACAATAATTTGCAAAAAAGTGATGTGAACAGAGCGAAAATTGACACAAAAAGTGTTTGTCGCCAATACGACTTCATTTTCACAAACACAAAATAAAGTCGTTTTAAAGTGAAAGAGTTCCAAAGAACTCACTTATAAATTCTTTATTCATATAGCGTGTAACGAGAAAAGACAATAGCTTGGCTAGTTTCTCTAATTATTTATTAATGTAGACATTTTCTCGAAACAAGAATTATATGGTTTTTTGATTTTTTGTTATTCAGAAAAAGTCAAAAAATTTTAACAGCGATCGATGCTTTTTCATGAATTTTGAATGGTATTTTTATAATGGTTAGTCTATTTTTTCATTCTATATTTTCATTATTTTTCCATCCATAGATATCAAATTGATAGAGATGTATGTATAATTTGTTTGTGAAATTTTTTTTGACGCTTCTGACTACTGTAGAAATGTTGTTTAGTCCTTCTCTTCTGATTGAGAAATTGAGAATATGAGAAAAACCTATTAATATTTTTATTTTAAGAGATTATAGACGAAGAATTGTGTCAATAATAAAGCTAATTTCACATTATTTCCTTGTGTTATATTTGTCTTTTCTCATAGTTTGATCAATTATTTTGAAAAGTTGAAACAACTTTTCAGAAAACTCTTTTTTTTTCAAAAATTCCCAGGTTTTCTCAAATAATTTTTTCATGATAAACAAACTTGAAAAAAGTGCGTGTGCTGTTTTTTGAAAAAAGTCTGGATGCAAAATCTTTCGAGCTCCCCTAAATCTTATGAAAGCTATAAAAATTATATTGCAAACTCGCACGAACTTCCTTGTTATTTTCTTTACATAAAAGTAAATCTTAATCTTTTTATAATTAGAACAAAAAATATTTTGCTGTTTCTTTTATCAACTTAAATATCAAGTCTCTTGTGAATATATTAACGTCAATGTTGGAAAACAAATTGACGTGATTGAACTTACAGTAGGATTTTCTTTTTTCAGAGAATAATATTTTTGCATTAATTGTTTTCTGGTTTTATAATCTGTTGAGATCAGCAACGAAATCATTTCTGCGTTTCGCTGGACTTAATTTTCTTCAGTATTGCATAATTTTCCGATATTAAAAAATGGAATAGATTTTTCAACGAATTCTATGTTTAAAAAAGTATCTATAATTTCCATTATAATTTTATAATTTTCTCTCTCCTTTAACACCAACACTCTTCCAATTTTCAGATGAGTACAGTCAACACATCATCATGCACTTTCCAACGAGAAATGGCTACACATATTCTATATATCATCCCAGAGTCTCTCACAATTTTGGCTGGATTTGCAGCTTTATCAATAATCACATACTCCTTCGTTCGTTATGGTTTTCGTCTTCTTTTCCATCACAACGCCAAAATCTTGATGATTCTTCTGACAGTTTTTTGCTTGATATTCTCAATTGACGCGACGTTTGTTTGTATAATGCAAGTTTGGAAAGCTCTCACTTACAAAAATGATTGTGATGTTGTTATGTTGACAAGCTTCTGCACGTTGTTCAGAAGAACTTCACTGTGAGTTCAACTATTATTTCATTTTGTTTTCCAGGAAAATACTCTTTTTTTAGAACATCATTTGTTGGATTCTCATGTACACAGTTCTTTCAAATGTTGGAGCGATTAATTGCTACAATTATGAAACAGAAATATGAGAGAAATACACAGTGGTTGGGTGGAATTCTAGTTTTGTTTTCGGTTCGTGGTTTTTTTTTGAAGTTTTAGTCAGAACAAATTTGCAAAATAGTGTTTATTGAACCTGAAATAAAAAGTTTGATTTCTGTTGAACTCTATAGTTCTGAAGAAAAAATGTGATTAGTTTTGTTTGCTTCGATAGTTTCTGAATTTTTTCATATTTAGTGTGAATGGAGTTCAATAACAAGTTCAAAAAACCAAACTAGGGAAAAGGGATCTTCTGAAAACTCTTGGAATTTTCACGTTCACAATTTTTCAGATCTTGAGTGCTCTTCTAACCATCGAATGGACTTTATGGAACGAAGATCCATTAGAAGAAATGACTCATTGTCTAACATATTCATCATCTCCAACAATCGGCCAAAGAATGTATCTTGTTTTTAACGCACTTCTAGTAATCGACCTTATTATTTTATGTGCATTTTGTTTGTTGTATAGACATAATAAGCGTAAAATTTTGTGAGTTGACTAACTAGCTGATGCGGGGGTTAAACATGAATCATGTTTTTTTTTCAGAACTGCTGGATTAGGGTTCAAATATCAACAACAAGAAAATCTGCAAGTTCTGAGAGCGCTTTTTCCTATGGTCTTGATCAACACACTTTTTGTTTCCACATATATTTTGATTGCACTAATTGCTAGAAATTTCCGAGATCAAATGAGCACCAAAAATTATCGACTATTCACACTAAACACATTTGTAAGCTATTTCGAATTTTCAAAAAAAAAACTGCAGAATTAAAATTCAAAAAAAATTTCAGATTTTCCCATATGTCTCTTTACTTTTATCGATAACAATGGTTTACACTATGAAAAAAGAGCATCAACGAAAGCTACAAAGGATTCATGCTTTGGAAAAAAGAGGATCAAAGTTTAACAGTCAATTGTATTTTAATATGTATGAGTCACAATGGAGCAGAGTTCACAAATAATAAATTGTTTTTTTTTACAATATCTTCATTACATGAAAAAAAGAAAACCGAAAACGGCTGATTTTGTCGGACATAGGGACAGCGCATTGTTGTCTTCTTCACTCTTGTCGCGATGGAGTACGGTAACACTGCGTGGCGTGTGTTTTCTTCATTTTTTTTCTCATTTTTGTTTGGCGAAAAGTTTCGATGGAGTTGTTCTTGATAATGGATAAGAAGCAAACGGCTTACGGTCAATTTGGTTGCAGTGTTTGCAATTTTTGACAATTTTCTGTACTACTGATCTTTCTTTGGAGATCCACATAGATTCACGCAATTTGGCCACTGTGAATAGACTGCTTGAATGATTGTATCTCCTTTGAATAATTTGAATTATAAGTATTGCGATAAAAAACAAGCGGCTTGTCTTTGACTCTTCCGGTGAACATCCATAGCTTCTTTTGTTGATCGAATTGTAGTTTAATTTGGCGAAAAGTTTCGATGGAACCAGATTCCAATCATTTCATAGAATGATTGGAATCTGGTTGGATCAATAACCAATAAATCCATTTTTTTCCTGCCTGGGTCAATAGTCAGAATAAGTTTATTGTAGTCAGAATAAGTTTATTGTGCAAAATAATTATTAAATAATCAAATAGTAAAACAAATTATATAAAACACATTGAAAAAAGAACATTTAGTTGGCTGGACTTTTTTGGGGTGATTCAATGTTGGCCAGCTTAGTCATCAAAAATAACATTCAAAAGTAGCAAAAAATAATAATACAAATAAAAAAATAGCATTTCAATCTTGTGTGATTCATTTGATATTCGATTTGACGTTGATCGTTAACGCCATCTTAATTTTTCTTGGGTTTCTTTGCCGAGTCCTCCTCATCTTCAACGGCACTTCTTTTGGTAGGCGGATGGTTCTGAAATATAACAATTGAACGAATTCTCACTCTTTCTCTCATAAAGAACCAACCAAATTTGATGATTGTTTTGTTTTCACGTGCTCATTTTTTCAGTAATATTCCTGGTCATCAAATTTGGTTGTTTCTGAATATGAGAATACGTGTCCAATTCTCTAACTAACGGTTAATTCAACTTACACCCATTCTGCAATTTCCGATTCCCAAAATCTTCTCGCGCTTGACTATTCCAGGGGAGGGAAAATGATCAGCGATTTCACGAAAAATCTTGTTTGGCAATTGTCATCCCAAGAAGATGTCCATTGGCATCGAAGATGGGTGATCCAGAATCTCCTTTTGCGCCGTTGCGTTTTCCAACTATATAGTTTCCTAAATCAAAAAATTCGATTTTGTAAAATTGAGGAATTGAACAAAGATACATACCTTTGATTTCTGAAATAATCTCACTTTTCCAAAAAGGTTGCCTTTTTTCCGACTCTGGTAGTATTCCTTGCCAAAACATAGACCGGCATTCATAACTTTGAAAATTATTACATGATATTTCGTTTAGTTGTTGGCAACTTTTAACTGAAAAGTAAATAAATTTCAGAAAGTAGTTCAAAGAATTGAAAACAAACCTCGAAGGTGATACTGCTATCTTTTAAGTCGTATGCTTGATATTGTCGCCTTGCTTAAATGTTGTATGCCTACCATGACCGTACGACATAATGTGTTTATGGTCAATGGCAAATGCACAATTGTGATGTTGTGTACATCATTTTTTCGATCGAAGTAGACACATTCATCCTGAAAACGGGTAAAATAATAAATAATTTCAGAACTTCTTTTTTGGTGCTGATTATCACAGCAAAAAAATTAATTTAGCAGACATTAGCGTTTGGGTGCAGAATGGAGAGCGCGAGACAAAAAAAGTATAAAACCTAAACCTAACCTAAGCGCAAAAAATGATGAAAATAACAAAAATAAATAAGGAAATATTAAGGAGATTACAAAAAAAAATTAATGAAAATATAAAGAGAAGAGCGGGACTAACTGTTAGAAAAGTAGAGTAGGTGAGAGGGTGTGGGAAATGAAGAGAGAATAAGTGAGAGGAAGGTGACGTATATTCAAACTTATATGTTTTGTAAAAGAAAATTATTGATCGAGTCAGGAAAATTGTATTAGAATTTCTCCAGATATTATTTTTGAGTTCAAATTGGTAATTTTTATGAATGTTTATTTTATGGAAATATTTAATGGTTTGTTGTTCTATAACAAATATGAAAGTTTGTGAAAAATATGAAAGAGTGTTGCCATCGAAAAGAGCGCAGAGTGTGTGAAAGGACTATTGTAGTTCGAAGGGACATGCTGAATATGAATATGGTAGAGAAAACCTGCAGATCTGCAGATCTAACTCGAGGAGAAACTGGACAAAATTATGAAGAATTATGCAGGATTCTAAAGCTCCTGCAGCAGGAAGCTTTAGAAGGCTTATATATATAGATAAAGAGTAGGGAAGAAAAACCCTGCAGATCTAACTCGAGAAATAATTGCACAGAAAAACAAAAGGCTCTGAAGACCCCTGAAGCCAAAAAATCATCAAGTTTCAGAATTTCAAACTCAATTTCGTTTTTTGAGCTTCATGCAACGAATATGTGAAAGATTTTTGAAATTCATTTATTGTATTAAACAGTAAAAATGTATTAAACAGTAAAATGTATTAAACAGTAAAAATTGAATAGTAAAAAATAAAAAAAGGGGTTATGACAACAATTATGATTTCGGGAAAGGGGTTGAAGTCACAATAGTAAATACAAGGGTTTTTTTTTTTTAATTAAAAAAAAATAAAATGAACAATGATATGGGGGGAATCTGAAGCGTGGGGGGGCAATATATTATTAGATTTGTGTTATATGGTTTGGGGGTTTCCTAGCTCAGACCGTTTCCGACAAGGATTCAAATAACAATGCTAATATAAGTAGTTTAAAATGAAGAGAGTTAAAATAATAAAAACAATTTTGCTGTGGGGGAGTCTTAAGCGTGGGGGGGGGGTGGCTATAACCGAATTTTGGATTTTAAAATATAAAATTCAAAAAAAAACAATGATATGGCGGGAGGCGCAATGAATTGAGCTCTGAGAAAATCAAAATTGAAAACTAACTCCTAATATTTTAAACTGAACTCACCTTCTTGAAAAACTTTCATCGTTGTGTCTTCTATTATTGAGCATTGGGTGGCCCGTTTTGTTGACATCCTTCATAAATTTCTGGAAAATTGCTCATTGAATGTTCTCTCAAAAAAAAATTCAGAGAACTTCTGTTATTCCCCAACCTAAATTGCACTAATCTATTACATTTTCTTAAAGAAAAATCAGTTTGAGATCCCCAACTCACCATCATTCATGAACTTTGCCACGTCATAACTCATATTAGGAGTTATGACGTGACGCAATGATAAGGGGGCAATCTAAGTGAATCTTGTACTGAAAAATAGAACATTTAAAACTAATCCCCGTGTTATGAACCCTCTCAACTCACCATTTTTTTGAATTTTGCCACGTCATAACTCATATTAGGAGTTATGACGTGAAGCAGTGATACGGGGGTATTATGGGCGGACGTTTCCTCTGCTAAAATAGAGCATTCAAAACTAACTTCCAATATTTAAACTGAGAATGAACTCACTTTTTTGAAGAAATTTTCATCAAATTCATCGATCCATGCGCCTGGGGGAAATCCGAAGCTGCAAAATGCGTTCTGTAAAAATTGACAACAATTATTATTCAAGCCACAAAAATTCAGAGAACGTGTATTGTGAACCCTTCTAAACTCACCATCACCCTATGAACTTTTCCACGTCATAGCTCATATTAGGAGTTGAGCTTTGCAAGTTTGGACAACTGCATCTTGATTCTTTTTAATATTGATTGCAAGTTCCCATCTTCATCCGGGAAAACCAAACCGACAAAAATCGTTCTGAAAAATGAGAACAATTGAAATTGAAATTCAGTATCAATTCTAAACTAACCTTATTCATATCGAAGAAAACTGGATGAATTTTGTCAATCCAAGCTTCCGAGGCAAACATAGCTGAAATAATCTATATAATGATAAAAAACAAGAGTAAAAATGAACAAATTGAAAAAAGAAGACCACACATGAAGCAAAACACAAGGGGAAAATGATAAACGTGGCCGAGAAATACACAGAAAAACTCTTCCCCCTTCTTTTTTTTTCAAAATAAAAAAGAAAGGTGAATTAAACAGTATTTTCGTTTAGGGAAATGGGAAAGTATTCAAAAATCATTGAAAAGGAAATCTAAAACTTTCGAGATAGTGAGGGAATGTTGCATATGACTTTGTTCCATGTTATTATCATGAACTTCGAATTGGTCCCTAACTTTTTTTGATACTCATAGTCTGATTACTACGTCAACAATATTTCACCTGTTTTGTTTCCCAAAAAGTCATGAAACTTTGAAAATGTTAGGATTCTGATTACGAAACAACTAGAGTTTAGTGGCATTTTAATAGGTCAGAATTCATGAAGCTGAAATGTTTTGTGAAATGCCAAACTATATTGTTTGAAGTTCAAAATCTTGAAAGAATTGGCATAACTACAATTCTTCTCAACAGAAAAATATGACAGGGACACAGCAAAACGCGCTCCATCGCATCTCTCACCCACCTCACCAACACTATTCCTCCTATATATTTTTCTTTTCGTCTCCTTGTTTCACACACTGTCTTTCCGCGTTTTGCAATTTTTTTTGCGACTGGAAAAGTAACAGGAATTACATGGAAAAATACAGTGAAAGTTAGTTTTGGTTTCATTTTGATTTTTAGTTCTGGTTGCAATTATTTTTTGATGTTACGAACAAGTGCGGCTGCGAGGAATAAGGAACCAATTTTGGAAGTTTTGAAGAAACATATTCGAGATGGAGATAAGGTATGATTTTTGGATGATTTTAAAATAAAACTATTATTATTGATTGATTTTTGGAATTAATTACGAAAAGCAACATAAAATCATGAATTTTTCAGATTCTCGAGATAGCTTCTGGATGTGGAGAGCATATTCATCATTTCGCTCAATCGATTCCAAATGCAACTTTTCAACCATCTGAAGCTGACGCACGACTTCTTCATAGTATTGTAGGATATATTGATAACCATCAGGTATTATTTTTATTGAAGTATATTTGATTTGCCTCGAAATTATTAGATGACTTTTTGGTTCAAAAAGCAATCTATATATCTATTTAAATGTTGAACTGAAAAATATTTTTTGGTCAGACTTGAACTTAAAGGTCAATATTTAAGAGTCAATAATTGAAAGAAGGGGAATTTCTTGAATACCCACTGCACAGAACACTTCGTGGTCTCAAAAATGAACCAAATTTATCTAGCGAATTCTTTTCAAAGTAGAAATGCTTTAAATGATATTTTTTAGGTTTTACAATTAAGATATTTCGCAATAATATGATATTTGAAGTTCCAGAATAAAAATTTGAAATTGAATTGATTAGAAGCCATTCTGAAAAACTCATATTTTGCAGCTCCCAAATGTTCGTGTTCCACTTTTCATCGACGTTGCCAAGAAATTCGATCAATGGGCATTGCCAGAAGATTATGGTCCAAAAAATCTCAACGTTGTTTTAAACATCAATATGATTCATATTTGTTCACAAAGTGCAATTGAAGGACTTTTTGAGGTATGTTTCAGAAATCCAAATGATATTCTAGTTTCATTTCCTTCCAGGCCGCCGATATTCTTCTCAATGATCAAAACGGGCTTTTGATAACTTATGGACCATATAGTGACAATGGTGTTATTTCACCACAATCCAATATTGATTTTGATGAGGGTTTGAGATCTCAAAATCCAGAATGGGGATTAAAAGATGTGCAATATCTAGTCAAGCTTGCTCAAGAAGTCAATCTTCATCTTGCCGAAAAAGTTTGTATGCCAAAAAACAACGCAATTTTAATTTTTTCAAGATAGACTTTCCCTTATTTTTAACGAAATACATAAACATTCCGACGCTTTCAATCCCTTTGAGTTTCAAAACATTTTTTCAGAAAATCCGTATAGGTTTCGTAGGTTTGTAGTCGTATAGTATATCCTACAATTCCAAGAAAATAGTACCAAAAAACTAAAAACTATAGTTTTTAGCAGAGAAATGTTGTGACGTACAAGTATGTACTTTGAAGGAAACCTTTGACTTCAAAGAGTCTATGGATTATGTTGTTTTTTGAATGATTGCATGTGGGTTACTGTAATATGATGATATAATTAATATCATATAATAAAAAGTCACGTTTTTTGTTTGTTTTTTTTTGAAAAGCTTTGAGAGAATTTATAGAGATTTAAAAGTGAACTCGAACTCGGCTTTGAGATTTATAATAAGTCGGCTTCCAAATTTTTTGAATAGAAAAATGATAAAATCAATGGGATGATTACAATAACTTGTGAATTTTTTAAATCAAGGATTACATTAATTTATTTTTATATCTGATTTATTTGAAAAATCCGTTGGTGGGTAGAATTATTATACTGATCATTATTTTTCCGGATAATATATGCCCTAATAATTAGAAACTAGGTAGTTTTATTTGAATAATCTTCTCAGGGACACTGGAATGTTTTCTGGGCTTTCTAACTACGTGATTCACTTGAAATCACATCTCAAAAATCTCTCCATAACTCATAAACCTTTTTTTGCGGTTTCAAAAAACTTCCAAACTTTCAAAACATTTCCCCCGGATTTCCGTTTTTTTCGAAATCAAAGAATACCTTTTCTCGTGTACCCTTTTGATTCTCCAATCCCCTGATTTCTTATAATATCTCCCAGTTTTTAGAAAATCAAAGGATTTCTTATTTTTCACGACAAGGATATTAGCACACCCATGATGTTAAAGACGAGATTTTCAGATTATACGTTCTGCATCTGGGATTGTCCTTTTCCAAAAATTCTTCTAATCTTGTCTAATCATTTGAACCCTTTTAACCAAGTTGTTTGATCTTTTGAGAATCCAATTTTTAAAGAACAAAACCCTAAAGTGCCCGTCTCTCCTCTCTAAAGAAAAGTTCCGTGTCTATTTTTACTTTTTTTTTCCGAGAAGACTGAAACAACTTATTTAGTACCGCTGCTCCATCAGGCAGGGCTCTTTGATCCCTCAACACCGAAAAAATGGCTCGTTTTCTTTTTCAAAGATTGGGTTTTGTTCGACAAAGGATTCTTGTGTCAGTTGTCGTTCAACGGACCAAACCACACAAGAGCAATGCACATTTTTATAGGGAAAAAACGCGAAAAATGTTGTGTGTTTCTATTTTCGAATTGAGAAAAAATAGAGGAAAGGACCTCGTTGTTGACGGATTGAAGACAAAGTTTTCTCTGTTGAACTTTTGTTGAAAAAAATGGATTAGCTTTGGAGAAAAGAGAAGAAAAAGTTCAGTAGATCAGAGCAATTTGACAGCATCTTTAATGTGATATTTGTGTTCTGATTTTACACAATTCTGAATTACTGAACGAAGTGTTTGTTGAGTTCTGATTCAAAATGAGCTTGAATACATAACCAAAATTGAAAAATTTTGCACTGTTTGAAAAATTCATTTCAGAAATTTGTTTCGGAACGGAACGCTTGAATAAAATTAGATAATAGCAAATTTAAAATCGACTTTAGTTTTAAATTAGATAATGTTTGGTGTCTGCTCTCTAATTGTCCAAATCAAGTTTCAATTTAAATCTGCAAATCTGCAAATCTAGAAAATTGCAATTTGAGAATTAATGGGGTGTTTTGAGGTAGCCTTATGTTTTTCCAGATTATGCTGAGAAATTTTATATCTCAACTCAAGCTACCAGATCTATTTTCCAACATCGATATCCTTTAAAAAGGATTTTTTTTCATTAAAATAACTACAGTATGCCTCTATTCCTGAAAAAAAACTTGATTTGCAGGTGTGTTTTCAAACATCATTAGATATTCTTCTTCCACGAATGTTTGATGTTTGAAAAATGTACGAGGAAATGGAAACGTTTTCTTTTTTCCTCTTCATAAACATTAATGTGTATATATATTTTTAGTGATGTATGTCCTGAAAACTTAGCAACTGAAAAATTGAGGAGAAGATGCAAACTAGGGTGGCATCAAAACACACAGGAATGAATGAAGCAATGAAACAAGCACAAGAAATGTCATGTTTCATTGAAAAAGGAGTTAGGTTACATTGTAATTGTTATTCCGTGCTCGATTAGAAAATGGTGTTGAAAAAAAGAGAACGAGAGAAAGAGTCGTGTTTCGATGTTTGGGATTTTTCGAATCTCGAAAAATCTACAGAAGTGCTCTTTTGAAAAGACTCTCTATTGAATTAGGAATGAAATAAAGTCCAACATACATATTACTGTTATCCCTAAAGCTCTGGAGCCAATGCAAGAAAACTGAATTCCCCGGATCCCTGGAGCCAACTCCCTAAAGCATCATGAAAATTGATAAAAATTGATTGGCTTATAAAAATAGCTGTCATAATCCTTGTTCACTTGTTTTCGAATTTTTTTTTTGAAAATTATATTCCGATAAATCCAGACTTCTATCTAAAAATATATCAAAAATAAACTTTAGCCGCAGAAATATTAATAATTATTCCGTTCTATGCACTTTTATGAAGCTGTTCAGATTTCTCAGGGAAACTAGAAAACTTTGCGACTACATTATAGCCACTCATTTTTCAGATCCCCAACCAACTTTCCCAGAAAAGTTCAAAAATATTTTTACGTGCAACTAATCTGATATCAAAATCACTTTTTGTACTTTGAGTTGAGAAGTACACAAAATATATTATATTAGCTAATTCATAGACAACTTTTATTATTATTCTTATTATTATATCATGTGACATATATTAATCTAGTTTAGTTTCACATGTTTTTCCGGTTCCCTGAATGTGAGATTATTTTTTTTGTGTGATGATTAGGCTCAAAGAACAACAAAAAACAAATGATGTGAGAGAAAGAAAGAGTTATAGAAGTTTTTGATCTTTTGAACATCAAACTATCTTGTCATTCTAAATCCCCCATTCCTTGCTTATGGAAAAGAAGTGCCTTTCAAAAAAATGTCAAAAAACCAAGCTTTTCCCTTCACTTTTCCTTTTCTTTTCCTCTTTTTCATGGTCCCCTTAGCAATCTTCCAAAGTTCAATAACACATCCGCTTGTGTGCTGTGCCCTCGAAACCACAACACACACACACAACATCATTTTCTAGGTTTCTTTTTGCTCTCACACAAGATAGAAAAAAAGAGGGCGCACTTGAATTGATTTGGCTTTTCGCCATTCCGCAACTCTCGACAAAATAAGGAAGTAAATGAAAACGGGGGAGCAAAGCAAAAAAACAGTGTGTATGGAAAAGTGAAAGATCAATTTATTTTATTTTATTTCGGACTTGTTTTGTTTTAGAGTCGCTATTTTTAGTGGAAGGACGTGTATTTTTTGAGATTTGCGGCTGGAGATCGAATGAATTATTAACATAAAAGACATCGGATATATGTAGTTCTTTGGTTTTCCTTCCAAAGTAAATTTTATGTAGATCAGAATTTTGGGCCGGTTTTGAATGTGAGAACAGGTCCCCCTGTTCTTTTGATCCACATTTTTTTGCAGAATTTCAGAATTCCAAAAAATATCCAATTAATATTTCATTCTTTTCGAAATGTTATTCATTGGAAACCCCTTTTTCAATGTTCATAAAACATTCGAACATGCTAATTTTCAAATCTCAAAAACAAAAAGGTCAATTTCCCTTTGTTTTAAACTACAGTCTATTCCTGCCTGACACTTCCATCTATCTTCCGCTCTCCTCTTAAAAAATCTCAAATAAATTGAATGAGTCTAAAAATAAATAAATAAATAGACGTTTGTGATTGGGCGAGAAGCAAAAGAAATAACACCGTAATCTTATATCAAAAAAATGAGTGGACAAAATTTTCTCATGTGTTTTTTGGCGGTTTTTGATAAATTGATAGTGATTGGGAAAAAGAAGAATGAGGTGATCGATGTTTTATAATATGAACCAAAGGTTCAAACAAGATATTTGTTAAATGGATTCTTTTTGGTTTTTTTTTTCCAGGAGTGCAAGTGTTTCTTGAAAATATGAAAAAAAAAGCCCGGAGCAATTTAAATCTTACATTTAAAATAAGAAAATGTTGCTGAACTCCAGTCTCTGGACTTTAACGTAACCCGATATTTTATTCTCATCAAAAACAAAAAAATTCTCTCATCTATTCATCCCATCATTTTCCTCGTCATCACCTCATTTGTATCGCATCGCTTTTACTTCCATTTTCGTCTTCGTCCATCTAAAAATAAAAGGATGTGAATTAATTCCACCCTCTCTCCTACTTTACTTTACTTCCATCTACAAAGCACCAAACTACAAACACACCCTTTTTCTCTCACACCAAGAAAGAAAATTTTCTCCCAAACGACACCCCGAAGAATTGCGTGCCAAAAGCAACGTTGAACATTGAACTCTTCTCTTCGGCCTTGAGCTCAACGAAGAAAAAAACGAAAGAAATAGGAGAGAAAAAGAGAGGCAAAAGCTTCCGTGTTGAAACATACGAAATACGAGAGATGGAGAATTATGTAGAGTGTAGTTTTGAAACAGCAAAAAAATATAATTGGATGATGTCTTCGATCAAAAGTGCAATAAGGATTAGACGTGTAATTTCCAAAATTTCTCGCATTTTGGAATATCGAATTATTAAGAATAGACTATCTAAATATTGTGTAGTCAAAATCTAGACTCTGAGAATACACATGTATGTAATTATGTTTGATGCTTATCTAACATCAGCTCCACTAGTTGTGCTCTGTAGTTTTCTGATAGATAATCTGTAGTTTTTCCTGATAAAAATCAAAGGCTAACTTTAGTTAACTCAAATTTGATTTTTATTTCTTCCACATATCCAAATCAGAATCACCTGTTTCACACGAATAAACTAAACTATTTTAAGTTTCTGAAGTGTGTTAGTTAACATCAAAAACCGAACAATTGGAAAGTCACGTCTTCAAAAAAAAAAAATTATGCTCGAAAATTCAAAGTCACACAACATCACAGCTTCATTTTGCTCTGCTCATCCTTTAAAGCTTTGGTTTAAAATTTATCCCGGAGACAACAAATCCGAAAGATTATACTGTAAGACTAAGACTAGTTATTTTTGATTTTCCAATCTCACTCAATTATACCAATTGCTTTTTTTCCCATTAAAACACACTCAAACATGAGCTATTTTTTCCTCCTATGTATGTAGTTTTTTTCTTCCGTGTTGGACTTGAGCAATGATCATCAGTATGATGTTTCATTCATTCTTTTCATTTAGTTGATGCAAAATTCTGGTTAACATATTCATATCAAGGAACTTTTTATGCTCAAAAAAAGCAGGTGAAGAATAAGTTCTCTAGTTCTATGATTCAACAGGCATACGTAATTGGATTATCTGATCAGCTGTGAGAGAATCTGATTTTTCAAAAATGTGATCTACAAAAAATCGGATTACAGTAACCAATTACTTATAAAGGTTTAGTTGTACTTTGTATCATGAGGGAGAACGCAGATCAATGATCGTAGAAGGGTTCCCGTTTTCAGTAAACTTATCTTTGAGCCCCCGATGAAAACAAACTGACTACCTGTTTTTGGGCGAGGGCCAGTTCTGCGTACTTTGTGTTATAGAATTCATATTTTCCAATTTCCTTTTCAATTTCCTATATTATTCATGTTCCAGATTCAGAAAAAAGTTGCAATTTCAGACAGGTACTGTAGTTTGTGATAAAAATAAGATATTTGATTTTAAAAATCAAATGATGTCCATAGGTACAGTGAAAAAAGGCGGAGATTAAGAAAAACGATGATATCAACACACAATAAAATCTATCTCAAACGTTTTCGCTGTCTCTATCTCTCATCTTCTCATCTCTCATTGTACGGAAATCAGTCAACCAACCGATTCTCAAACCTTTGTCGTTCATAGTTCGTCAAAATTCTCCTTCCCATCCCGTACTATTTCGCTTCTCTCTGTCCATTTGGTCTTCACACTATTTCTCGCATCGAAATCTCTCAATTTCGCCCGCTATTTTTGTCGCGCAACAAGTTTTGCGAACGATTCTGATGACGTAGTTTCTCTATGAACGATGATCTTACGGTAGAAGAGAAGAGGCAAAAATGTTTGGTTGGTATGGGAGGAGAGGAGATGAGAGAATGAAATTCGAAGAGAATACAATCAACAACGAAATGTACGCATGCTGACTTTTTAAAAATTATTTTTGTTATTTTTTATTATCATTTTTAAGGTATTTTTTTCTTCCATTTTTCACATTAATCATTATTTGTAAAGGGGACAGTGAAGATTCTTTGTTGAGCAAAAATAAATTAGGCTCCACCCCATGTTGCTCTTATCAATTGAGACGTGACTGATAAACATACTCAAACGTGAATTTTTCATTTTGCTATTTTTGAGTTTGCTCTTTTGGACATACGCCAATACCAAGAAACACTTTGCTGCTCTCGCGCATAAAAAACTTTCTAGTATGCTCTTTTCTCGGCTCTCTTTTCTCTCTCTCATTTTCTCTTGCTCTCTCAATTTTTTCAGTTCAATTCTTTGAATGGGTTGAGCAAATGGGCGGAGCTCGATCTCTGGGCAAAACATTTTCCACTACTTTTCTTCTCTGAGAGAGCACGGAGCTTCTACCAACTTCCTTGTTTATTTTCAACCCCGCCCCTTATTTGGAACATTATTTTATTTCATTTCATTTTAGTTTTTTCTTTCGTCCTCTTGCCAGCTCTCAGCTCATTTTTTTCTAAATTACTACTACTAAAAAAAGATTACTGTATGTTTTCAGTACACATGGATTTTTTAATGTCTAACGCGTTATCTGAGCAAACGTCAAGTGCTGCATCTTCTGGAGATTTTTGTGTTGTCTGTGGTGACAAAGCTATCGGAAAACATTATGGAGCAGTCGCTTGCAATGGATGTAAAGGGTTTTTCCGACGAAGTGTTTGGCAAAATCTACAGTATACTTGCCGTTTCAACAAACAATGCAATATTGATAAAGACCATCGTAACGCCTGCAGGTATTGTCGTTTTCAAAAATGCCTTGCTGATGGCATGAAACCAGAAGCAATTCAAAATGAAAGAGATCGAATTGGTAGCACCAAAAGGAGAAAGAGAAGTGGAGCAAATTCCGAAAACAATTCGGATTCTGAAGGAAATACACCGAGCCCAAAAATGGATAATGTTAGCAATTCAGTTTCAAGAAAACTTATTGAAATGCTAATTGATATTGAAAATCGATTGGTGAATAATCAAAATATGAATGCTTTACTTCGTGATGAAGCTGAACAAAAAAACAGTCGACAAAGAGCTGTTAATCATTTGATTGGCTGGACCAATATGTTGCATCCACTTCCAGAAGTTCCGTTAAGTGATAAGGTCAGTTTTGAAAGATTTCGGATTGAGAAAGAACGAATCATACTACGTCATCCTATCCGTTCTTTCTCTTCATCGGAAATACCCAAAAATAAATAATAAAAATAACATTTGATCTTTCAGGTATTGTTGATCAAAAAATACGCGCCGGCCTTCACATTGTTGGGAACATTGCAAAGAAGTATTGCCTTGGCACACTTTGTTCTTCCAAATGATCAATTGCTCAGTTTAAGTGCTTCTCATCCACCAGAGCTTATTCAAGCTCTTACAAGAATCATTGATGAATTGCTTACTCCATTGAGAAGAATGCATACCGATCAAGCAGAATTTAGCTGTCTCAAAGCATTGCTTTTGTTGAGCCCTGATGTTGTTGGAATGTCACAAGTATCCCGTGAAAAAATTCGTGATGCCAGAGATGCTCTTTTGAAAGCTCTTTTCGCATACTTGACCAACACACATTCTTCAATGGATGCTTCACTTCGTGTCAGTTCATTGCTCATGATCATCCCATCTTTGATCTCAGTTAGTCAAGCAATTATGGAATATCCTGCTTTAGGTGATCTCTTTGGCCTTGGTGATATGATCAAGCGCGAAGCTGTCAGTCCAGTTATCAAACCGTAAGTTGATTGATCAAATAAATTAAATCAAAATAATGATGATATCTTTCCAGTGAATCACCAATCCCATTCACCCCACCAACACCAAACTTGTTGCTCAATAAGGAAATGATTAGTCAACTCATCAACAATCCTCAAATATTCTCTCTCTTCCCATCTACAATGCAACAAAATCTTCCACTCACTTCAAGTCCCCCCGTTTCATCCCCAATCCAATTTTCAACAAATACAGTACCTGATTACAGTCAAGTACCTGTCAAAGTTCTCCTTTCTTAAATGATTTCAATCTATTGAAAACGTGTCATCATCATTGTTTTTTGTCTCTCATAGGTAACACTTGCCACCATAATATTCTGTATCTTGCCATTATTTTTTCTTCGTTTTTTCCCAAAAATAATTAACAACTAAAAAATTTACCTCCTCTGAATCTCTCCCAAATCAAAACAATAAAACAAATTCATTTTTCATTTCGGTTCTAGTCAACAACCCAACGATAAAACAAATTTTTCCATTTTTGAAACGTGTCCTTTTTTGTTTTTTGTCCCGTTTTCTTGATTTTCTTTGATTTGTATTTATGCATCACATAATATATATATTTTTAACTATAAATAATAAAGATTTTAATATGTATACTTGTTTTTCAAATAAGTGTTAAAATAATTATTCTGATTGGAAGGTACTGTAGATGAAGGGTGGAGCTACAGTATTTTTCGATTTTCTTTTTTTTTAATACATGTTTCGAGGTTTTTAGATGAAAATTTGATGTTCAAACTTTCAACTTTTTATTAGATCGTTCAAACACCAAAAAAAAGATAAGACACAACTTTCACCCACTGTATAAACATAGAAATTCTTTTGATAATTGAATAACACAAATTTCCTCAAATGATATAATATGATGTTCACAAATTCAATACAAATTATCCATATTTACATTTCAATGTTTGATGTTTCAAAAAAGTATTCTTGGAAATATAATGTGTACATGTGTATGTGTTTTTCAATTAATCCGGCTGATTTGAGATTCAAAGAATTCAAAAAAAGAACGAAGAATAGAAACTAGTGTTTGAAGATTACTGTAGTCCTTTTCTTTGTCAACTTTCACTTCGAAAAAAAACTTTTTAAGCTTTCAATCTTGAAATTAATGAATTTATTTTTTTGATTTGTATTAGGTCGATGACGTTTCGAAATTCAAGAACATAACATTATTAAAATATACATAATAAAATGTTTGAGTTTACTTTGTTCTCACAAAATGATAACATTGAAAAAAATGTTATGGCAGGTAATATAATAGTTTAATGGTGGTAAAAAATTATGAAATTTTTCTCAAGAATTCGGGCGAAAGTTTGAAATTGTTAGCCGCTCTCACGAGAGGATTGACTTTGGATTCTAATTAAAACTGAAATTGTTTGATTTCTAATTTTTCAAACCTATTTTCAATTGGAATTTTTTTTTGCTTAAAATCTTTAAAACCCTCGAAAAATGGTTTCATCACTTGATATCTGAAAATTATAAGTAATATTCAAGGATTTGGCAATGAAAGTTAGAGCAAACATTAAAAAAAACAAATCGATTGAAAGGTTCAAAAATGAGTTCAGAGAACAGCCGGAGTAATTTTAAAACAGTTTAGTCAACAGTGTAACTTCTTATTCTCCAATTTTTAAAAACATCAAAACCAAGTCTAAAAAATGTTTCATACAACCCTAGAAAAAATGACTCATCATTTCCGTTGATGCTGTATTCTCCAATTTCAATCACAAATTGCACATTTCAAACTAATCACTGATCAACAATGACCCAAACAATATTGTATTCTGCGAACAAATTGAATGACATCACCGCACAACAAACTGTCCGCACATCATTTTCCGTCTTTCTCTCTCTCTCTTTCTTTTTTTCAATAGATTCCAAATTACCAGGCAAGCGTGTGGTTTGTGAAAATGATTACAATATACACTTTGCAAGTGGCACGCAAGGATCAAAGACAACTCCGTTTTCGTGATAACGAAGACACGTACAGTCGCCTAAACTGGGCTTATCAGTGTTTTATTATTTTGATGTTTAAGATCATGATGAAATTATCAATTTTTGAATAATTGTTCGGGGTTACGTGAGGGAAATTTTGAGGGAGACGTGCGAATATAAAAATATGAGAGAATGTGGAATAATTTTGGTGTTACAGGTTTTCGAATAGAATATGGAATTTGTAGATATCAGATAAGTCAGCTCACAAAAAAGTTTTGAAAATTATTGATTCAATTTTCAAATTGTTTTTTGTTATGTGTAACATGTTTCAAATGACAAATTCGTCTGAATAAATTACAAACAAAACGCTTCAAGAAACCCGGGGGAAATCACTTCTAACTTTCCAAAGTTTCAGCTTATTGTTTCAGTTACTTACGGGAAGTTCATTAATAAATTCATTTTTTAAATTCAGTTATCTATTGAACATATTGGAAAATGATCGTGGACTCCTTACCTACAACACACAAAAAAATATGTCGCACACAAATGTTTCTTCAGATTTTTGAAAAAAAAAACATTCACAAAACATAATTTCGCAACTATTCCAATTTTTTTTTTGAAAAACAATGATGCAATATAGAACAATTGATTTTTCTAGAAACAAAACCAGTTTTCCAGGTTTTAAAAGAGTTCATTCAGAGTTTGGGTTTGTGTTCTATTCTAGAAACAAACTTATCAATAATCAATTCACGCACGATTCATTTCAAAAAGATATCCATCCCAAAAAACTCATGTAGCAGCCAACATGTGTCAAAATCGATAGATTTTCTGTCAGATTTTGATTCTGCTGATTGTTTCCAGTTTTATCACTTTGTCTCCCGATCAAGCAGTTTTGATTCAGTAATCAGAAAATGAAAAAAAAAATTCAATATCACATTCTTTTTTGGAATAGACAAACAAATGAAATGAAATGAGCAATCACCTCTTGAAATAACGGAAATGTTGTTGTTTGATGAATTGTGTGAAATCTCCAAAGGTCCTTGACCAAAAACCCTATACTACAATGTGTTTTATGAACATTAAACGAAACTATGATTAAATTTCTAAAAACTCCTCAAACCATGTCATCGAAATTGAGAAAGCAACATTTTTCCCAATTTGTCAGCGAAAAAACAGGCGACAATATGAAAAGAACTGTCGACGTGCAGTCATTATCAGTAAATTGGAGTTATCTTTGATCGTTGCGTGACTTTTTCGCCCCAAATTTTTGCCTCAAACCAAGCATTCATGTGCTCGTTTCATTAATGTTCGATGAACTTTTCCGAAGGAAAAAAATCAGACAAGGAAAAATAATAAGAAAAATAAAAATATTTTTTCACATACATAGTCTACAATTAGAATGAGTAACTAATTATCCACAAGAGCAGAGCACAGGATTTTATAACTAGACTCTATTTTATTTTGAATTTGGTCACATGAATAGAAGTACAAAACACATGTGATGATGATGAGAGCAAAAGAGTATATTGAAATTAAAGCGTGTGCTTTCACAGGAAACAATTTTAGGTTATAATACTTGGAAATGTGAAAAGTCTAACTAGATTTCAAGAGTTATATTGTTTTTATTGACAAGGGACTTTTATCAACTGATAATTTATTATGATTTTTTATAAAACGTATATCATTTCATAAAATTGTTCAAGTTGATGTCATATTTCATTGCCAGGACTAAAAAAAGAAAAAGCGTTGGAACGGAAAATAAGAATTGGAACCTATGGTAGTCCTGAAAACAGTAGCATTTTATTTACATTTTTGACAAAGAGAAAACAATATATTTTAACTTCAGAAGATTTTAGCCAACCACAAAAAATTCTCACAAATTTTTAATTAATTCTAAAATATGTAAGGCTATACGAGGATTTCTTTAACCCATTTGGAAAACAATTAAAAAGAAAACAATGACTTTACAGATGTTAAAATTCCTATGAAATTCAGCAAATACATTTTAATTTTGAATTTCTAAATAAAAAAATGAGTAAAATCAGTGTAAAAATGAATGTGCGCTCTACGGATAAATTTTGCAATGCGAACGCGTTTTGTCGTTGTCAACACAAAATTAGACTAAAAACGGCGTCATGCAATGTTATGTTTTTTTGTCAAGTTATAATAGGTTTTTTTATAAATAAACTTATTGCAATTTTCTGATTTTAAACTGATTTCGTTTTTGTTTTTCAATTGAGAAATTCAATTTTATTTATTAAGCTCTTTCAATATTGAAATTTCTATGATATTTCTATTTGAACAACAATTGTATTTTTTCTTTTTATCCATCATAATTTTGACTCGCATCATATAAATTGTCAAGTTTCGGAAATATGGCTATATTTAAGTAAATGATTTACGATAAACAAAATTTCTTTTAACTTTCTTTTTTACAATCACACAATAATAGCTTCTGTCTGACCCGCCACATCTGCATTTTCTTCATCTCACATTTGTTTATACCGTGGTCCGTTTATTGTTGTCATCTTTTATTTTTCACAGACATTTTTCTTATATATACTTTTTTGACACAATTATTTAGAAAAAAAATATATAATTTTAGGTAAACCCAAAAATTACTATAGCGACAATGTCCAAAATCAGCAAAGAAGATCTTCTGTGTGACGAAAGTGCGATAATTGCTCAAAGTGATATTGTTAAAAAAGAAGAACGTGACAATGATGCCGAACTAGCCAAACCCGTCTATGATCTACCACCAACATTTAGTCTTCTGGCACCAATCAATGTTGAATATAATGTTTCCTCTCAAGAAATATTGAGTATGTCAGCCGAGAGAACTTCGAAATCCCCGTACTATCTACCAGTTTTTGATGAAAATGTTCCTGCGCCACAAGCCCCATTTCCTCCAACAATTGACAATGTTTCCGTAAGTTTGAAAAAACAACTTTTTATTTTAAAAATTTGAAATAAAACGTTCTGTTTTCAGAAAGATCAATCACAATTGCTAAAGCCGGTTCCCATTCTGGAAATAAACTCGCAAGAAGATTTGCAATTCCTGGCGCTCAAGCTACAAAGTGCTCCAATAACCTTGATAAAAAATCTCACCTCAACACTAGAAATGGACCTTTCCTTGTTCTCATCTGAAAAAATTGCCGAAACTGCTGGTGCAACAAAAATTGAAATTCGTTTACAAAATTGCATGCCAATCGACGTAAATATCGATAATCACGGAAAGACAACTTGGAATTGTGAAAGTGTGAAAAAATCGACAACTATTGCCAAATATGCACAATATCAAGCTGAAATTTTTCAAAATTCACCTAAAGGTATGTTTTGAACATTTGAATAAAAAATAAAACAATATTTCTGAAAGAAATCTTTACAGACGAGGAAGAAACATTGAGAAAAGTCGGTTCAAAATGTGCTCAACAAATGGCTGATGACCATGGCGGAAAAAGAAAGAAAACTTCAGAAAACGTCGAAAAAAAAATTAAGATGAATACTATCAAATTCGGCACAAATGTAGATTTGTCGAATGAAATAATATGGAAAGAGCAAATCCGCGAAATTGCAAAAATGCCGACTTTTTGTCAAATAACTCACGATGAAAACATGTTATCTCACCTTGATCATACAATTTTTGGAATGAATACGGTGCAATTTTACATGAAAGTTCCTGGATCCAGAACACCAGCTCATCAAGAGAACAACTCAATTGCCTCAATAAATATAAATGTTGGACCCGGAAATTGTGAATGGTTCGGTTGTGCGTATGAATATTGGGGAGTTGTTGAAGCACTTTGTAAGAAGTGAGTTTTTTCTATGAGTCCGAATTTTATGTTATAACAAATTTCGATATTTTCAAAATTATATTCAAAACTTTCCAAAAATTATCATTAGTTATTACAAAAAATAAAAGAATGGCAGAAAATGAACTACTCTCTTATTTTGAGGCTTTTAATAGGGGCTGTTAGCCCCCAGGCGTAACAGTCTTCTCATTTATTTCAGTTTCACTTTTTTCTGTGATTATTGTCACTTTTCATTTTAAGCCTAAAATCTTGAAATTTGGTTCGATAATGATTCATTTGTAAAACTGGAAGGTCTTCCAGATTTACAAATTTTTGAACGAAAAAAAATTGATCAAAAAAATAAAATTTTCTTTGTACAATACTCAATAGATGCTTACTAAATGAATTCCAATCATTTTAAGCCTAAAATCTTGAAATTTGGCTTGTTAATGATTCATTTGTAAAACTGGAAGAGCTTCCAGATTTACAAATTTTTGAACGAAAAAAAAAGTTGATCAAAAAAATAGCATTTTCTTTGTACAATACTCAATAGATGCTTACTAAATGAATTCCAATCATTTTAAGCCTAAAATCTTGAAATTTGGCTTGTTAATGATTCATTTGTAAAACTGGAAGAGCTTCCAGATTTACAAATTTTTGAACGAAAAAAAGTTGATCAAAAAAATAGCATTTTCTTTGTACAATACTCAATAGATGCTTACTAAATGAATTCCAATCATTTTAAGCCTAAAAACTTGAAATTTGGCTTGTTAATGATTCATTTGTAAAACTGGAAGAGCTTCCAGATTTACAAATTTTTGAACGAAAAAAAAAGTTGATCAAAAAAATAGCATTTTCTTTGTACAATACTCAATAGATGCTTACTAAATGAATTCCAATCATTTTAAGCCTAAAAACTTGAAATTTGGTTCGATAATGATGCATTTGTAAAACTGGAAGAGCTTCCAGATTTACAAATTTTTGAACGAAAAAAAATTGATCAAAAAATAGAATTTTCTTTGTACAATACTCAATAGATGCTTACTAAATGAATTCCAATCATTTTAAGCCTAAAAACTTGAAATTTGGCTTGTTAATGATTCATTTGTAAAACTGGAAGGGCTTCCAGATTTACAAATTTTTGAACGAAAAAAAAGTTTATCAAAAAATTATCATTTTCTAATTCAGTTTTATCAATATCTCAATAAAAATAAATGTATCTTATGTAAATAAACTTTTTTTCAGGAATTGTGTGAATTTTCTTTCCGGATCTTGGTGGCCAAACATGGAAGAATTGCTTGAGGCAAATGTTCCAGTTTATCAATTCACACAAAAAGCTGGCGATATGGTTTGGGTTGATAGTGGATGTGTGCATTGGGTACAAGCAACTGGATGCTGTAATAATATTTCCTGGAACGTTGCTCCACTAAACCATACACAATTATCAATTGCAATTCAAAGTTATGAATGGAATAAGTTAAGCGAGTATAGATCTTTGGTTCCAATTCAGCAACTTGCCTGGAAACTTGCTAAAAATGTGCACTTCAGCAGTCAAGAAATGTATGACTTGGTCCGAGGAGTTTTGATAAGATCGCTTTCATTCTCGAAAATTGTCTACGATTTTGCGGTTTTTTCAAACAAAGAATTAATCCAGCGACCACGTGAAGAAAAAGAAGGTGCGCATTATTGTAAACCATGTCAAGTAAGTTTTTATACAATTTGTAGCAACACTTTTCTACGATGTGCCTTAAATTCATATCAAACTTAATATTTCAGGTTGAAGTCTTCAACATTTTATTTGTCAAAAAAGTGAAGAGCGAGTATTTGGTTCATTGTGTATATTGTGCCAAAAAGTGAGTTTTTTCATTCGTTAATTTTTTGTAAAGTAAAACAAAACAATTTTGCAGAGGTGGATTGTCCAATTTTGTTGTACTTCAACAATATTTGATGTCAGAACTCGCCGAGATCTTTGATGGAATGGTTTTGAAGCCAACACTCAATAATTCATTGGCTCAATAAATATCAATATTATTATTTTTTCTAGTTATTTAATGTATTTCAATTAATTTGGCTTTTACGTTTGGTCCCTGTTAACTCCGTCTTTGTCACGCACAAATCTGTTTATATGTTTTTTTAATAATTTAATTGATTTTTATTTTCTACCTTTTTGATCATAATACCTTTAAATCCCTCATTATTGATTCTTTCACAAATTCTCATTTAACATATCCCTCAAATTATGTTCATTTCTGGAAATCCCAATTGTTGTTACAGTTTTTATTGGTATCTTTCTCATCTTATAAAAGTTTAAAAGTTGTTTTATATAAAGAACTTTCATAATAATGCTAACAAGGAATCGTTTTCAGCTTTAAAACCAGAACTCAATACTCATAAAATTATTAGAACAAATTCTTTGAAACCCTGTTTGTTGGTTCCTTTGAAATTAATATTTACAAGGAGAACTTTTAGATGAATTTATGGCTAGCATATAATATGATAAAATTTGTCTAAACAAGTCTATCATTTTTCTTAAAAAAGTGAAATCACTTGGAATTAAAAACAGTTTTATTCAACAGAAAAAAATTAACAGCGAACAAATTAAAATTAAAAAAAACAACAGTTCAATTATTTTTTTTCTAAATCAAAAACAGTTATTCCGATTTTTTCTCCTCGGCGGCATTTTCCGCATTGAGCTTGGCAAAAATTGCATCAATATCCAAAGGAATCGCAGCTCGACTATCGGGTAGTAACAGGTGAACTGGATGGTTTCCCCAACAACCGATAATGTTTTCTGCGGAGACTGTTCCCATGATCAATTGTTCGAGGGCAGTTCCAAGGTAGATTGTATCACATTCTTCTTCGAAATTGATCGTGATAATGAATGGTGATCGTGTGAAACATTGATCGAGTCCGTGGATGTTCAAAGCATATAGGAGATCACGATCAGTTTGAATTTGGATTTTGGATTCATATGATACTGAAATGAGGTGTTTTTTATATTTGAATCTCTTCAAATTCAAACCATTAAAAAACTAACGTTGACAATGAATCGCATACTTTCCAAAAACCCTCTCTTTTTTTCCAGCGTCTTTAACAAGACTGTTGAATCTATTCTCCAATATGTTCGATAATTCCGCAAATCCACCCAATGCTCGATACATAAATTGAAAGCTGGTTGAACAACCGGTTGTTCCAACGTAAGCTTTGACATTCATTGGATGTCCATTTTTGAAATCGATTTTGTAACGAGTAGCCATCTAGAAAAAAGGAAAGAATATATATTCGCAAAAGGCAAAAAATAAGGAAACGGTCAACAAATGACTCATGTTAGATAGATAATGTTTCCCTTTTACTCAAAAATTGGAGCGGGCGGGAAGCTTCTCGTCTGTTTCTTATATACATATATTTCTCTGACACCTTTTTTTCTTTTTTTGTTTTGTTTAGATTTTGCGCAGATGTTTTATGGTGCAACTTTTTTCGTCTTTTCGCGACTTTGATTTACAAGGGAACTGATTTATTTCGCGCAACACTTGGAAAATCGATGAAGTTCCAAAACAAAAAACTGTTTGCACCAGAAAACAAGTCTGATTTCTATCAATCGACCCTGAAACCGAGTTCTGAGATTCAATGATCTCAAAAAAGTAAAAGTCATGTTTTCTTGGATTCTTTGCTGCAAATTTTGTATTTTTGTAAATAGAATACTCACCTTCAAATGAAAAAAAAAACGATTTAAGAATATCTTTCTGATTTCTGAAGAAAAAAATGTTCTCGCACATTTACCCCAAGTTTTGGAACAATTATTTTTTCAGAGTTTAGGGATGACGACGAATATCACTAACAACTTGGAAAATGGTTTAGGAAGTTGCACAAGAATTTCCAGCCTTCTAACCAGTCTTCTCTGCCTGTTTTCAACTTAAAGATTGTTTTCAACATAGCCGAATTCTACGATTTCAGGTTCTGGAAAAAATAATTTTCTGAAAGAAAACAAAATTTTGAAAAAAATCTTCAATTTTCATAACTTTCACATGGGTGTTATCCAATTATTCATTTTTCTGTTCTAAATATAAAAAAACAATTATTTTCATATTTAGATTTTTTTCAGTAGTATGTTCAATCGATTCAAGTCCCGTTTCTGTAAGATTGTTCCGCTCCAGATTTCTCTCTATAACATATAATTATTTTTCCGCGTGCCAGAGTTATCATTTTTATTTTTAATCGTTATATATAAAAGCACATGCTACTCATTTCTTTTACCTGCTTTTTCTTTTTTTTTTAGTTTATCGTAAAAAACTACAATTTTTAGACTTTGTTTAAATTTTCATGAACTGTAAATTGCATTTTATATGTTATTTTGATTGCTTTTTCGATTGTAGAAAAAAGAATCGTATTTAATACATGGTGAGATGTTGTATTATTGTTTACATTTTTCACAATGAAAAAAAAACAAAAAATCAATAACTACAAAGTAGAGATTAGAAGAGCAAAAAGAGACGCATGCATATTATATGATACAAATCCTTATCTTATATTAGATTTCAAAAAATGACTCATATAGTTTTTTTTCGTGCTATGTTTATTTGTCTGATTTTTTAAAATGTCATGATGTGTTAGATTTTCTCGTTATTTTTAATATTTTTTTCTGAATAATCAAGAAATATCAATTGTTGAACGTTCTGCTAGAGTATGGTCGAAGTTGAAAAATGTGGCCGCCGTAAAAATGAAAACCAGTGCAGAGATGAATGAATGAAAACAACTGGACTTTGTCAGTTGCGTGCGGCTGTGGAAAAAAAAATCAATAATTCATTCTTTCCTTTTTCGACCGCGCCGCACAGCCGCACGCGACTGACGAAGTCCAGGTGTTTTCATTCATTCAGCACTGGTTTTCATTTTTTACGGCGGCCACGTTTTTAAATGAGTAAAATGTTGCTTTTCAGGTCTTCGGCTTCAAATCTATACGAAAATCTCTTGCAATGCAGAAATTGAATATCACGGAAATACGACGCATTGATAAAGAAAGGCGAGAGTCGATTGAAAAATTAATAGCAGAAGAAATCAAGTACGTATAGCATAATCCAATTTTTTTCAATTGGTTTTGTATTTTCAGACACTTCTCTAGAAACAAGTCCACCTACAATGCTGGGTTTAATATTTCCAGAAATATGCACTTGGTAGATTACAGCAATGAATCAGAAGAAGATGATTCAGTTTCGCCAACATATGAACAATTATTCGAAAATTCGGGTTTTTCAACAGAAAAACGTCCACTGGAAAATGCGTTAGGGGTTATATTCAATGAAAAAATGAATTATCTGTATCCAAAGATAACCACAAATTGGGATAGAAATAAGCTTGAAAGAGTCAATTCGGAAATCTGGAACAGTTATGAAAAGAATCGACAAAAAATGTGGGATTTTGCGAGAAAATGCAAAGCAAAACTACGAATTATGAATGTTTTACAAACAATGTTTCCGGATGACAAATTGGAAGTATTTTGTACTGGAAGTACTATAAATGGATGCTGCTCTGTCAACTCTGACTTGGATATTAGTGTTTCAATTTCAAACTTGAATAAAATTAAGTATGTTATTTGTCAAAGACTGTTAGAAATAATTCCTTTTTTGTTTTACAGGAAATATATCGATGTTCTTTTCAAATTGAAAAAAAGATTAATACAGCAAAGATCAGAACTCGAGATTGTTTTTGGAAGTGTTGAAGTTACTAGAGCCAAAATTCCAATAGTGAAGCTGAAAATGTTTCACAGATCGAAAAATCCACTGTCTATTGATATCAGCTTGAATAATTATCACGGTGTTCGAAACTCGTGTTTATTAAGTGCATATTCATCGTGAGTTCAGAAAAAAAATTTTTGAAACATAATTCACTATCTTTCAGAATTGATTTGAGACTCCCAGCAATTGTCAATATTTTGAAACTTTGGGCAGCAAAAAACAATATTTTATCATCAGTCAATGGTTATTTGAACAGTTACACACTTGTTTTGATGACAATTCATCTGTTTCAAAGTGCTGTTAACCCACCAATTCTTCCAAATCTCCAACACATTTACTCTGATTATTTTCATAAATTTGAAGAGAGCGAATTCGAGCTCTTCGGAAAGATTCAAAATTTGCCGGAAATGGAGGAAAATCATATGTCGGTTGGAGAGCTTTTGAGATTGTGGTTCACTTATTATGATAATCTTCGTTTGCATAAAATTGAAATTGATATTAAAAGAGGAACACTTTATAAGTGGTGAGAATCTTGGGGGACTTTGTAATATTAAGATTTTTTATGGTTTATAAGGACAACATTATAATATTTCTTTAATGAAAAATCAAAATAGCTTTTGAAATCAATCCATTAAACTTTTCAGCAAGCAATATCCTTTTGAAGAAAGAAGTCTTATCGTTGATGACCCAATCAATGGAGAAAATACTGCAAGGTATTTTATAACTGAACCATGAAACACCAAAATTGATTTTTTTCAGATGTGCGATAAAAATGAATGAAATCGAAGAAGCTGTCAGCGATGCTGCTACTCGCTGCATGAAAGGCAATTTCTGCTTGGCAGATATTGGCATTTCTGTTTAAAAGATTTGATTTTTTAACCAAATTCTATAACTAAAATATATTTATCCACTTTTTAACTAATCTTCTCACGAGACTTTCGATAATTTTTTTCAGTTCCAATTTCAGAGATTTTACCAAAATTATATTGTATTTTTCTCATGTCAGGTACATTTCACAATCATCCAGGAACCATATTCTCAGTTTTCCTGTATGCAACAATAAACTTTCAAAATAATAAACATTCGATGTTTCAACCACAAAATATTGTCAGGCCTTGAATGAAAATTTATGGATTGTGAAACATAAAACAAATGATAAGAAAACATTGATGTTTACTTATCGAATAGAACTCGCTTTGTATCTGGAAAAATCTCAAATTAAAAATGAAATTTCGAAAAATTCTGTTCCATCTTTTTTTGAAATATTCCAGAAGGGTTATTGATTCTAGAAAACTGAATTTTAGTAAAATCAAGGATAAAAACAAATTGAAAAGCTTGATTAAAGATCAAAAACTTCTATCCAAATCTCAAATCACCATATTATTGGTGAAAATACATTTGTCAAAAAATAATTATGAATAAAAAAACACGTGCATATCTTATCACGTTGGTTAAAGTTATAATCAATCGATGATAAATTCTATTGATAACTTGAAAAATTGAAATATTGCGAAATAAGGTTTGTAAAGATTTTTGAAGGTTTTTGGTAAATCAAACAATAATTTCTCTGAATTCCCGCATTGCGTGAAGTTTTCAAATTTCGTTGATAATATAATATGGATTTTTCCTTTATTTTATTTATTTTGTGTGGTTTCGTGAATTGCAGTTTTGTGACAAAAAATGTTGCGAAATTCTTTTTTTCTTCAGATGAATTTATCCAAAGTCTCACTCAAAAAATTATTTCATATCAAATAATGCGGTAGAAGTTTAGTAAATTACACTCTGTGGAAAATTTATGAAGACGATCAATCTTTACCAAATCGGAATATTCTATAAAAATTCTAGATACGAGAATAACGCTCATAGGAATAATGAACACAGCAAAGTAATAAATAAAAAATTCAAAACATTATTAAATCACTCAAAAATTCAGAATATAATTGTCAAACATTGTCAAACAAAATGCAGCTTCATTCCTTCTAATTTCATTAAACTTTTTTGACCCCTAAAAAGTTAAATTTCTATTTGTATTATTATATATAGCAAAAAAACTCACAATCAAAAATGATAAAACTCAAAGTATATACATACTAGCCAGAGGCCATTTGATAAATTTTTCGCGGTTCTTTTTATGTCAGACAACATTTTTGATTAGAAGTTCTACTGATTTGTCATAAAAATACAAATTATTCAACATCCGGAATGTTCTCTACAGAAAACTTCTATCAATTTTTTGCACTTTTCCATTTTTTTCTCATGTTTTCAATGTTCAAGTTAGCTACGAGGTTATTTTTCACGTCCTGAAAGTTAAAACTCTTTTGTAGCATATCTGAAGTGTTTTTATGTTAAGGAGATTTTCCCTGATAGTTTTTCGTAACAATTTCCGTATCACAAATTACTGAATATTTTATCGGGTAACATATTCTGTCAATTTTTAAGTATAAAAACGTTTTTTTTTTCATTTGTTTTTATTTTTTAATTTTTATCAACTGGGCACTAAATAAGCATGTGTTATTTTTTACAGGTTTATGTGTTCTCGACGAGTGTTTCCTGATAAGCACTCCACCCTTTTTTTCAAAATTTTATCATACACATCATGCCACCACACAAATTCGAGGAGACGCAGACATTTCATTTTCGGTCGCTGCCCGAGGGGGGAGGGAAAGGCATAGAGCATTGTTTTTAGGTAATGTTTAAATTTATGTTTTACTAAACATCATTCGTTTATTTAACTATCAAGTGATATATTTTATTCATTAACACAATTTTTTCGAAATAAAAATAAGTCACTTCATTTTTGTTTGAAATTTGTTTTTTTATTTTGCGTCATATTCATGGAATTGATAAAAATGTATTGTTCAGTACTAGTGGCAAGCTCTTATCATCGACCATTCTCGAAAACATTTTTTGATTCTGTGAATTGGTGCATTTTTTTATCTTTTGATAATTGCTTCCTACAAAGTGTATTTTTTCAGGTAAAATTGAAAAAAAAAAAACTCAAAGCAAAATGGATCGCCAATCAAGATGTTTTGGTCAATATGGTCGGCCATATTTGGTCAGACCCGTCAATTTGCCACAACGAAATCCTTATGAAGGGGCGCCAATTGTTTTGCAAGGCAATGCTGCATCTTATTCTCAACCAATTCACCAATCAAGAAGACGGAATTCATTTGATAGTGGAATACAATCATATTATTCGAGACCAGCTAGTGTTATGTCACGAACAACTTCAGTTTCAGAAACAATTCAACAAGAACAAATTCAAATCGGTAAAATCATACATTTTTCTGTGTTTCTGAACTCTAAAGGGTTTTTTTTTCAGATCTCGATATGTCTGTTTGGGACTTTTATGACAAGGTTCGACAAAAGACATTGTCTTGTGAAAAAATGAGATTAAATGGATATCCAATGATGGGTGCTGAAAATGTTGTTGTTATTCACCCAACAAAATATGAGAAAGACAAACACATTTGGGCTTTGACTGATGATAGAGAATGCTTGAGGTGTCACAAAATGTTTTCATTTCATGATATGCAAGGATGTGATTCGCATGTTCATGTTACAAATCAAATGCCGATTTCGGTGAAGTCCGAGTTTGTCGAAACACCACCAGCGCTTTCAAAACATGATCCACGATCTAATAAGGTAGTGTCACAATTCATATTATTATCATTCTTGCAAAACATTATGAAGAACTGATTACAAAATACATTACAGTTCAAAAACAATGTGTTAAAAAAAAGTTGATTGTGAGTGCAAGCGTGTTGTCATTATCATAAAAGTGGCGTCTAGTTGTCTACTTTTTGAGAAAACAACTTCGATATTTCCAGGTGTATGCAGTTGATTGCGAAATGGTTTACACTATGAATGGATTGGAATTGGCTCGTTTTACAATGACTAATTTCAATGACGAAGTCGAACTAGATTTATATGTCAAACCGGCTGGTGCTATTCTCGATCTAAACACACAACACAGTGGAATAACTATGCTAGATTTGGAAAAGACTGTGGAGACGCTTGAAACAGTAAGTGTTTGGAGAAGGAGGAGAGCGTAAATACAAGAATTCTAAATCCAGAAGCCCGTTGATTTACTTTTTTCTCACTTATGAATTCAACCCCTTTTCAGGAAACTGATTTGAATATTACAATTTACAGTGTCGTCATCAATTGTTCCAATTCATAAATTCGGAAACAATCTTGGTTGGACATTCACTTGAATCTGACCTCAAAGCTTTGCGATTAGTACATCCAAATGTTGTGGACACTGCAATTATTTTCGCAGAAAACGGTAGAAAGCAACGCCTTTGTCATCTGTCAGAACATTTTCTTCGAAGAACAATTCAACTACCTGGTGACGGTCATAATTCAAAAGAAGATTCTCAAACTACATACAATCTCTTAAAGTACTTTATCAGTAAGCAATTATTCTCAAGCTCATAATTTTATTTTTCAAACGGTTTTTTTTTCACAAGGGTTACTTGGTTATATTTTGAGTATTTTTTTGCAAGAAACATTTTTTGTTCACATTATAATCTTAAAAGATGGTTGAAATCTGAAATGAACATTCCTTCATTACTTTTTTTCATATTTACAAATTTATTATTGTCAAAATCAAAATGAATGGTAGAAAATGTTTTCGAAAAATGTGAGAAATTACAAAAACATATGTTCTGGGGCGTCGCGGTTACGCGCTGCGCGGTTCATTTTCAGTAGTATATTAACTTTTCTCATTTTTTGAGAAATTTTCGAAAATTGAACACACGTAGGTAACCGCAAGGCGCTTTTTCTGAAACATATTTCAAAAAGTTGATTTTCTCTCATTTATTTTTATATTGACAATAATCTAATTGGTGTTTTTGTGTAAAAAAACTTGGTGTTTTTCGTAAAACGTTTAAATGTCAAGTGTTAATACATATATTTTGTTACAATTTGCTCCCTCAAATAAAAATGAAACAAAACAAATGATAAGATATAGAAAAATAATTATTTTTTGAAATGTTTTTATTTATGACTCATACGAGATGTTCGTTTCTTGTCAGAAACATTACATCTATTCTATTCTTTCCCTTGCACTTTTTGGATAGTTTTAAATACATTTTTATAATAAATACATTTTTTGAATAATAAATTAGGTGCACCTTATTGTATTTTATGATTATTGTATGCCGTGAATATTAATGATTATCATTGTTGTTATTTTTTTCTTCAGAAAATGGGCCCACCTCCAAGTATTGAACCAACTGTTCGTTGTCAGTGGAAAGGTTGTAGATTGTTATTTGGAGATGATCACGATATGTATAAACACGTGTTGCTTGTTCATTTTTGCGATTCGTATAAGAAGGATTTGAAACGTTTGAACAACAATAGAATGCCATTTTCATCAGATGACGAAGGTTCGGATTCAGAACCTACTACCAGCTGTGGAAAATGCGTTTGTGGAGCAACAATCAAAAAAGTAAGTTCTTTTGAAAATAATTTTGCATTGCATTCTTTTCGGATAAAAATTACAAAATTTTGATATTTTTTAAAACTCTGAAATGTTTTCCATGCAACACTTTCTTTTTTTTTTTAATTATGGATAAATTAATTTGAAGAAAAATAGAATTTTGCGACATTTTTTGTCACGAAACAACACGTAATAAACACAAAAATAGAGGAGAACCATTAATGGGACATGTAATCGCTGCAAGACCCAACACACGAAAAAAATAATTTCCTCTTTATTTTATTAATTTCGTGTAGTGTCGTCGTGAATTGCAATTTTGCGAAAAAAACATTTCGCGAAATTTATGTTTTCTTCAAATGAATTTCAGCTACGTTAAGAACAATTTTTACATTTTCAGATTTGATCATTCCGTATTCGTCTTTTGCTTCACCAAATCAGTTTTCTCTATTGATGGATCAATCAACAAAAACCGAACTTTTTTAAAATTTTTCTTGTATTCTATAATATCTCATTTGCATTTTTTTTATTTAATTATCTTTATATTTGTCGACCTGTGAAATAAAAGTGAATTTATGATGAAACAAAACTTGAAACCAGAATACTTATGGGAACTTTATTGTGTCGGTACATGTAAGACTATCCACATCAGCCGCAGTTGTTTGATAATAAGTCCAGTGATCAGCGTTCACCGTGGCTAGAAAATAGAAGTTAGCGAAAAATTAGATTTTTTCGCGAAACTCACTTGACACTGTGCATAGAAGTGGACAAGATTCATATGTGCTCAGAGCAACACTGGAATATGAAGTGTAGTGAACTGCGGTCTGAAAAATATGTGAAGGTTTCAAAAAAAGTGAAACAAGTATAACTCACGCAACATTGTGAATATGAACTTGAACATGTTCCAAGAGCTGCTGTTGTAGCTGTGCACGTTGTCGTTGGGTATGACTAAAAAAATTAAGATTTTCAAATTAAAAGAGCTCAAAAAAGAAAAACTAACTGGGAACGGATCACTCATCCAATTCACATTATAAGCATCCGCCAAACTTTGTTCCACATAATACGCAAAATCTCCGTTTCCGCAGCGTGGAGCTCCGAAACCGTAGTAGAACATTTGATCTTGTGGCCACCATTGTTCTTGTTTGAATCGAACAGCTGCCATTTGCGCCAAACATGCACCCATTGAAAATCCGGAGAACTGACATCAGTTTTTTAAAATATAAAGTTTGAAAGAAATTACTCACCGAAATATATAAATCACAATATTCTGCCCATAGTTGTCTCATATATGCTCCCATTCCTGCATTCCATAATCGCCCAAAAGCAATCAATAAATCATTCATAACTTTTCCATATTCTCCAAACGCTTTGAGTTCTTGTGCACCTAGAGTTGTTGCGCCATTTATTGTCATATCCTCAATACCAGTTTCAGCTTTAAATGTTATTCCAAGTAATGTATAACCATCATCAACATCAATCACAACTCTGCACAATCCTTTGAATATCAAATCCGAACAATCAGCTTCAAAAGTTGCCAGAACAGTTTGTCCATAAAATTCAGTTTCAACACATTTTTCAGGATTTGTCGCGCCAATACAAAGAGACCACACGAAAAACTGAAAAATATGTTTGTATTTTCATAAAAATAAAAAAAAATAAAAAATTTACATCAGCCCGATGCGGGGCTCGAACCCGCGACAGCCAGATTAAGAGTCTGGTGCTCTACCGACTGAGCTAACCGGGCGCTGGGAGAAGAAAGGTGAAACTCCAAGACATTGTGTCTCTTTCTCTGGCGCCAGCGGCAATGTTTGTGTGTTGAAGAAAAAAAATGTGAAGGCATTGAGAGAGTATGAAAAATTGAGAGACTTTCTCTGTTTTTTCTCTATCTTTTTTGAATGTTGTTGCTTCTCAATGAAATAATATGAAATTATATTTTAAGAAATTGTGAATATGGAAATAAAAATGAAAAGAAGAACACAAGAAAATGAATTATTGACAAACCCTTCTTCCAGAATCGGTATCAAATTCAACCAGCGCAATTGAGGATCCAAGAAAAATTAGGAAAAATATCAACGGCCGATTCCACGTCACCATTTTACGTTCGGTTTCGAACGGGTGATATATTTTTCAAAAAATAATGATTTTTTATTCAGCCAGTCAGATAAATGAAATTGTTGTGAATCGTTCGACGCGGATTAACTGTTACTTTGTGATATTATCGATTTTTGACGTTTTTCGAATTTTTCTGTGTTTTTTCCTGTTTCATCGTGTCAAACAACCAACCAATTAAACACATTTTTGAACCACTCGTTTTTTATTCGAAACAGAAACAGATCAAAAAATAACCGATTGTTTTTGATATTGGAACTCATTTTAGAAGTGTGACGTAGACAGCAGTTTTTTTTGTTAAAATATATATGGCAAAGAAGAAAATTGGGTCAAGAGATTTCATAATTATGTATGTATTTGGGTTTTATTAGAATCCGGAAATTTTTTAATGGAATATGTTTTTGTTTATTTAATTTATGATCAAGCTTGTAAAACAAATTTTTCAGTATGAAATTTTCCATTTTTTTCTGGGAATAATTATTTCTATTAAACCTGAAATTTAGCTGACACGTAGGGATATCAAATAAAATATGTTGGACATTTTAAACATTTTTGACTACTGAAACTATTTTTATCTTCAAGATGAAAATATTCTGACGATTAGAAATGTGCTTTATTTTTGAATTTACTTGATATTTCATAATTTTTCAAACAGTTATTTACTTTTTTCTTCTTCCACAACTTTTTTTACCAAAGGCACTCAAATATTTTCATATCATAAGTCCCAAATCAAAAAAAAACTTCCTCATCACTAAAATAATATCCAACCCAACCAAACCCCTCTTATTTTTCCGTTTTTCCAAAACAACAAAGTAAATTAATCCCAAAAGATTCATTATAATGTGTGCGTAGGAGAAATATCCACCGAAAAACAATTTGCATCTCATTTACGCGAAATCTCCAAAGATTTGTTTCGGTATTTAATTAAATAACAGAAAGAATACGGTACATTCTGCACTTGTTGAGAGAAAGTTCAGCAACAACATTCCACACTTGATTATCTGACGGAAAAAATCAAAGGTTGGCATGTTTCCAAATTCAAAATCGAAGAAAGAGTGAAAAACCAGAAACTACAGTATGAAGCAAGGGAAATATGTCTACGTAATAATTGAATATATCCAGTTTTGATGCAACGAAGGCGGGCTTGGCGCAAAAAAAGATGGCGAATATTGATAAGAGCATCTACTTTTCCTTTTTTAGAAAATTAGTGAAAAAAAAGATCATTATCCCAATTCCATAGATTTAAACGACGACCGTTTTTTGTCAAATTCCTCATCTTTACGTTTTTCATTATATCTCCTGATATTTTTTCTGTTTTTGTGACTGATTCTGAGCGATAAATGATACGGAATTTATTTCTTGTTCCCTCTTACTTCCGAAAAAAGAAAACAATTCTGTAATATTCGTTGGTGATATTTTCAAATTCTCAAAATCCCTATAATTTCTTAACATTTAAAAATGGTATCTTTAACATCTATCTAAATTTAACTTTGATGTCATTTCACATGGATCATATTATTATATGACGTCTAGGCGAAACTCGTGGTAAAGACATTAGATTACTGTAATTTCAATTTGATCAGTGAAACAAAAATCACGAAATATGAAGTTTAATTGAAACTTATCGTCGTTTGTCAAGTTTCATAAGACGATCTGAACTGAGAATGGATCAACATGAGTTTTTTGGATGTTTGGGCGTAGTGTTTATTGGTCTTAAAAGTGGGTGGGTTTTCAGGAAGAACTCAAGTTTCCTTTTTCCTCTTCTGTTGCAACTTTTAGGTCTAATCTTGAGACCGAAGATTTAAATGATATCAGAATCCTTTCTAATAGTTTTTTTGTTTGATATTTCCAGAGTCGAAAAATCCCTATAATTTCTTAACATTAAAAATTGGTGTCTTTAACATCTGAAAAATTTTTTTTCGCCCCAAATAGACGCAGTCTGCGCCTACTTTGATGTCACTTCTCAGGCGTGTTATTTTATGACGTCTAGGCAAAACGCCTGTTAAAAAAATCAGATTACTGTAGTATCGATTTAAACAGATATGTGATTTTTTGAACAATTGAGGCAAAAAAAGATTTGGAAACCAAATCGGGAAAAAATCAAACATTATTATTTTGGCATAAACAATTGAAAACTGTTTTGGGATCTCTAACCTTGATTTGTCGTTGACCAATTTCAATGAATAAAGAAAAAAGAAAACTTCGGAATAACTTTAAACTGTATTATTTCTGTGAAAATGTATGATAGTACCTTTCTGAGATCCCCTAATCTATTTTCTTGATTAACCCCTCTTCTTATAAACAAACACATATTTTTTTCTTCAAAGTCCCTCACGTTCCCTATAATTATACACCTATCCAACATACATTAGTTCCAAAAATATATATCTGTTGCAGAAGATGATGTCATCGTGTGCCGAATCTGAGCAACCCACAAATGATTACGAAGCAATGATTCAACGTGCAGAAAGTCGTGTTTTTCATCTGCTTCACTCACTCGAGTGGCAATTACACACCGAAAAGGTAACTGATGACATTTCACTAATTGCGGTTTCGACTATTTTTGGGAAAAAGCTCGTGATTCATTTTCATGATTTATGTGAATAACAATGATATTACGAAATTTTTGCCCAAAACGTTTTTGTGAACTCTTGAGGAAGTACATCTGACGTGAAGATCAGCTAATATAAATTAACACAAAGAGACATTGTTTCAGAAAACTGGAAGTATATGGAGCATGAAATGCAATCTAATGGACAATTATATTTTCCGGTACGAAGGACGTATTCCAAACCGATCATGCGCTGAAGTACGTCACATTTTACTTAATTATACCCAACAATTCAAAATAATAATAAAAAAAAGAAACAAAATGTCGTCAAGGGGTACAATCCTATAATTAACTTCTGCTTGTTCCCAGGTTTCTGCAATGATTCATCCGGAAGGTTTACATCGTCAGAAATGGGATTCACAATCAGCTGGAACTAGTTTGATAGAAGATATTGGTTTTGTACGTACTTTTTGTTCTCTGGCGAAAAAAGTTAGATTTTTTAGGACACTTCAATAATTCTTCACAAAACAAAATCACGTATGATGGGTTTGATATCAGCTAGAGAAACTGTTGATCTTTGCCGGTTTACAACCGATCCTATTGATGGTAGGTTCATATTTGTTTTTTTTTTGAATTGATCCCGGATGTTCTGCAGATTATGGTTTTAACAAAAAATAACATCATCTTTTTTCACACAGAGCACATCTAATTCCATTCTTGAAATATTTACGAGGAGATTAAAAATGTGTTTCTGATCTCCAGAAATCTATAAATAAATTGTATATTAAATTAGAAACATCAACATTATTTTCAGGAACTCGATCAGTTGTTATGGTTAGTGTTGAATCGGAAAAAGTCCCACAAAAATCAGGAGTTGTTCGAGCGCAAACATATCCAACCCTTCTATTAATCAGTCCGTTGTGAGTTTGATCTTCATTTGTTTTTGTTTTGACTTGATTTGTGACGAACAAATCCCTCGAGAAAATTTTTAATTTCCATTTCTAGGAAAGCTTATTAGTAAACAATACCTAACTAGTGTCTAGTTTATCAATGAATAAAAACATATTATTATTACAGAGGTGCAACTGATACGAAAATTACTGCAATTCTTCAAGCTGAATTATTTCTTCAAGGCATCCCTCATTCAGTTGTTGATAGTTTGATGCCCAAGGTTTGTTTTTTTTTGCCGATGCAACACAAAAAACGTTTTATTGTTATCTTATCTAATAATTTGCAAACCACAGGTACATTCAAAATTCGAAAATGCAAGAAAAGTGCAAATATGCATGTGTAATAACTATAAGACGATTTTGTATAAGTAGATCAGATAAACAAAACACCGTTTGAGATCTAGATCAAATGTTTTGAGATCACTGAAGAAAAATTGAGCAGGTGAATCATCTGAATTGTTGTTTTTGCAGGGCATCTCGAATTTTTTCGATGATTTGATCAAATATGCTTCCAATGATTCCACAAAAGTATCACTCAATCATTCACTGACTGGATGGTCTGAAGGAATTGAAGCAGCCAAAATTGAACAATGTTAACAAATTTCCCATTCATTTATTTATTCGTTTTTGTTTTTTCTTTGAAGAAAATACCACAAAATAAATTTGAAACAGTAACAAAAGATAAAGTTTACAACCAACCAAAAAGCAGAAAAGGAGAATTAGAACACGAAGGAAAATTACAAGGAAGGTTTTTGGGAATAGGAATCAGGAAATAATGAAAATGAGATCAAACTAATTGTTTGAGAAGTGAGGAGAGACTAGAAAAACAGCATGAAAAGGTGAGGAGGTATGAAAGAAAACCGTAGAAGTACCAGCACACGCTTTGAAAAAACAATGTTAATTCAATTAACATCCTCCGAGAAGATATCGTCGAATCCTTTGTTTTTCCAATTCATCTGTTATCCAGAATTGATTTTTGAATACAAGATCGAGAAAATCTTCAATTTCGGCCGAATAATTTCCTTTTCTTTCGCGGCCATTATCATAATCTTTTTTAAATTGGAGAACAGCATCTCGAAATTTCTGAAAATTCAGAATAAAGATGAATACTAATTTTGAAACAGTAACTCACTTTGAATGGTTCAAAATCGATCGATAAAAGTTCTTCTGCGTTTTCCGGAAAATTTTTTATTAGTTCAATTTCTTCTAGCTTTTTTGGAACCTTGCAAAGTTTTTCTGCACATGTACCAATGCAACAATATTCTTCCTGAAATAAAATAATCAGTTATCCAAAATCGTGTTTTTAATTATTGAACTTACTAGAAGTGAGCCATAGAATTTTTTATCCAATGATGATGTTTTCATAAAATCTGCGCTCTTTTCACTTCTCTTTATCGCTGTGTAGTTCCAGCTCCATCCGTTTTCATCGAAGATTCCATATATCTCTTTCGAGCATCCTTTATCCTCGTGGCACGCCTTGGTAATAGCTACTGAAAGGTTGTCAAGTGTTAATCCTTCGACACTGGCACTGACATGTATTGTGCAGAGAACAATAATTGCGATTGTAAACTTGTTCATTTTAAAAATGTTGATGAGTTCGAACTGAAAAATAATTTTTATTTTGAGAATTGTGATAGGGAAATTTCGAACAGTAAAAAAAAATCAGAATTCGTGTAAACAAAAGTTTTGAAATTCGTTTAAAATAGCTCATCGAACTAGATTTATACAAAAACAAAACTCCGCCTTTAAGAAACGCCAAAGTTTTCTTCTTATGGGAGTTCTAAGAGACAGCCAGAAAAAAAAGCGAACAGTTATTGAGAAAAGAGAGAGATTGTGGTCAGCGGGAAGCAAAAGAGGAACGGGGGGATGCTCTGTTAACATGATTTATTGATTTCTCGGTCAGAAAACGGCGGGGTCGCTACCAATCGGGGCGGAGTCGCTACACGTTTCGGGGAACAAAAAACGTGTAGCGACTCCGCCCCGATCGGTAGCGACCCCGCCGTTTTCTGACCGAGTTCCTAAACAAGAAAATAGTTTTCCTGTGAATGGCAAAATAGAGTTACAGAGAAACTTGGGGAAAAACCACCCCTATAAAAATAACGAAAAAGATAGAAGGATGAAAATAGAGCAAGGCAAGAAAAATCAAATAAAGATTTTATATCATTTCCGGTTATTGAGGTTTTCTAGAATAGTTTTCTCTGAAAATAGATTTTCTTTTTTTCAATTACAAATCCAATTCAGAACCAGAACCATGTCATAAATTCGTATTGTTTTGTTCCGTTTTAAAGTCAAAGATCATTCACGTGTTGAGATTTTTGATGATATATGATACATGTTTGACATCGTTTGTAAAACTTAATGTTCGTAATAAAGTAAAACCCGACAGATATTCTAAAAGGGGGTTGATCCTAACTAATAAGTTCATTACTTTCAATGAAATGAATTAAGCTTGGAAGTAAGCTAAACATAACAAAATATTTAAAAATATAAATATAATCTACTTCAAAAGTAGGACCATTAAGATTTAAAAAAAAACTCGCACAAACATATAAATAAATGAATGAATGAGGAAACAACACACACAAGTTGACCGATATGTGTCAGGGCCGCGACACACAGCAAAACATGCTCTATTGTACCCGCGAAGTAGTGCGATTTGAAATGTACAAGAATGTTTTTGAATGATGAAAAGTTCAAAAAGTGAACTTCACTTTGATGCTATGCTCTCTGCTTTTCTTCAGTACACAAACATTTACATTTTTAAATTTCAAACTTTTTATTTATTCAGTTTCCAAATATCAAAATAAAAATCAAAATAATAAATATAGAAAGATAAATAGGGAGCTAATCAAGAACAAAATATAAAACACGTCAAAAAATGGAACAACGATGGGGGATAAAATCGAAGAAGGTTCCTAGATTATGTGAGATGAGATTGGGGAATGATTTGTGGGGAAAAAATAAATAATACGAGATCAATAGATTATTTTAAGACAAATATATTAATTGATAACCTAAACATTGTGAGAAGAGGTCGTAATAATTATTGAATCCGCATGTGAAAGAATACCGGTAACCTTTTTTGGATCAAACTCTTTTCAAGTTTACCGAAAAAAAGCGCGGAATCGAATATTGTTTCGCTCTTCCAACATTTTGGCCAAAATGAATTTGTTTTCACTCACTACGTCCAGGAATTCTTCCACTTCTGCTGGATAATCTCCCTTCTTCTCCAATCCATTCTCCCAGTCTTTGACGAATTGCATCACTGCTTCACGATGCTCCTGAAGGTTCAAATTTTTAATTGATAAAACACGGCAAAGAAAAAACTCACGTTCAAAGGTTTAAAATTCAAAGATAACAATTCTCTGGCATTTTCTGGGAATTTCTTAATTAAATCGATCTCTTCGAAGTTTCGCGGAACTTTGCATTTTTCCGCACAGGCTCTTCCTTTCGAGCAACAATAAACAGACTGAAAATAAAACATTTGTTTTTAAATGAAATACACTTTTTTCAAAACTCACTCTAATCAACATAGCCAATTCTTTGCTCAAAGGCATTTCCATAAGTTCTTTACTTTGTTGGCTCTTCTCGATAGCTGTATAATTCCAGCTCCAACCAAATTCATTATAAATCCCATATTCATCATGGGGACATCCGATTTTTTCAGGACAAACCCGATTTACAGCTTCTGCAAGCTGGTCACTGGTCAATCCTCCAATAGTCACATTTATTGTGCACAAAAGAATGATTTTGATTGCAAATTGCTTCATTTTGAGAGAGAGAGAGGGTTCACACTGAAAAACAACAAAAATTGTTTCAGAAGTTTCGATGATGGAAAATCAAGCAATAATTCAAAAAATTGAAAACTAATCACAGAATGATTTCTAGAAGAACATGAGGATAATTTTAAGCAAACGTAAAACCACGCCCATTTTCAGAGCCGCCTTTTTTTTCGAAAAATGGGGAGGAGCTTACGTCTTGCTCCTTTTGGGAGTTGCAAGCAATTAGGAAAACACGTAGAAACACGTAACAAAAAGGGAAGATGTAGAAACAGTGAAAATGAACAGTCTGTGGTAAAATGGTAAAACACAAGACTATTTTTCGACGAAAAAAATTGAAAAATTTCCGATTATTTTTTATCAGAAAAAACAAAGTCCATAAAGTTCGCAGTTCAATTGCGATACTATCAACTGAAACTGATAATTGTATGTAAACAAACTCCGGGAAAGGCACATTTTCAGAACCGATGCATCAATGATTGTTAAGGAAGAATCCTGCCCGGAAGTTTTCGTAAGTTGTGTTCTTGTTCTCTTCAGCTCTGGCAAACCTTCAAGGCACCGAAACTGCGCTGGTGCTTTTTTTGCGGGGGCACTTCAAGAATTTTATTCCTGAGATTTCTGTTATTTACGCAAGCCAAGCCGTTCGTCAAAACAAAACTCATAAAACTTTGTTGAAAACGTGTGTACTTTTCATTCATTCATCTCATCCGTTTTCCAAATATACGTCATTTTCATCATACATATGTGACTGACTAAAAATAAACTTTTCTTCATCATACAACAAAAAACATGCAAATCTCTTCCTTTAAAAAACGAGAAATTCCCCCATAATTTAATATTAAAAAGACGTGGAATCTCTTGTTGTGGGTTTGCAAATATAATTAAAATGCTTTTGGAACAATTGAGGACAATTATTTATTTTTAGCTCAGATTTTCCTGAAAGGACCACAATAAATAGTTTGAGAAAACAAACAATCTCTCAAATGTCCTTTCCTGTCAGGAAGAATGCTTGAAAACGTCATTTGTTTTCAAGTTCAAAAGAATAACAACGATGTGTCATTATCATTTTCCACAAAATCACGCACGTATTTCCCAGAATCCTGGTTACTATTTTTGACACCAAAAATGTTTTTCATATCGTTTACGTCAGCCGTATTTTCCTTCCTACGAAATCACGTCCCTTGGGTCGTACTACGCGCAAAATCAAGCCGAAAATAATTTTTGTCAGTATTTTTCTGATCATATGACGCGCGTACCAAATTATCATTTTTTTTTTGTCATGTCATCAATATCAGAACTAGAGTGACTTCAGAAACTAATAACAAAAAAAGTTGGAAAAGTGCAAAAGAGGGGTTGTTATTTTTGTTTGTTGAAGGAATTCAGGAAAAAATTATTCCAAATTTTGTGAAACTTAGAATCAATTTATCTTTTGAAATGAGTTGGGTACCAACCCTAGAGATCATATTTGAGTCATTGGAAAAAAAACTTAAAATGAGTCAAAGGCGCTTTGAGAATACAAATTAGCAACAACGGAATAACAAGTTGCAGTTCATACATCAAAAACCTGATGGAAGATGAGAAGGTTCAATAAGTTCTCCTTTATGTGAATCTCCGGATGAAGTCGACCAGCTTGCTACTAGTTGGGACCAGCTTCTCATCTGAATTTTACATGAACATCAGATAGCGCAATTTTTATTGCGAAAGCATCAAAAGTTGACCGTACGCACAAGTTGTCACGCTCGAAAGAGAAATGTCCGAAAATTTGTGAATTGGATGAAATGTTGTATTTTTTGTATTCCATGAAAAAGTCAAAACAAATATGTTTTTTTTCTCGAAATCAAGTTGGAAGTCCAAATATTTTTACCCAGCTCTTTATAATTGAAATTCTCTACTGTGAGGAACTATTTCCCTGTAGTTCAACACATCCTAAACTATTTTTCACAAGATTCCCATAAAAAATGCGTATTTGAAGCTCCAGAAAAAGTATTCTATGACAAAAACAATGATCAGCCACCAAATACTTTTAATTCTCCCATGTTCCAAATCATGTTCTTTGTCAAATTGAAAAAAGTTCCGAAATCAAATCAAGAGAGAGTGCAATTTTATGCAAAAACATACGAAATACACTTTTTTCAAGCTTGCCTACGTAATATCTGCCCATTCTGTTCTCATATAACATTATTCCCACCGCAAGATTATTTCAAGAACATTTCTAGTTGAATAGTATTTTATTCCGCGCAAATGTGTAGTTTGAAGTTGAATCAACTGAAGAACACTACAGAACTGAGCTGAATTCGAAATTTAATAATGAACAAATAACGAGCACGTCATCTTCATCTTCATTTTTTAGTTTCCCATGTTTATTTATTTATTTATTTATATTTTTCAGAATAAGAAGAAAAATGTTTGAATTTAAATGCTAATTTTCACACGATAGAGCTGGATAGAGCAAAAAGAACAAAAATAGATGTTGATTAATGACATAAACAATCAAATTCCACCTCATTTGTTTTTGTTGATATTGTTATGAATTGCGTAGAAATTGAATTAGTGATTCGGAAAGAATTGTTCTAGGGTGTTTTGTGATAAACAACATGACGAATACTACGGTTCACTGATATATTTCGGAAAAATACTAAAAGAAATCGAGCCGAATTTTAGAAACATAAGGTGGAGAAACCCTTGGAGATCACCATGAAAAACAAAAAAAATGTTTGAAAAATGATATTTACTTCAGAAACATCTCGATAAAAGTATCAAAAATCAATTTTTGAGTATGTATCATCAATTGATAAAAAATATTTAGTTTGGACCCATGACTAACTGGCACATTCATTTTTCAGCACAAAAAAACATTCAAAAAATCATCATCAATTATCACTTCCTCATTCTCAATCACATTCTCATTCTCATTTGAAAACAACATAATAAAAACTAAACTCTAGTTTGTCGAACATTTGTTTAAAAAACCACTGACCAGCAAGCAATTTTCTCGATTTTTGTTTTTCTTTGAAAGAAAAAAATAAAATTTAAAAGAAAAATTAATGTTTCAAATTTGAAAGGCTTCTGATTTTGATGTTTCAATGATGTCTTTTCCAAGAATAAAAATTTAAAAAAAAAAGAAAAAATGATGCAATTCAATAATTTTCGCATACCTTTTTCATTTTTTTAAGAAGGTTGATAAATTTTATGGCTGATCAATGTTATGTCATAAGAAACCTTATATTTTCATAGGAATTATGATAATTTAAAAAATTTCAAAAGACACTATGAAAGATTTGAAAATTATGAGAATAGTTTTTTTCTCTAGTGAATGAAAGAACACTGGTTCAAAGCGAAAAAAAAAAGATATATTAATGACCTCGGCAGCTGTCGGTTTGCAACAAAAAATCGAATGTTGGCACATTTTTTTTCGAATTGGCAGGGAAAACGTAACATTTTGAACAATAACGAGGGGAAGAGTATCGTGTAAATTGGTCATTTGATTTTACGAAAAAAAACCTTTCAAATGGTTTTAATTGAATGCAGATTCAAATGTTGCATTTGAATTTGAATAGCATCTGGCATCTGGCATGGTTTCAAAAGCATCGAATTGACAACTGAAAGAGATTTTGGTTAAATGAATTCAAAAATGGTTTAATTTACAATAGTGTTCTCTGTACCCTTTTTTCTGTAGAATTTCCGAAGATTTTAGAACTTTGCGAAAATAATACATTGGAAAAGTTCCCGTTAGAAAATTAGAAAATAAATTCCATTTGGTTGTTGAAATTATAGCTTATTCGAAATTTTGAGATTTATTAAACAATTTCAAAAATGCCCCAAAGTTTTAATAATTCATTCAAATTTGCTTCTTTCAGATTTTAAAATGTTTACCTTCTTCTCTGAAAACTCTGGAAGTGATTGTGTAAAATATTACTCACAATCAAAAATGATTTTCTCATGCAAATAAAGGTTTATTTTTGCGTATATCATCATAGCAGGCAAGAATTTCTGGATATCTCATACATAAATAAAATGATCGATACGCGTAAATTGTTCTAATTTCAAAATCGTTGGCTAAAAAATAGATCACTTAAAAATCAAATTGACTGGAATATTTTAAAACCGGAGCGGGCAATGAAAAATTTGAGAACATATATAAAATAAAAAAAAATATGGAATGAAAATAGGGTATTGAAAGAAAAGAGGTAAAAACATCATCAAATGGGACAATATCTACTTTTTGTTTTGTTCAAATTTGGCGGCTAACTTTTTCACATCGGCTTTTGGCGGGTTTTCGGGAATTGCCGGTTTCTGAAAATAAAACAAAATTAAGTTTAATATTTTATAAGGTGATATAGATTTTGTTCTTCAACTTACCGTATGCGCTGGTGGCGGGGGTGGTGGTGCAACATCAGGACGCATACTTTCGTTCCTTTTCAAAGTGGATGATTTGGGTTTTTCTTTGGGAAGCGGTGGTGGTGCTACTTTTGGTTTGGTTCTAAAGTAGTTAGTAAAAGCAACATAGATTTTTGACCAATAAAAAATAAAATTTTGGAACAAAAAATCAACTCACAATTTATCATATTTTTCATCATTAAGTTCTTCTCGCAGTCGATTCAGAGCTTCATCAGATGGCCGAGGTATAGGTGGCGGTTGGAAATTGGGACGAAGTGAGCCAGTTCGACTAAATGAATCTGATCTCGGTTTTTCGAAAACTGGGTAGACTTCAGCAGTATGCGCAGGATTTGAGTGGAGCAATGGTGTTGGGCTTGAAACTTCGTGATCTTTGAATGTTGCCATTGGAATACAAGGTGGATCGAATTTTGGAATTTGTGGCGGGGGTGAATATGTTGGTGGAGCTGAATGATCTCCCCACATGGCTGTGAAACTTTGTCGAATTCGTTGAGCATATGGAGGGGGAGGTGCACGACGAACTGGGACGAGATCACCATGTAGATCGAATTTTTTGCGAACAACGCTCCACCATTCAGACGGAAGGTTTCGTTGTTTCTTCACGCGATACCAAACACACAATCCTGCGATGAAAAATCCGAGGAAGAAGAAGAGCACCAAAAATGTGGAAGTAACAGTAATCCTATAAAACAGAAACTTTTTTCCATAAAAGTCTTGCAAAATTCTCACCCTCTGAATTGATATGCTTCATTGGAGTTCACTGAGCCACCATAGCCAGGAATTTCACAAGCGATGCCACCAAATCCACGTTCACAGTGACAATTTCCAACATTGTTGCAAACTCCGCGGAAATTACAGTTATCCAAACATTGTGATGTGACTTTTGTGATTTTGCTCTTTTTCTGACATTTCTGACCAATGCACATATCATCTGGGCCACATTCTGCACCATCCGGAACCATTCCAATATCTGGTTGATTTAAAATTTCTTGTTTAAAAGTATAACAGACACTTGGGGCGGTTTGATTATTATTTGAAGATCGCACTGAACTGTGTGATGATTGATATCGATTCGGATCTCCATATACTGGTCGTTCAGCTTGAGTTTCACATTGTAGTCTGCCGCATTTGTTATTTTGTGGTTCACATTTTTTGAAAACCTTGGTTGTAACGTCATATCCACAATTTCCATGGAATGTACCACGGGTATTTTGAGCATAACAGTTTGAATCAGCGTTATGACCTGTTTCACCCCATATTTTTGCACAATTATCTTCACGACTTCCACATCCACCTTCATAGCAAAACTCCTAAAATTTTTGAAATAATAATGACATAAGATAGCAAACCAACCTTTTGTCTGTTTGGACAAATTGCACCATTTTGAACATAAAAATCAGCAGGACATTCACTTGTTTCGCCATTACAGTACTCATCCAAATCGCATATGCCTAAAGCTGTTCGACAAACTGTAGCCCGAGGTTTTGGTTTGCAAGTTTGAAGGTCACAACATTCACCAGATGCACAAACTGCTTCACCAATGAATTTGCAAGTTTTATAATCGCAACAAGGGTTTGAACATTTGATTGGCCCGCAATCACATTCTTCACCAGCTTCTACAATATGATTTCCACAAACTGCATCAGATGGTTTTTTTCCAGGTTCATTGAACAAGCAAAGATCAACACCACGATTGAATGCGTTCGCAAGATTCTTTACTGAACATTCTGACCAAACTTCAACGTGATCAGATTGTGCTGACATTATACATTTTGGCATTGGACAATAGCAAACATCAGCATCCGGAATATCAGGATCGTGATCCATTCCAAAAGTATGACCAAGTTCGTGAGCCAAAGTTGCGACAGTTGTCACAAAATCGTCATTGTGGTCAACATAAATTCCAGCTGAAAAATCATACGAGCACATTGTTCCTTTGTAAGCTTTTCCAACTACGCCATCGGCAAATCGCAAAGTTCTAGAAAATCATCAGATAGTTTTTTTATATAAAAAATATATGAACTCACGTCAACATGTAACCTGTATCAAAAAGGTGTTCCTTTCGCATTGTATCTTTCATATACTCATGAAAATTTTGAAGAGTTTTTCCAGAATCTTCAATTACTTCAACTAAATTTCCCTTCTTCCAAATTTCTGAATAAACCAAAGCTACACGAATTCCCAATGGATGATAGAGCGAATTCAAAACATTGATCGTTTTTTGCATATAGTCATTGACTTTTTGCTCATCTGAATCAAGCTTCTGATAAATTGAGTAATCAGCAGCCAAGGCCAATTCAACAAATCTTCGACGGTCATCTAGATGTTCTTTGATGTAAGATGGATTTCGATCAATGTCAGCTTTACGCTTTGATCGTTTCGGCTCTCCAAAGTCTGAAAACAACAAGTATTTTGAAATTCAAAAAAATTTAATCTCGCTGACACTTTCAATTGTTCTATTGTCAAAAACCAGTTTTTTTCAAAATATATTTCACTTACTGCAGTTGTCAATTACATATGGTGTGAGAATGAAGCGACCATCTTTTACAGCGAGACCAAATCGATTGTTTCTCGTGAAAATCAAACCACCAATTTCTGAAAAAAAAAACAAAATTTCATGGTCTGTAATTTAATAAAATGTATTCGAAATTTAAAATTAAAAAAATCTAGGAATTGAACATTTGTACAATTTCATGCTTGTAAATTCTTTTTCAAACAGTAATTACATATTTTTCACAGTATAGGAAATTTTCTCGAGCAAAAATTATTTATTTTTCAAATTTTTGAGCTCCACTTCTAAACGCCTCTCAAGTTTCCAATTTTCTCAAAATTACCTTCGCTACTACAAGCAGATAAAGAATTTCGATCTCCTTCTGTGAACCCGTGAAAATGACAATTCGAAACTAGCGATGATGTTGAAGGATTGTTTTGCGTTGATTGAAATCTGAAATTTTTCTTTGTTTTTTCAATTTTATTTTTCAAACAATTTTTTCAAAAATATTTTTCAAATTCATCCATCTATCTTCAAAAAAGTTTAACTTCATATCAGATGTTTATTTTCCATGGGTATTAAACAAAATTCTTATCAATCAAAAAAAAGTCGTTTTTCTCAAAACATTTCCTGAGTCATCTGATATTTGAGTCACAACAGGAAAAATGTGTTTTCTTACAACTTTTTTTGTCACAAACCTATCTTCAGTGAAATTGATATGCAATTTTTGGCCATCATCAGATCTTAGAGTTAAATGGAGATTCGAAGATGATAATGCGGCTTGGAAAAGTGATTGTGGGCTCAATTCTTCGCCTAGGAGATCGATTGAAATTGGGCATTTTTGCCTATTTGAGGCGGACAATATTTTCGTTGTTGTTAATATGTCCGTCATAAGCACATACTGCAAAAATTATTGATTACGGAATATGAGAGCAAAATAATTTTGATTGACATGAACGAGAAAAATCAAGAATGCATAGCTCGATTCTTTTCACAGAAAAAAATGAAGAGAAATGACATCAGGGTAGAGAAAAATAATATTAAAAAAGTACAGATGGACTATTTTGTGACCAAAAAATGGCGAGACACCAATGCTTCCGTAAAAAAAGTGAGAAAAAAATCAGAGTAACATCAGGAAGACATATGGAAAAAAAGTGCATATGGACTTTTTTGTGATCAATTTTTTCTCGCGAGAGAAAGAGAAAGATGAATCAGAAAAATGTCATGCGTGATTTTGATTTCAATCTTGTTGAAATATAAAATTGGAACCGGATTTTTGAAGTTGAAAAATCGAAAAAACAGTACACATATTTTGAAGGAACAAATCACGCGCCTTTAACCACTAAAAAGAAAACTAGAACATTTTATTGGAAAAAACACTAGTCGTCAAGAAATCTAAACAAATATTATCAAGAGAGCAAATAAACATTGACAGTTCCTTCACGAAATTTCAATGGTCAGAAAAATTGAACTATCTACTTTAAAAAATATATACTAACATTCAAGAACAAAAAAGTACAGCTGAACTCTAGGTCTCTGAAAAATGAGAGTCACTCAATAAAATTAATTGGATGCCTCGTGAAATTAATGAAATAAATGTATTTATATTCAATAAATCTAGATCTCAAAATAAACCACATGATATTTTAATATTAATCGCTTTAAAAATACTGAAAAAAATATACAAAATCGATGAAAAACACGCTAACACAATTGTGAAATATATTCTGTATAAAAAAGAAAAAAGAAAAGAGGAAGCGGAGAGAGGAGACGCATAAAATAGAAAGACTGCAAGAGAATTAGAGAGTGTTAGAGATAAAGAGGGTTCAAGGACTAGGAAGAACACATGTGTAGTAATGCATGAGTAAGAAAGGAAAAAATTAAAACTTGGAATCGGGTTTTTTTCGGAAACAAGAACAAGATAACAATTGAGAAAGAGGAAAAAGGAAATAGGAAGTTTAGCGTTTCCAAACAAAAGTTAGAAACAAAAAGTTTTGTTGAGATATCCGGAAGGACTCTTTGACACATGTGTAGTAATGCATGAGTAAGAAAGGAAAAAATTAAAACTTGGAATCGGGTTTTTTTCGGAAACAAGAACAAGATAACAATTGAGAAAGAGGAAAAAGGAAATAGGAAGTTTAGCGTTTCCAAACAAAAGTTAGAAACAAAAAGTTTTGTTGAGATATCCGGAAGGACTCTTTGACACATGTGTAGTAATGCATGAGTAAGAAAGGAAAAAATTAAAACTTGGAATCGGGTTTTTTTTCGGAAACAAGAACAAGATAACAATTGAGAAAGAGGAAAAAGGAAATAGGAAGTTTAGCGTTTCCAAACAAAAGTTAGAAACAAAAAGTTTTGTTGAGATATCCGGAAGGACTCTTTGAGAGATAGATCTTTTTATAAAAAATATGTGTGGTCCAACTATTTTTATTGGAGAAATAAGATTCAAAATCTAATGGATTTCAAAATATAAGATGAAATATACGTTCAATTTCGGGTTGATTCAAAATTTACTTTTTTGATTTACAAAATATATGAATAATTTCCCAATCAAGTAAAAATACAAAATATTTTTCACAATTAGAATTATTTTCGCAATTTTCGAGGAACAAAATTCAAAAAGCTAGGGGGCACCCGGATTTGAACCGGGGACCTCTCGATCTGCAATCGAATGCTCTGCCACTGAGCTATACCCCCAGATGATATAGAAGAAACAAATAGCAGTGATATAAACGAATGTCTGCTGTCTGCCTGCTTATATGGCGATCAGATAGATAAACATTCACCGCTATTTATTCGATTAAACGAGAAGGAAAATGTTGTGTGTTTATTTTCATCATATTAAAAAAACTGTTTAAAAAATCAGTTTTACAGAGGAATCGACAAAATTATCGAAGAGAACTACATTTCTAGAAAAATATTTGAAAAAATAAATATGACACAAACTATAGTATTTGACTAGAAACCAATTTATTTTGTTGTTTGTTTTTGAAAAAATCATGAAAAACCTGAAATTGATGCATAAAAAACTAAAAAAAAATGTGGTTTTCAAATCTTTCAAAACAACATGTGTGAAATATTGTTTGAGTTACGAAATCTGCATATTTTCCAGTGAGATGTCGGTTGCTAGGTTTTGCTAGGGTATATAATAGAAAAACTATGTCTCTATGAACATGGAATTGGTCCGGAGTTAGTGGGTTATCAGCACAAATTCCCCATTAACATCAATTTGACTGTTTCCTTTTTTTTCTTTATTCCCAAATCTACTCTGAATTTTTAAAATCAGAGTAGATTTGGGATTTTAAATACATCCTGAAGATCACATAAACGATCATGATCTTTAAAAAAATCTGCATTTGTTCATTTTCTACTTATGTAAAACAAGTAAAAGTTTCATATATTTTTTCTCCCAAAAAAACTTCCGAAATATCAGGATTATCTTATTGAAAAAAAGACACACTATCCGTTTTCACAAAGAAAATTTGATATTTCGCAACACCTGTTTGTTCTTATAGCAGTTTTCCAGTGAAATGTCGGTTGCTTTGTTTGATAGGGGTATATAGAAGAAATGAACTATTTCTATTTCATGGAAACGGTCCGGAGTCAGTGGGTTACCTTCAGAAACCCTCCCATTGGCATCAACTCGACTGTTTCCTTTTGCATTTTTTCAAAATAATTTTGATGATAAGTATTACAGAGTTTTTAAATAATTATATTTGTAGCCAAAATTACTAAAAATACTCTTATTTGGATGAAATGTAGAGTTCCTTAATGAAACAATTTCACTGAAAAAAAAGTTCACAAACACAATATGGATATTTCGCAATATTTTAAAGTTTGTTCTGATAACAGCTTGCCAGTGAAATGTCGGTTGCTTTGTTTGATAAGGGTATATAATAGAAAATAAAATGTTAGTGAACATGGAACTGGTCCGGAGTCAGTGGGTTACCTTCGAAAACCCCCTATTGGCACCAACTTGACCGTTCCATTTTGCATTGTTGAAAACGGTGAGCGTTTTCCTGTTGTTTAGAACAGATTTCGAAAACTTGCTAATTTTTTACTGAAACTTATCATTTGAAAACTTCTAGTTATTCGATAACAAAATTATTGTTTAAAAAAACTTTGAATGAACATCTTAAAATTGTGAAAAGTTTTCTGTAAATTTCACTAACTGCTGAGGATTTCACTAATAATCATACCGTTTTAAATTGCAGCTTCTGTAAAATATTGAATTCTCTGTCAGATTTCCCCCAAAAATATGAATAAAGTTCATGTATTATCAATCATTTCACAAAGAACAATAAAACTGTTCAAAAAATCATGAACTAGAGCAATATTACTAGAACATCAACAAATAATTAATCAATAAACCTGTAGAGATCAAAGAATGACGAAACTCCGGAAATTCCTTGATTATAAAATCCCGGCAAAAAAACACAATAGGGTCGTAATTTTTCGATTTTGGGTAAGGACACTTTGATAAAGAAGAAAAACCCTTAAAAATATGGAATCTTTTGAATATTTGGATGGATATAACCGGTGAGAATATAAGTTTTTTGACAGGGAAAAAAAGAAATTATAAATTAAGGCATATGTCTTCCAGAAAGTGTCGAAGCTTGTGATGCTGAATACGGCACACCGTAAAACATTTCCTGTTTGCTCAACTCGTCTTGGAACTTTTCTTCGAGAACCTAAAACAAATTTGAATCAATTTCAGAATCTTCATTGTTTAAAAAGAAAACTCACAGTTTTTCTCGTTATCAAGTTTTCTTGCCAAACATTTCTAGCTTCATGATATTTTCCTTCGTGCTCGTTCATTGTATTGCGCTCTTTTTCAAGAAGTTGCTTGCGTTTCTCATTTTGCATTTCATCTAACTCGATAATCTGGAAAAATATGAATTTTTTGAATAAATCAGAATTCTCATTCAAATAGGCCCGAAAACATATATTACTTTCTGGTAGATCAGTTCAGACAAAATCTTAATCTTCATTTTTTTTTGAATAAATTCTAAAATATGAGTTCAATAAATCTGACTTTGTCTATGTGCTCATTTTTTAAATTCAAAACTGATATTTTCTAAGATTTCGCAATACATTTTTTCCCCACATTCTCTTCAAAATTATTCATTTTTGTTTTATATAATTTTTGAATAATTTTCTTCCTCAAAAAACACTCACCGCTTCTTGTTGTCTATCTTTCAACATTTGCAATTTTTTCTGCGATTTCGCATCGTGCTCCTCTAGCGCAGCTCGCATTCTCAAAGCTTCTTGCTCATCGAATCGTCGAATTCTCTCTTGCATTTCCGCGTTTGACATATTTGCCATACTGATTCTCAAACTCTCCTTGAACATAATACTTCGAGTCTTGGTTTCAGAACGAAGCATTTTCGGAAGCTTTTTGCGATCATTAGTTAAAGCGCGGATAAGAATGTCTTCTTCTTCTTGATGAAGTTTTTCAATTTGTGACATTTCACGTTGATGTCTTGCAAGCATTTGAGTTCGGAGTAGATAATATTCGTCTTTGAATAACTTTCGGTGAAGGACAAACCTGTAAATTACATTGTTATTTTGAAAAATCAAATTTCAAACTCACTTCTCTCTCATATGTTTATCTTCCAATTCCCAAACATTATTCTCTTTTGCTCGAAGAAGATTATGTTTTTGCATAAGGAATTGTTTTTCCATCGCTGCCATTCGCTCTTTATGTTTGTCGGCAAGTCTTTGAAGCATACTATCACCATTTTGTTGCAACTGCATCAAAAAGTCCTTTTCCTTCAATTGATGTTCAATTTCAATCTGATCTTTACGCTGTTTCAATGCATCTTTTCTTTGAGTTTTTGACAACATCGTGACTTCTTGTTTGAATATTTTCATCTCTTGTTTGAGTCGTTCTTTGAATGCACGCATATCTTTTTCTTGCTCAACTTTCAATCGTTTTTGCGTGATTCGTAGCTCGTTTTCTTGTTGTGCTTCAGTATCTTCAATCTCTCGTCGCTGCCTTCTTTCCATTGCGTCCATTTCGAGATCTGATGTTCTAGAGAGATTCTGTTGCTCGAGTCCAAACTTCTTGGCTTGTTCCTCAACGAGTTTCAAACCTTCAGCATGAAGTTCTTGTTTTTGTCGAGCTTCATCGCGTTGAAGACGACGTAGATCGTGAAGTTGTTGCTTTCTGAAACAGATTTCTTGCTTCAATTTTTCATTTTGAATAGAATCTTACCGTTGTACTTTGTCATCTTTGGCTCCAAGAACATGAATTGTTGTAGATGTGACTTGTATTCCATCAATCATATATGTTCTAGTTTTTCTAGTAATCGTTTTCCTAACCACATCTTTCCGTTCGCCCAAAGGTTTCTCTGAAGCCGATTTAGCTTTCGGTTTTGAAATTGGTGACGCAGTTTGTGGTACAGGTTTCTTATTTTCTTTCGCGTTTCCATCATAATCAACTGGTGGTTCTGGAGGTGGAGTTTTCTCTTCAATACTCGATTTTTTACTTGATGTTGGTTCAAAATACGCATCTTGAGTTGATGCAACTACCAATGGTGATTTGTTGACCATTGGTGGAGTATTTGATACAGAAATATCAATCGATGCTTTTTCTTTGAGTTTTTGTTGAAGAATATGTTGAACTGATAGACTTTGCGAACTGTTTTGTGTTATATCACCATCATATTCAGCCATCTCATCAATACTTTCCTCAATTGTTACCATCGAATTATTCAACGATGTGTTGAAACTAATCTTCTCATTGACTTTTGGTGGAATATTTGTAGAAATAGATTGATTAGCTTGTGATTTTTCGAAACTTCCATCCAACGATTGAGTAGAAGATGTTGGCAGAGTTAAAGAATCCGTTGATTTCTTACGATTTGCTTTAATAACATCTCTGATTGTATGATCGACTTTAAGCGGGGTTGGTGGTGAAACAGGTTCTGGTGGGATTTCGAAATATGACGAAGAGAGTGAACCTTGCTCATCTTCCAGTGTGATATTCAAATCATCAAGAATATTCAATGCCTCACGACGTGGGCTCATAACCAATGTTGTATTCTGAAAAAAACAGGGATACACTTTTGATCTTGAAAAAATGATGAAATACCTTTGCTGGAAGTCTTGGCGATGTGTTGAGAGTCAAATTATCTTTTGATTCCTCCTTCTTTATTCTAGCCGCGTTCAAATTCGTTGAAATTCCCTTATTTTTCTCAGGAGTTGTGAAAACAGCATCAGCAGTTTCATCATTTCCGTTCGATTCAATAGAGAATTCCAAAATAACAGTTTGCTCTGGCAAATTGCCATTTGTATCAGCTTCTTCTTTTGGCGGTGGTGGAGCTGCTCGTTTTTTATGTGGTGTTTCAATAATCGGAGGCGGTGTTTGAATCATTGGTGATAATGGTGGTTTGAAATGTTCAGTAACATGTGGAAGTGGACTATCTGATGCAGAACTCCAAGTGTCATTTCCAGGTCGTTGAGATGAAATTTCATCAGAACCAGCAACTGAATCGTCATCTTCCATTATTTCTTGACAAATGATTTCTTCTTTGACATCAACTGCTTTCATTTCAGCAATTAATTGAAGAACACTTTTTCGACCATTATTTGCAGCTTTCAGCCAATCATGCTGAAAATATATTTTTGAGAAAATTTTCGACTGAACCTCATTTCAGGATTAGAATGATATATATTAGAACTTGAGCCTCTAATCACGTTAAGTTCTAATTAATTCCTGAAATTTTTTTTCTAAACGCTCTAGGATTTACGAGAAATATCCATGGCGTCACTTTCATAAAGATATTCAATCTTTTCGGTATTTTTTTTTGGTAAAAAATAAAATTCACTCACAGAAAACAATGAATTTGCGCTCAATCTCTCCGCTGGATTTTTGACTAAACATTTCGCAAGAAAATCCCTAAAATCATTCGAATAATTTGCCGATGGTTCCAACGTTGGTGGCGGACTTTTTTGCACTTTTATCAAAACTCTCATTGGTGAAACTTCAGAATGTGGTGGCTCTCCTAACACCATCTCAATTAATGTGATACCAAATGACCAAATATCGGAGATACAATCATATGGTTGATCTTTGAATGTTTCACACATCATAACTTCTGGTGCCATCCAATATGGTGTTCCAATAAATGTATCGCGTTTTTCTCGTTCATTTTTGAGGTTTGCAGAAACACCAAAATCAGCTAGACGAACTTGTGCATCATTTGTGAGAAGAATATTTCCAGCTTTGAGATCTCGATGAATCACATTTTGTTCATGAATATATTTGAGCGCGTCAAGAACGTGGAATGCAATATATTTGACTTGAACCTCGTTGAGCGGTTTTTCCAATTCCAGCATCAAATTGTCAACTGCTCCACCGCCACAAAATTCAAGCATCATCTAAAAACCCAATTTTTGTTTGAGAGCAGTGTAATTGAGAAAATCGCGGACTTACCGTTAGCCTATTATCGAAAAAATATGTTGAGAAGAGTTTGAGGATGACTGGATGGTTCCGGCATTTTTGAAGAATTTCGATTTCCACCAGAAAATCTTCGATTTCTTCACCATCTTGGATTTCGATTGACTGAAAATTTCAAAAATTATTTTCATACAAGGGTTCTATATTCTAATTAAGATATCCAACGTTCCAATGGAGAAAAATAATATGATTCTGAGTTAAGAAAAACTTGACACAGAGTTCGATGTTGGGGCTTCAATTGAAATGGACCGTGTTCTGTGTTTCAGCCAAAGAAAAGCACCAACCTTTGATGCTGCAAATTGTCTTGGATCAGTTTTTGAAACCGCTTTCTCAACTTTTCCAAAAGCACCATCACCAAGTTCACCAATAATATCCCAATGCTCCTTCGGATTCACACTATCCAAAACATAACTCGGCAATTTTTTCTCCAACGGTGCACTTCGAAATAAGTTCTTGACTTTATTCAGAAATGCCATGGTGTTGTGGTGTGGTACACCAAATGGTGTGCAATAGAAATTTTAAAAGGCTGTGAGGTTTTCTGGTTATTTATTCAGCCTGCAAAAAATATATATTGATAAGGTATATGGGTAGGCGGCAAGAAAACAGAAAAGAGAAAAAAAGTACAAATATGTATATATATATTTATAGATTGATAGATAAAATTGGAATTGCATAATCGATTTTTTGGTTAGTTGGCGGGGAAAATGATTCATTTTTAATGTAAAGGAGGATGGAAAGGCAGGTATGATGATGATTAAAAAAATAAACAGAAAAATGGAACTGTGTAACATTTTCATATCAGCTGAGACTGTTTTTTTTTGCTGGTAGTAGTGAAAAATATCAATCATCAAACTAAATCAATAAGAACAACTAGTACAACACCGTTGTACGCACAAAAAAACGAGGGCAAGAATCCATAAAAGAAGAAGAATGAGGGAAAACGTAATATACGTAAGTAGACGGAGGAAAACGAAAAACAGTACAGGGAGAGAAAAGAGAAGAACAAAATAGTCGAAATGAGAATAGGGAGAGCGAGGCAAAACGAGGACAAGAAGAAGCAAATTTTGCGCGCGCACGCGGGAAAAAAACTAGTCACCATCCGTCGATTTATCCCATCTTGTTACTAGTACTGTTTTATTCCTTCTTGGGTGAAAGATTTGGTGGATAGATATAATTTCTACATATATGTCCAGAGACATTCATTAGTTTTTTCTCGAGGCGAGAGAAAAAGTACAACACAAAAAAATAAAAATAAAAAACACACACACACTAAATAAAAGGTTTGAATAAACAAACAACGATGTGGTTATCAATGGGGCGCACTTTGCGCATCGACAACAGGTGTTTTTTGAAGCTGCGAATGAGAAAACGTTGGGAAATATGAGTTTTTGATGCGATTTGGAGCTTTGAATAGGGAAAAGGGTTTGAGAAATGAATAAAGATGCTTGATAACTAATGGGGGTTTTCAGAAAAAAATTATTGAAAACAAAAAAAAAGGATTTTCGTTTTGAAATCCTATTCAAAAGTTACTTCCATAGAGTTCAGAATTTTTGATCAATCTGAATATAAGTTCAATCCAAATTGACTCCAATTAATTAACAGAGTATAGATGTTTTGCACTTTTTTGAAAAGTATAGAAAATGCCTATCTAAAAATTTATAGAAATTTGATATCATATTTGAAAGAAATAAACATTTATAGAAAAAATGTGAACTTTTTCGGTTTTTCCAAATGATAAAAATTCAACGAATGAATAAAATGAAAAATTCATATCATTAGAAACGGAAAGATTGAATAACTTTTTTTTAACATTGAAAAAGTTCCAAGTTCTCACACAAACCCATCAAGCTTGCACTTTCTGAATAGAACTGTTTTCAAAAATTCAATGTTCATGGGAACTGCAGATACCAAAACTTTTGGAATTCGGAAAATCACGGATTTGGAAAAAAAGGTTCGAAAAATTTTCAAAGAGTGTTTTTTCTATTTCATAAATGGAAAAAGAGAACATTTACTGAACAAAAATATATGGATAATTTTTTTTGATGAGAATTCGAAAAAAAACATAGAACCGTGGAAGCTTAATTTCACAAGCTGACATATCAAGCTGAAATCTCATGATTTTCTACAAAAAAATAATGAGATTTGAAATTTTCAAACTTGATAACCCAACAGCTCCAAATTTGTAGACAAGAAGCGAAGCCAAGAAATAGAGCCAATTTATATTTCGATAAATGACTCATCAAATTATTATTATTAGTGGAATAAAAAACAAAAGGTAAAGGTAAGTTGATATATGTATGTAAACTTGAGTAGATGTGCAAACACTAGCACGAACAATTGCACACCTTTATGCCCCTGTGAGTGAACAGAAATGAACAAAACTTTTGTTGTTGTTTGTTTAACTTCGGAAAAAGTAAAACAAATATGTGTATATGCAAATGTGTCATTTTTCCAAGTCTAGTCATATTACAAACAAATAGTTGGCATAAATTTCACTCTGAAAGTGAATTTGGAATTCAGATTTGAAGTGAAATTGAAATTGAAATCGAATAATGAATATACAAAATTATACCAATAGAAAAAGAAAAAGAAAAACAATCTAGTTGTGAATTGATTGGTCACTTTTTCACTCACTCACTCATTTTCATTTTATTCATTTATTCATTCAGTCATTCATTATTTCATTCATTCACAGTCATTTGTTTGTTTGACGAGGCGACAAAAAATACAGAAAATAAATAATGAATTGGGTAAATTGAAATTATTATATAATAATAATAAAAATAATATCGCAAAAAATAAAAATAATAAATAAAAAACTTGCTTTTTCGGTGATAACTCATTTTTGTTTGATTGATGACTATTATGTTTGATGTCGGAAACAAGGAAAAAGGATAGAAATAAATGTTTCATGTTTGATGAATTCATGAAAAATTTGTCTTTTCGGAGGTAAGAAATAAGAAGATTATTTTAATTGTTGTTTTTTTTGTCAAACAGCTGTTAAGCAGAAAGAAGAGAACAATTTGTACTTGGGAAAAGGTGAACATTTCTAAAATATTGATCAATGAATTGTTTGGTTTACAATCTGGGAAAATTATTGATAATAGGCAATAAAGATAATTTATGTATTAGAGTAACTGATATATTGGTAAATTGTAAAACATGCACATCAAAAAATGCTCTCACCAAGCTTTCATTCAATGAGGGGCTTTTTCCAATCATAAAGTTTTTAGAAAAAAAGTCTCCTCTATTTTTTTTATAAATATATTGAAAGATTGGGCTTAGATGCGAACTCTAGAAGTTTTCTAAATGCCAGCAATTTTTTTCAAAAATAAAAAAAGCAGCCAGACTCAATAAACTTCATTTCTCTTCTCTATTAAAATAAAATAATAATTAATTCTAACCTCCAATGATTCATAGCTTTGGAAAAATTTGAAATAAAAGTTTTATTGTTCATAAAACATCAAAAACCACTGAATTTCCTAAATTCAAGTGTTTGTGAAGGATTTGACTTATTTATGAACACATTTATTTCAAATTAGATTTTGACATGAAATTCTGGTGTATTGATACCGAGCAAAATTCAGACGGAGGACCAACCCTTTTAACTGAAACATTTCAAAAGAATGATTTTATTATTGATTCTGCATCTGGCCCATTTTATTTTGTTTGAAGAAGATTTTTACACATGGTTTCTGAAACCTCGAGAATTCGGAGTTGCTCGATACTTATATGAATCATTCTCAAAATTTGAAATAATTTGTGATGAATTCCACGAAGCCTTATTTTCAAAAGTGATGTTCTGACTTTTGAGCGGATTTGGAAGAGAACAAATCTTTTCGATAAATCTGTGACATAACAGTTCTGAAATGTTTTTATTTTTCTGTAAAAAACAAAAACAAACAAAAATTAATAAAATATTCATTGTATCAAACAATAAAAATGTGTCCCTAGAAGGAAATGGAAAAAAAATGAAAAATCATTGCAATAAATAGAAGTAGTGTACCTAGTTAGAACAAATGTGAATCTATGCAAAAAATAAACGATGCAAATTGAAAAAAAAAACCGAAAGATATTTTCAGAGGGATGTCATGAAGCAAATACAAAAATCAATGATACAAAACACGTTTTTCTTGACTATAAAGTTCAAACTACATATATTACGGTATATTACAATTATTTTTCAAAAAATTATGAGAAGGGAATTATTGATTTTAACGGAATCATTTCAGAGGAATAGAACATTGTTTTTTGATTATGTGCTTGAGTTTTTATTTTTTAATTTTGTTAAAAATAATTGATGAACTAGACAAAACTAACCAGTTTTAAACGGAAAATTAAAGTTTTTGTGGTTTTGAGATATGATTTTTTTTCGAAATGACAAATAAAGACTAGATGGCGGAAGGACTAAACAAAATGAAAAAAGAAAAAATCATGGAAAACACTGAGACAAATATGGAGGAAGAAAAATTGAGAGGAGGTTTTTACATTTCTGCATATGGGACAGCGGTACGACGTGGCTTTGTTTTGTTGTGACCCTGCAAAACTCAATTGTTATATGGGAGAGTGGGACAATTTTGGATTTGTTTGTGAAATTAAGTTTGAACGAAGATATTCAGTTCAAAAATCAAATTTTAAGCTTCTAATAATTTTTGGAACCGGATTAGTTTTGAAAAAAATACGCTCCGAAATGAATAACTTGAATTTTCAAAGTGAAAACATCATATCGAAATTGTAATCTGAAAACGACTGATTAAACATTTGTTTGAAAAAACAATGAGAAAAATTTCAAGAAAAAGCTTCCTCTTATCAAATATAATTTTTTGATTTCTAATTTTTCTCAATCTATTATACTTACCGCAGTTTTGTGAACTTTAGTATGTCGTTTTCGCTCATCACTTCTCGCGAATTTCCGTCCGCAAATTTCGCAAGAAAATGGTTTTTCACCGGTATGTGTTCTGACATGCGTTGTCAAATGATCAGATCTCGAAAATGCTCGCATACATATCCGACATTGGAATGGTTTTTGTCCTGTATGAATTCGAATATGACGAGTGAGCTCATCACTTCGAGAAAATCGTCGATCACAATCATCGCGTGGACATTTGTAGGGTCGTTCCTGCAGTGGAAGTTTTGATGAGGCGGCTGAACCTTTCGGCTGTTTCACTACCGGTGCTTGCGCTTGTTGCTGTTGTTGCGGTGGCTGTGGCGGTTGTGGTTGTTGAGGCGCAACTTTGATCTCAACAGTTTGTGAAGTTGACTGATAATCATAACCATTACCATAATCCGTATTTTCTAAAAGAAAAAAATGTCTCTTATCAGACCAATGTTCTCAATCTTTGTGGGAGTAGATTAACTTTTCCGAAAACTCAATTATCATTATTATTATATTTTTAATGTTCACATAGATCAATATGAACAGCTCTTACCTCCGATGTAAACCGGTTGACCGTATCCATAATCATCAGCTGGCTCCATTTTTGGCTCGAATGGCATACTTAAAGGCTCTCTGTAAAATACATTTTATTTTGAAAAAAATGGAATTTTTTGTATTTATTATTATAGAAAAATAGTGTGGGCAGGCAGGAAAAAAATGAATCATCGAAAAAATTAGTTGAAAATAATTTGAAATAATTTCTTGAAAAGCAAAGCCAAAGTTTCAGAAAAAATGTGTTTGAATGACTGAACTTTGGGAATCTAGGCGGGGATTTTCATGGTTCAATGATCTTCATACAAATTATAGCCACAATTTATTTTGCGCTTATTTTTAACATAAAAAAATCCAAAAGACTTACTTGAAGTGGTGATTATTATGATCATAAACTCCATTGTAAATATTATTCGAGTTCATATTTGATGTCGGATTGTTGTGTTGCTGAAACAATTGAAATTGTATTTTTTGTCTTGTCAATCAAAACAACAAAAAAATCTGGGGGCGTTCACATGGAACACACAGACTTTATCACCAATGTAAAATTGATCATAAATTTTCAACAAAATATATAGCACATATTTGTTTCCGAAATAATATAAATACATACATACATCTATATATGTATGGATATCAAAAAAATAGTGGGCGTGACTTTGAAAATTAGCGGGGGCGACTGACTTTGCTTGGATATACATACATACATAGAGCAAGCAATTGAAAGAGCAGATAGGAAGTGAACAGAATTAAAAAAAGAAGCCATTTTTATTTATCAAATCATAACAATATCGTGGAGGCGTTTAAATCGGAAGTGCACAATGATATCAGTACACAAATTCATTAGGAAACTTATTAGATATCATATGGGAGAGCTAAAGTTCAGATTAGTGGGTGGGTGGATTTATTCACGTAATTTCATTTTCTAAAAATAATATTTTAAAGATTAAAATAGTACTTGACCTTATATGTATTCCTGTGGAATAAAAATATAAACTTTGGTCAAAAAAATTTCTGAATCAAGGTGGAATATTTGGAAACATACAAAATGTCATTTGCATTTATATTGCATTTCAATCAGATATGAGACCAACAAAAAACTGAAAAAAAAGAAACTGTCAGAGTAAATTGAAGCTCACATCAAATCTGGCGCTGTCTAGGTTTAAATAAAAATTTTGAAAAGAGAAATATAAATTTGGAGGTTTTTAATTTAAAAGAATATGTCAGATTTCAGAAAAAAATCCAGAATGAGAAATATAAATTTGTACGTTTTTTAATTGAAAAATCTGTCAGATTCTGGTAAACATCTAGGAAGGAAGATATAAATTTGTTGGTTTTCAAATTAGGAGGCTATTTTTCAATTCTGGATTAGGATACACATTTTAAGGCTGTTTTATTTGAAAAAAACTCATCAGGTTTTTTTATAATTTCTGAGTTGATTAATGTTTTTGATCAAAAGTTAGAACCTGATGATAATGGTCGAATTTAACATTTGCAATAAAAAAATTGTGACGTAAATCATGCAATAAGAAATTGTCAGTTCAAATTTTTTTTGAAAATGTTCAAAACTGAAGATGAAAATCGGACAGAACTTTCAGGGGCCCACACTTTTCAGTTTTGTTATTTTCTTTTTTCTCAATATCCGACTTACCGTAACTGGAATATTATTTCTTGAAATACCATGTCTCAGATGATTATGATGAAGTTGTTGCTGGTGATGTTGATGCGAAAGATTATGATTGTTAACCCGTGGAATTGCATTATTTGAAGATCGAATGTGTTGATTTTGTGATTGCTGTTGCTGGTGTACAAGTTGATTAGAATTGCCTAAACTGGTTGATGATTGTGCTGACATTGGTCGACTCATATGAAGATGCATTAGTTCTTCGCTGGTTTTTGCCGACATTTCATCGATATCCATTGGTACTTGGAATTTGTCTTCTTTTTTGGAACTCTCCGGCATCTGGAACTGAAATGGGGTTGATTTAGAGTGCAAACAAAATGATCAAAATTTGTTCAATGATTTTGAATATTTCCTAAGCTCTTCCTAATAACGTAAGAAGATCACAAAAACAATATTTTTTCTAAAAAAAATGGTTGAAAATTTCTTGGAAATATTTTATCAACATTCTGGAGCAAAATTTTTTAGACATTTGGAGCCCGTAAACTTGGCTCGATGAATTTTTTCGTACGATTTTAATGACGTGCTTTCGAAAAGTTTTTGAATTTTTGATTAACATTTTGGAATTTCATATTTTCTGCATAAATTTCTCAATTGAATTTCATTCCAAATTTTAAAAAATTGACCCCAGGAAAATTATCTCTCAAAACCTCCAAAAAAGGTTACCTTCATCATATGTGTCGTGATATCAGGTGTTTTTTGTTGTTCACTAATCGTCAAATCATTCAAACCCGTTCCATTTGGTCCTTTAGTCAGCGATTGCAAAAAATGTTCAACCATTGGCGAAAATTGAAACATTGAAGCGGATAAGCCTGCAGATTCTAATACAAATTGATATTATTACTATTTTCAAAATCAAACAGTTACCTGGTGAATTGATTCCAGTCATCAAGTTTACAGGATTTGGATTTGTTGGTTTCAATGTCAAACTTTCTGGCTTCATTTTGATCTTTTGAGGGCTGATATTACCGTGATTCATGTTTTCTGCATATTGTTGAGTTCGTGTAACTGCAGATGATGTTGATGTTTGAGGATATCCAGAAAAATTACCTGGAAATAAGGCTGGTTGTTATTTTCTTAATCACAACAAAACAAAATAACATACCATCGAAAAGAGGTTCATGTTCTCCAAAAAATGTTTGATTATTCTGAGGTGTATATCCAGAAAATGTGGTGACTTTGGGTGTTCCATCAATTATCAGTGGTTTTGTTGGGGAGCCAAGGACTGTTGGGGTCTGAAAATTTTTTATATGGGTTTTTGTTTTTATGAAGAGCAGTAATTATGACGATTTCAATAGCATTTTTGCTTTCGAAATTTAAAAAAATTTGACTGAAAAAAAAGTTTACAAGCTAAAAAGCTGTTAAACTTTTATGAGGTTCTGAATTTTGAATGGGATTATTCCACTTTTTTCGGAATTCGGTTTCGAAAATACCGTACTTTTGAGCTTGGAAAATTTCAAGAAAAAACTCCAGATTTTAAAGGGAGAATCTGAGTTTCTCAAAAATAGTTTAGGGAAGTTTCCAGGTTCAAAGATGTTTTGTTAATATTAAATCTTCAAAAAATTTGAATTTGTAAAAAATTCGTTTCAAAAAATTGAAGATTTTCAAAAAATTTATCAGAATATGTAGTTTCGAAGATTGCTCACATTCAGTTTGAGAGAGTCTATAACTTTCGAATAGTTTTCTATGAAAATTTGAATTTTTCAAATGTTTTTCGAAAAAAAACATTTCATGAAAATTTAAAATATTTTAAGATCATATGTTTTCTTCCCTCATCTCCCTCTCCAAAAATACTCACCTTCAACATATCACTCATAGTTGGCGTTTTCAAACAATCCCCATCTGAAAATGATAGCAAAGGCTTGCTTAAAGACGGCGGTTTCAGCATACTTGCAGGGCAAGTTCGAGACATTTTTGTTGATGGAACCTGCAGCGCCATATTGGAGCTATTGACTCCTAAAAAAATTAATTTTATGAAAATGAATTCGTTTAATTTTTAGTAAACGAAAAATTGAAAATATTTTGAAAAAAGGATAGGAACTCACCACATTCTCAAACAATTTTTATATCGAGCATCAAATAAAATATACTGTTTCATTTATTATTTTTTGTTTGGAGAGAAAAAAGATTGTTATGAAACAATATAATTATTTTATGAAATATTATATTATTCTAGGTGCAAAAAATATCTTTCAAGTAAAATAATGGCGATGCGTATAAGCGTCGCGGCTCTCGCTCTATTGACAATCTCATTATTTCTACACTCTCTCTTTCTTTTTTCTTTTCCTCTCGTGTGCTCAGAAAAAAAATGTAGAGATGCTCGAAGTTTGTTTGAGAATGTGGAATAAAATCGAAATAAAAATAAAAACAAAAACTCAATTTGTTTCCCAGAAGCGTTAGGAAATGATTATGATGAGGGAGGAGATAAAATGTTTTGTCTACTGATAATTTTATATTCGTGAGGTTTTACGTAACCGGAAACCGGGGGTGATTTGATTTTTTTTATGATGGGCATTTTTAGAAGGGTTGTTGTTTGATGCAAGAACAAAATTATTTCGTTTTCTGATAAGCTCATTGATTTTTCGTTTTTTTCTAATATGAGTCATGATTGAAAAATAGACGGCGACAAAATGTCTATTTTTTCTCGATGTGGGAAATTTTTCGAAACATTTTGGAATGTTTTTTGGATTCAAATTAGGTTGGTAAATTTTTTGAACATAAGAAACTGGGATCTGGTTTCTAAAAAATAGTGAAAAAATGACTATGAAAAGTTTTTTGTTTCCGAATTTTCATGATGAACTTTTTTTCAAAAAACAATTTGATCAAAATAGAAAAAGTTCAGGGAATTGGTTTTTGAACTGAAACACATTCAATAAATTAAAATTTTGAAGCAAAAATGGAAGCTACCATTTTTTAAATAGTCTCAAAACGGAATTCCGAAAATAAGAATTCGGTTTCAAAAATGTCTAATTTTATATTCTAAAACTAACATGAGAAGCCTCAAAAATTGAAATGACGTTCAAATTTTTTCTCGAAACATGCTAAATTTCAATTCAAGTCACGAATGTATGTCAAATAACAGACAACAAAAAAAATCAAGAAACGAAAAAAACGTAGGCGAATCAGACGAAAAACAGGTCATCATCAGAGACGAAAAAAAACAATTCAAAAAACGCACATTTATTTCTTTTTTTTTCAGCCAAGTAGTCAAGAGGAAAGAAAGTCCCAAACAACAATTGTTCATCTCTTCTCAAAGACTTACTGGATAATCGAAAAAATGAAAAAAATATCAATAATAATGATATCGATATCGATATACCTAACCGACCGAACGCATCTTATTTTTCATGTTTTGTCAGGAAGAAAATAAAGAAAAACAGAAATTTTTTGCAGAAGAGCAGCAGCAGAAAAGTTGAGATGAAATATGAATCAGTTTTTTGAGACAACTATGTCTTTTGTGTTTTTTTTTGTGCTGGAGGAAACTGGATACTGGAATTGTATTGCTCATTTTTAGTTATTTGAGTGATGTTGACGTTTTTTTTGGATCACAAAAAAAGTTCGAAGATCAAAAAAGCAAAACATTTTCATTTTTAACATTTGGTATATAAAATAAACAAACCAAAATCAATTCTTCAAACAAAACTTACAAGGGAATTACATAAAGGAGATAACGACTTTTGAAAAATTAGAGATGGACTCTTATAGAACTCGGTGCGCTGATCAGAGTATCACTATGTGTTGAAAAGTCTAGCTCAACCGCTGAGTTCTATAATGCACCATTTCTCATTTTACAAAACTCTTTAGCACAATTCCCATTTCAAATAATTTTTTTGAGAAAAATTCAAAAAGAAAGAAGGAAGACAAAATTTCAGAAATGAGCAACACGGAAAAATTTCCAAACAAAAGACGGATAAAAGTCAATGAGAAACAAAAAAATAAGAAGATATCAGCGATTTGTTACGTTGTTTGTCTCTCTTTTTTTTTACTTTATCTCAAAAAAATTCCAAAAGATCTAGAGAACTACATGTAAACACTGCCAACTGCTGACCTCTTTCTTTCTTTCTCATATGAAATTTTGCTCAAAAAGAATTGCGTCATTTTATTTTATTTTCATGTTTTCAAAAAAAATTCAAAACCAAAACAAAGTCTGATTTCCGCACTATTAATTAATTGGCTCAAAAATTTGCCGACAGCTGAAAAACAGACAAAAAAAAAGTTTTTGACCTTGCACATTTTTCTAAACAAATAAAATAAAACACAAAAATAATCGATCAATTTTCAAGCAGGTGCTCTTTTTGTCAAAAAAAAATAAATAAAATCAGAAATTCATTGGATTTGCGGTTTTGAAACTATTTTTATTCTATTTTTTATTATTTATTTATTACTTGGAAGAAAAAAGAGAAGAAGAAAAAAGCGAAAAATATCAATTCAGTTAAGAAAAAAACGTGAATAAGTGCAATAATAGAAAAAATTCTATTTTTTTTGTTCTCAAAAAAAAACCTCGTTGGCTTATCATCAAATATACAACATAAAACATGCACATGACTCATTCTTTTGTTCTTTTTTCGCTCTCTCTAGTTTTTTTTGCATAAATTTACAGCTGCCAAACCACATATCTAAAAGTGCACCAAAAGAAAGAATAACGGATTTTTAATATTATAAAAATGTATGAGGAGAAAAATGGATTTAGTTTTTTTGAGCTGCCCAGATTTTATTGAATTTTTGCTCTGTTTGAAAAATGTTTAGTTTATGTGTTTATATGTAGAATGAAACTGTTTATTTATTTTTGATAGAGCAAAAACATGTGGTAAGTTTTATCATGTTCTATCAAAAGATAATTTTGGCTTCCCTTGTTCAATTTAGAATAAATGAAAATTTGAACCTACAATCCAGAAGAGTTAGGCTCACATTGTTTTCATTTTCCTGCGGTTCAAAGTTAAATGTATGAAAAAATTTTCAAAAAAAGCTCTGAAAGTTATTCGAAGACCAGAAAAAAATGAACTGCAAAGAATTTGGAAGGAAAACAGTAATCTAAAAGATAATAAAAAATTTTGCTGGAAATGGGATTTCAGAAATATTAGTTTCAAAAGTCAGAAATTATAGTTTTCAAAAGTAGTAATGTAGTAAATTCAAAATTGAAACAAAAAAAAACAACAAATTATGTGGAATTATTATACTAGAATCCTCTCCAAAATTCTCGAATACGTAGAAAATAATAAATGGTGTGTGTGTGCTTCATTCGAAACTAATTCGATTAGTAATGGAAATGAATATTTTTCCCAAATCCCACCCAATCCGTTTCCTTTTCTTCAGATACATATCTTTTGCGAGCAAAAAAACCATGTGACTAACTTTTATGTATCATTAGAAAAAGGGCGTGAGAAAAAATGAAAAGAAAAATCGTATTTTGGCGCCCAAAAATTAGTCATGCACAAAAAAAGAAACATTTCCAATTCCCGAAGATGAAATCATTCATTTCTTCTTTTTTCACGAAAAAAAACTATCAATTTTTTTCTGGATAAAAAATGCGATCTGAGATTATAAAAAAAACAAAAAAAATTATCAGCTCAAAATTTGTAAAACCCTTCCCAAAATACGATTATTTTCTATTAAAAATAGAAAATCGAAAATAAAAAATAATCCCATAGCTCAGCTCAGCTCCACTCAAAATCAGATTTTTGTACTGAAAGTGCCAAACATTGCTATATTAATAGATAAATTTGGGTGGGTTTTAAAACAAAAACAAAATAAAACACCTTATAATCTGAAAAAGGCGTGGCTTGTTCTATTTTATGGAATAGTGCCAATTAGAAGGGGCGTGGTTTATGAAAAAAGAGAAAATGGATAGAGGAAGCTTGAAAATACGGTAGTTTTTACTACGAAAAGAAACATTTTAGAATCATGACGAATTTCTGAGTTTTGAGTTTTTCTGAGGAAAAAAATGAAAAAGTTTGACTTTTGAGGTAGGTCAGAGCAAAGAAGAAAATATAACTTTTTGGATTTTTTTGGAATTATGAAACATAGAGAAAAGTTCGAGAGGTTCAGAGAAAAAATAATTTGAAAGATTAACATGAGCAACATTTTTCAAAGACTTGACTAATTTAAATTGTGTTGGTTGAAAAAAAATCAGGAAAGTGAAAATGAGTTTTCTGAATGTGGTTTTTTTTTTGCTTAAATGATTTAGTGCCCAAAAAACTTGCTTCTGGCCTCAAAATTTTGAAATTTCGAAAATGAAAAGCTTCGCGTTTGTTAAATTGGACCCGATTTTGTCGTGTCCAATCTGGATTTTTTATTAAAAATCGAGACAGGTTTGATTCCTTTTTGGTGGTACGATTTCGTTCTCAAAATAACACAAAAAGGATGATAGCCACGTGGCAAAATGAATTAATCCGATCAAAATCTATTTTAAAATGAAAATTGATCTTCGGATTTCCTTAATCCCCTGAGCTCATAAATTTTCAGTTGAAAATATCTAATATTGAGGCTTCAGATTTCAAATGTTGCAATAACGAACACAAAAAAACCACTAGAAACCCGAAAATTTGCAATTCAAAACGTCCTATTTCATTTTTTTTGCTTGCTTCCTTTTTTTTCCCTCCTGTCCTGTCCTCATCTTCCAACCACCACCACAAAAATTTTAAAGGCGAAAAAAACGACGCTTGTGTGTGTATGTGTGTGTGAAAATCTGAGAAAAGAAAGAGGAAAAATCAGGAGCAGTAGAAATGCGAAGAAGAAGAAAAAGATGAAAAAGACATAGTTAAAAAGGCAAACACATACACCCATTTTTTCTTCTTCTAGTTCTTTCTGGTTTGGAATTTGAGAGCCTTCCCTATGCGCAACTTTTTCGCCTTCTTCTCTTTTTTCTATAGTGCTCAAAAATGTTGCCTTTTTCAAAAAAAAGAAGAAGAAGAA